AAGAAAGGTGTGATTCCTTAATATGCTGACTGGGCCTTATTTTCAAAGAATCATTTGAGAAATCTGTCTGGTTTTATAGTTTGAGATTAGAAGGAAAAAAGAAAAACCAGTTTATATACTGTGCCAAATAAAAAAAATAATTTCAAGAGACCAAGTTTTTAGGTAAATTACAGTCAATTTTATTATCCATCGCTACTGATGGTTAACAGAAAGGGCTCATTGTCTTCTGATCAAAAGAGAGCATGACCACTTCTTGAGGCTCATATGCTCTTGGATGAGAGGTGTTTCAGTAGATGGCAATCAACAGATTAGTTAACAATTAATGAGAGGTAGACTTGACAAAGAAAAGTGAGCTCACTCCAATGAAGGGCTGCGAGTGACATCCTGTCACTCTTGGACAGAGTTTTTCTACTCCCAGGCCACCCCCGGCCTTGGGCAGTCTAGACAGGGGATCTGCCTTCACCCAGACTTGCTTGAGTGGAGCACAAGCAGCAGGAATTCATCTCAGATTAGAGATTCCTTGTAAAGTTGGATGAGGTCTGACCACGACTGAGGAGAAGGTTAGTTCAACCTTCAGAGACTATGTTTTTGAAATGAGGACTTTAGAAAAGGAGGGAACTCTGAATCTTCTCAATTATTGGTTATTAATAATCATTTCTCCCAATAATCTTCTGTGGGGTCAGTGAGTATTTCAGAAACTTCATCTGTAAAGTTCTGACTTCCTTAAAGGAACAGAAACTGTATAATGGTCCATTTTTTTGGTTCTCACAGCCAAGCACCATACTTTACACGTGATAGGTGTTTAGTTAATATTTGTTAAACCATGTTAATGAAAAAATTAATTGACCCATTGGTTAATACTGGAAAGATCAGTTTCCTAAATTCAAATATCCAAAAATTCAGAACCTGTTCCCCATTAATAATAATGATAACATATATAACACACACATATATATATGATAATGATTACATGTATAACCATTATAGTTTACAGAGCATTTTTCCATGCATTATTTCATGTGAATCTTCCAGTGGCCCTGCCAGGGAGGCAGAGCAGAAATCACAGTCATTTGATTGAGGAGGGAAGTGACATGTGTAAGGTAATATAGTAAGAAGCAGAGGTGTAGGCCTGAGCCCAGCTCTTATGACTGTGATCTTCCCAAGACTACACACTGCTTCCTAAGAACCAGAACCCAGATAATGTCTAAATATCCTGGATGAAGCTTCTGGCAAAAATCTGTGATTGCTGAGTTAGTCCCTAAACTAGACCTAAATGGTTCTGAATTATCTATGGAGTTGGATACAAGAAAGAAATGCAATAGATGGCCCAAGCTAAGGAACTCTCATCTTGCCATAGTAGTATTCATCTTGATAGAGACATAAAAATCAGTCCATTATTGTTATCTCTACTTATGGCATAACCATTTTGTTCCTTCACGGCACCATTAACCAAATGTACCTTCTGCCAAACTAGAATTTTCACCTTTGTTAACAGCTACACTATTGTGACAGGTAGGTTTTAAAACACACGAAGACTTCAGAAGTTTTTCAGTGTATTTCTCTTTATCTGGCCCTCTTCAGATTGTACTGTTATAGTTATTATATCCATTAATGATGGCCATATGTGACAGACTTCTCAGAAACTTCTTTGACATGAAGTGGTGAACAGAAACAGGCCTTTGTGGTGAAGCTGTTGTTTATTAACACTCTCTCTGAAATTCTATCCTCCCATGAACAGAAGTAGTGCTGACAGCCATCATTTCTGTAGCTGTCTAGCTTTGAAAGGCCATATAGTCACTTTAATATTTTGTTCTGATTCTCCTCATGAGAAATAGGTTTTAGCTGTCTTAGAGGTTCTGGTAAAAAAAAATTCATTCATCCATTTGTCAAATATCTGTGAAGCACCTGCTATATGGAAAGTGCTGAACAAAGTGGAGGAAGATGAAGGAGAGACTAGAGGTGCCATGAATTGGTCAGCCAGTCTGAGGAAATGGAGGAGAGTTAGGAAAAGAAACAAGTCTCTAAGAGGGATCACTCTCTAAAGAAAGGATTACTAGCAGAGCCAACCCTTGACAAAATTGCAAAACTGTCAAAGCTGTCCATAAATGGGATGGGCGAATGGGCTGCCTTAGGTAGGCATGCCTTGCCTATCATGGGAGTTCTTTGAGAGGTGGAACATTTGTTGTGAATGTTGTAGAGAGGACTTCTGTTTGAGTAAGAAAAGGGCTCTCTGAGATTCTGTGAAGTTTGTCTACATTGTTCCTTCTCTCTGACCCCACCCTCCATACACACTCACATACCCCTGACATCATTTTCCACTTCCTTTTTGTGCTTGACACCTGGGCCTGCTGTAACCTGCTTTACGTCTCTCCAAGGCCCTGCCCTCACCCATCTCATTCCATATTTAAGATTGCTCTTCCCTAACCCCTATCATCAGATAGCTGCCCTTTCTCCCATGCACAGGTGAGTTTGAAAAGAATCATTTCTGGGTTAGTGTTCTTATCCCATGTAAGACCTGTTCCATTTAACAGGAGCCATGCCATTGTCTGAAAATAATGCCTTACCTACATCCAAATGCCTGATCCTAATGATGGTAATTTCGGAAACATGGCAGGACAACAGGAGAGATATTTTGGGCAAGGAGGCCTTTTAATGGTTTCCACATCACATGACTAGGTGCATCTCCTACTGTGTCATTAGACCCATGCAGCGAGTACCATTATCATCTCCTGACTTTAGAGATGCTCCACAGAGACCTTGGTTTTAAACAGTTTTTTCTAACACATTTAATCTCTAACAAAGATGTCATTGAGCAAAGGTCAGGCAGGACAAGATGAATAGAAGCAGAAGAAGAAGTAGGGATAATCTACAGTTTAGACCATTTGACCTGCCAAATAGTTACATGTGCATTGAAGAGCATAAGTATTATGTCTATAGAGAATTTTGATACTTTGTGTAAAGTTTTAGGAACTTAAACCAGTAAGTGAAAGGTGGTTTTCCCTAACTGGTGATTGAATTTATATGCTGATTTCCTAACAAGTTCATTATTTCCTTTCCCCTACATTGTGAAACGGTGACCCAATTAGAAATAAATTTGTAATTTTCCCTTTATTGTAGCTTTGTGGGTAACCGAATTTGATTACTGTAGTCTTGGAGACATTTTAGCTTTCACAAGCTCTAGAAAATGCTTATGAGATTTCTGGAAATACATTACTGTCAGTTTTCTGAGCATGCCTTATGATCGGTTTGCATATACCTCATGATCAGTCTCTGAGTATATATTTTGGTTAGGTCTATCAATATACTTTATGGTCAGTTTCTGACATGCTTCTGAATATAAATTTTAGTTAATTTATGAATGTATATTTTGGTCAGTTTATAGATACACATGATCAGCCTCTAAATATATATTTTGGTTAGTTTCTGAGTAGCACACTGTTCATTTGTCATGGACTGGCTTTTTTTTTTTTGAGCTTTAGTATTTCCCAGTCCCTGATTGTGAATTTAAGAAGCAGCATCTCTCTACTTCATAAAGGTTCAGAGAATAATCTGAGTAATAGGAAGTGCAATTATTCCCATTCATATGATGGCCCCTCCAAAAGAAATGTACCCATTTCTGATAATATGCGATTGTCCTGCACACTCAGCTCCCGGGGCAGCTTTGTTCTTACAAACAGGTAATAGCTTGGCCATGTCTCAGCAGTCCATCAATCTTCAGGTGTGGTCAGTGCAGAAAAGCAGCAGGAACATTTAAGTTTTTATGTAAAATATAAGAGGAGTCTGGAATGTGTGACCAACCCAGAAAGTTCTCAAAGTGCCAGAAAATAAAACTTGTCTCATCATAGTTATAGTCAATCAACAGATTAGAATGTATCAGTTTTTCCAAGCACGCGAATGGAGGAGGGGAGGTATTAAACCCTGACAACCTGAATTGGTTCCACCTTTGCTATCAGAACATTCCATTACCTCATTACTGGGTTTCCTCAGCTGCTAATTCATCTTCCATCTTGCCTTATCCATTATTTTTTGCCATTTTCTTTCTTTGAAGATTTTTTTTTCTTGCCTTGCCTATTTTTCCTGAAAGTCATGATCCCTCTTTTAGAATATGTGGAAGAAACTCTGCTAGGTGTTAAATGTAGAAGCTAGGGCAGCCTAAATATGAACATTTTGTATGTATTTACATATATAATCAGCAGGTATTCTGCCACTGCTTTCCTGTACATCAGCATCCCCCCAAGGACAGGCGTATTTCTGGCTATTGTGAATTTGAGACTGAGTCTCTCCTATCTGAGTAAAGACTGGTAAAATAGGCTGGAGGTTAGAGAAGCTGATACCACAAGGGGTTGACAGAAAGTTGCCTCCATTGACCTAGCATCTGTGTTTCTGGATATAATCATCTGCTCCAAGAGCACTTGCAAACAAGGTGATGAAAAATTGGCAGGCATGCCCAGTGCCCTCTGCCTGGCACACCTGCATGGAACCAGCTTCTGAGCCAAGAATCTGGCAGGAAGGAGGCTTTAGTATTCTTGCAAAGGAGAAAGAGAGGTTTGAACTGCAAACAACCTTTCTAAGGAGCAAGAGAAGCTCTGGATTTATGTTTTCAGAGTGAGGGAAAGGAAAAGTTAGTGGGTAAGGGATGATTGGGCTTACCCAGGGTTTCCAAAATCCCCTCCAGTTTAAAGCTTGAGAGTCATTTTAGGCTGTTCCACTGGAGGGTGTAATAACCTGATTACCCACTTCTAGGCCAGGAGACCTTTCTTTTTCCCCACAAGTCACAGTGTAGTGAATGAATTAACACTTAAAGAAAACATGACTAACCACCCTAAACTCTGCTTCATTGATACTGGAATGTCCATGGTTATTGACCCCTGGCTTGGAATGCACTGGGTGCCGGCACATACCTCAGAGGAGCAACACAGGGAGGCCTGTCTCTTGTCATCATCATGAGGTCCCGTTGCTTCTGCTTCTTGTGAGAAGCTTTCATTTCTCTTTCACCACAGGTGATATCCGAAATGACCTCTACCTAACCCTGGAAAAGGGAGATTTCGAGAGGGGTGGAAAGAGTGTGCAAAAGAATATCGAAGTGACCATGTATGTTCTCTATGCAGATGGAGAAATTTTAAAGGTAAGGAGGGCAACTAATGGCATGCTTGAGATTTGCATGGCCAATGACATAAAACTAGAAGGCTCAGATGCCTTGCAGGAGCTCATCTGGTTCATATCCCTGCCTTTGAAGCAAGTCTGTCCTCAAACCATCCCAGATAGGTGGTCACCTGCCCATATGTATGTATTTGTTTGTTTAATCTCTAAAGGAAACTCTATAATCTCCCTTGGTAACCCAGCTTATTCTGTCACAACCCTTACAGAAATTCTTATGAATAGCTGACATAAGTCTTCCCTCCTAGAATTTGAACCCATTCTTTTTTTGTCATATTCCATGGGAAGAAAAAGAGCATCTCCTTACTCCCCTTATCCAGTCCCCTCTTATCCCTTTGATAACCACTAAGTTTCCTTCAGCTTTCTTTTCCTCAAGTGACTTCAGTGAGTTGGATTTTGCCTTCAGTCAAGTCTAGGTAGTATTGCTGACCCACCGATAGTTTAGGCATTTGTAAGTACAATATTGTGGCTATGAGAAGATACCCTGAGTGTTAGTTCATTGTTTCTGAATGGATCCTGTTTCCAAAATAGAATTTGATTTCAGTCCTTACCATGAAGAAATCTGCCATCTCTTCCAACACCCCTAGGTTACTCATCTAAAGATGAGGCAACCATAGGAGAGATTTGGAACATTGCTTACACTTGGAGTTGTATCCATTCATCAAACTGTCAATGTAATAGTTTAATCTTAAGTAGATAGAAGGTAAATGAAGTTAATCAAAACCATCTCATAAAGACTGAAGAGAAATGGAAATTAAAATTGAGAATAATGGTAGAAGTAAATCACTGTTTGATTTTTTTATTTTATTTTATTTTATTGTTGGCAAGGCAGTTGAGGTGAAGTGACTTGCTCATGGTCATACAGGTAGTAAGGGTTATGTCTGAGGCCAGATTTGAACTCAAGTCCTCTTGACTCCAGGGCCAATACTGTATCCAATGTGCCACCCAGCTGCCCCTATGTTTGATTTTTTAAAAAAATCCAGCTATAGAGTAATGGTCTTCATAATGCCCCAATATGAAAGGTGCATTGGGTAAGAGGAGCCTCCAGGCCTTGTCCCATAGTGTTGGTGTTGAGTCAGAGCAGCATCTTCTACTTGGACAATCCAAGAAGCCTCACATTCCAGAGAAGAGCCTTATGCCAAGTCTTTATGCAGAAACTTTTTGGTTTTAGAGTTTGGAAGTTTTAGTAAAATTAAACCCAAAAGATGTTCAACTTTTTAACTTTCTCAGGTCTGTCTCCAAAAAGCAATCAATTTGTTTGGTTTCCCGATGCTGTGTGAAAGCTCAAAACAGCAGGTTCATTTGGGAACATTGTGCAACGGTAGAAATAGATGCTTTCTTCCTATATTTTTTCTAATCTGATGAAATCTCACATGCTGTTGATTTCTTAGCATTCCACTGTCCTATACAGTTTGGGGTTTTCTTTTCAGAGCCAGAATGAACAGTCTATATTAATGGTTCAAACATATTGTCCATTTTCTTTCAGTTTACTAGGCAGCTATACTTAGGTCACTTCTGTCCCAAATTAGCATCCTGAGGAATCATCATCCTGTTAGTGTGTGAGCACAAAGGTTTAGCAACAACTAGAAAACTTGCTACTAAGAATGTCAGATTCCAAGGAATTGAAGTTTCTCCTTTTTTTGACCCTTAGGATGGTAGAGAGTAAGAATTAAGTGGAAGAATAGGAGTCATTTCCAAATGAAGCACTCCCCAAAAATACAAGGACTGGTCTTTGTGTCCGGGCTATAAATTCTTACTTTGTTCTTCAACCAACCTTTCTTTGGATGTTGACTTTCTGTATTCTTTATTCTAGGACTGCATCAGCCTTGGCTCAGGAGAGCCCAGCAGGACTTCTTATCACTCCTTTGTCCTCTACCATAGTAACAGCCCTCGCTGGGGGGAAATCATCAAATTACCCATCCCTATAGACAGGTTCCGGGGCTCCCACCTGCGCTTTGAATTCAGGCATTGTTCTAGTGAGTACAACCTCCTAATGGCCTCCCCAAAGAGTGCTAGCGATGGCTCCCTTCCCCGGCTGTCTTGAAGCACGGGGGGAAGGTTTACAAGAAGCCAGAACTCAAGGGATGCAATATTGTCAGAAATTGTTCCTCTGGCTTTCAAAAGTAATGGCCCACAGCCAGGATGTCATATAGAGGCCCTTCTGTTGAAGTAGATAATCCTCAGCTTCATTTTCTTTGAGAAACTCACTTCTCCTCAGGGTATTTTTTCTTGTGGCGGTTGTTTAACTTTCCCCTTTGGAGTTCTGTTCTATTAAGAATAGTAGTTTTGGTCTAGAAAGATTAGGCACCTAGAGGCATAAGTGAAGAACTGGCTGAGTCCGTTCTTTGCGATCATCTTCACACCTGAGTCCAGGAAAGGCCCGAAGAACAGAAAGAATGGGAGCTGTTGTAGTTCAAGAAAAGGCTTTATTTGAGAAGCAAGATAAAGGAAAAAATAACCAATCTTCATCCCTTGACTCTTATTATAGCAAAAGACAAAGGAGAGAAGAAACTGTTTGGCTTTGCATTTACTCCTCTGATGCGAGATGATGGTACCACCCTGTCAGATGACATCCACGAGCTCTATGTCTATAAGGTAGGGGGCCTCGAACCCACCCAAACCAAGGGCAGCATTGTAAACTACCCTCTTGTGGCCATTTCTCTTTGAAGTGCTTTGTAGTGTATTTAGATATATAGATATATACATTTTTTAAACACACATTCACACGAAATTGAGGAGAATCCAGATGTTTTAAGAGCAATGTTTTAGCCAGAGGGATGAAACTGTATTATCCATGTGATATTCACTTTTCTTTCCACAAATTGTGATGATGGATCTTTTGTTCTCTGTCTTGGGCATCCATAGCAGAATTTGCTGACTGTGATGGTGGTGTGGGCATAGATGCTCTGCAATGCCTGCAGCTTTAGTTATTGACAATATAGCACAGTGGACAGTCTAAGGTACTCTTTCATTGGGAAGAACAATGGTCATCTTTGTGACCAGATGTATGTTCTTAGGGGTTCTTAGAAACTCTGGTGGACTTGGAGGTGGTTTGAATAGGAAGCCATCCTTTCTGGGATACTTACAGCTAAATACATCAGACTGCAAGGGAAAGAGGTCATTCAAGAGCTAGATTTTCTGGGTAACTGGATTTTGCTAATAAGACATGAATATGAGGAATGGCTAAAGGAACTTCTTAGTTGACACATCTTGTCTTTTCTCTGTAACTGCAGTGTGATGAGAATAGTACATTTAATAACCATGCACTCTACCTGGGCCTCCCATGCTGCAAAGAAGACTACAATGGCTGTCCCAACATTCCTTCCAGCCTCATCTTCCAGCGCAGCACCAAAGAGACATTCTCTATCTCCACACAGCTCTCTTCCACCAAACTCACTCAAAATGGTATGGTAATGAACCAGGACTCCATACTAACCCCATAGAGTTCTTAGGAGTCCAATCTGGGGCTTTCTACAGGGTCAGAACTGTCAGCTACATTTACTTACTGATTTTGCTTCATTGGGCATGTGCAAGAAAGGATATTTTTCTCCTATCTTGCACATGCCCAGTGTAGCAAAATCATTATGACCATTTAGATTTTTCCTCATTCTTGGTCTTCAGAGCACATTAGGCATTTAATAAATTCATATTGAATTAAGTTCAATTCCAAATTTAATTATTTGGGTGCATTCAGCCCTCAAGAAGTCCTCTCAGGCACTGCCATCCCTTTTGCAAAGGGTTGAGGGAATTTCACTGCCTGTTGAGGTCTTTTGTTCATCCTGTTGGAGAAACAGAAATTAGGCTCCAAACCAGACGTAGTAGTGGTATCTGATATGTCCTTCAGTGGGCTTTTCTGATTAGCACTGAATAAGGTATTTGATGGAATTTGGAATGGAATAATGGAATTTGAACAATATTTAAACCCCACTTCTCATATTTTAAAATCATTTTTGTTATTTTAAATATATTTTATTGATATCTTTTGTTTTTACCATCATCTACATTTCTCTATGTGTCTCTTTATAATTTCATAACATTCAGTTTCCATTGTTTCATGCTCATTATTTTTCCCATTTACATCATTGTAGTTATCGCATATAATGTTTTCCTGGTTCTGATTACTTTACTTTACATCAGTTCATAAGTCTCCCCATGTTTTTCTGTATTCATCATTTCTTATACCACATTCCACTCACGAACTACACAATTTATTTAGTCATTCACCAACTGACGCACATCAACTTTGTTTCCAGTTCCAGTCCACAGAAAATGCTACTATAAATATGTTGGCATATATGAGTCCTTTCTCTCTATCATTGATCTCCTAGGAGTATGTGTCATGCCTATCTTAGACCTCTGGGTAAGAGCATAGACACTTAGCTACTTTCTTAGCATAATTCCAAATTGCTTGGACCAATTCCTAGCTCTACCAAGAGTGCGTCTCAGTGTCTATCTTTCCACAATCCTTCCAACATTGACCGGTCCCATCTTTTATTGTCTTTGACAATTCGTTAGATGTGATAACCTCTGAAATTTGCTAGCTTTGTGACCACAAACAAGTCACTTAACTCTCTGAGCCCTGGTTTTCTCCTTTGTTAAGTGGGGGAAATATCTGTAATACCTATTTCACAATATTGTGAGACTTTAAAAATCATTTGAAGTGCTGTACAAATGTCAGTTACTACCATTATCTGAAGGAGTGCTGCTCTTTTGATTTATAGTGGACCTCCTTGCTTTGCTGAAGTGGAAGGCTTATCCAGACCGAATCATGGATATTCTGGGGGCGCCTCCGGCATGTCGGTGGGGAGGAAATTGTTAAGGTATTAACACAGTCTTACCTCTAGGCCTTAACTTTGACTTTACATTAGAGATTGTACACATGTTATTTGAGCAAAAGGTCTAGGGGGAAAAAAATATCTTTTTGCCCTTCCCTCTAGTGATCATGCTCAAAACTCCCTTTAAACCTCTATCAGTATTGCTGTTATCCCAGAATACAACATGTTAGGTAAAGAGGGGGGAACTACTTGTTTTTGCTTAAATTTGCTCTTTCTTTTTAATGTGCATTCCCCCTGAATAATTTTGCCACCTTTTTTTTGCCACCTTTTTTTGCCGCCTTTTTAAGTAAACATTTGAATTACTAGCTGTGCTTTCTAAATGTCTTGTACATTTTGTTCTCAAAATAAATGCTGATAAAATGCTTTCTTGCTCTGTTAGCCTCACTCTCAAAAGAACTAGATGTCTAACCAATTTTTCTTATTCTCAGTAAATGCTAATTAAATAACTACCTTAGCTACCACTTGCTTAGGTACTCCCTAACTCTTCTTTCCCCTCCACCTTGGATCCAGAGGAGCCATGGTTTCCCTGTGAAGACAGCCACTTTTCCCATATCACTTTGAGACTAAAGCGCTTAGCTACAATTCCCAGCTCCTGGCCCAGAGAGGATTGGTAACACCATAACAAGCTACCCTTCCAGTCCAGGATTCTTTTCAGAACTCACATATAATCTAGAATGAATACTTGTCCTTTCTTGGCTCCAGAAATGCCTCCACCACTCACTAAAGCTGAGATGAACCTTCCTTCTAAGGATATGGCCCTACTCGATGAATTTTAATAAAATACTTTTTTTCATTGAAATGCTTTTGAGATTCAGAAGTTAAGTATGGAATTTGGGGTCTGAAATGTATCCTAAAAGATCTCATACATCCCTGTCTGTCTTTGGGCACGATTGTACCTGTCAGTTTGCTTTAAGAGACATTTATTAGGTTTATATGCTTAGTACTAGAAGGGATTGTAGAGATCCTCAAGTCTTCCCCGCCCTTCTTTTCATAAATAATGAAGGCTTATCCAGGTTTTCATAGGTGGTAAGAAGGGGCTCTAGATGGATCAGACCGAGATCCTCAAACTTCAGACCCAGAGTTCTTTGTATTCTGTCCTGCTGCCTCTCACTCTGCCTGGGGAGCTTTTTACATACTAGGCACCAAATTGGCCCAGGGAGGTCACTGAACAACATGCTTTTTTAAAAGCACGAGAAGATGAGATTCAATCCATGAATAGGATTGAATTCGGTCTTTTTCCAAATCAAACAGACTTTGAAAACCTGTCTTCTACTCTAGTGCTTGCAAAGACTCATTTTGAAATTCATTTTCAACAAGTGACCAGATTGGTATAATTATTTTTAAGTTCTTATAGAATCAAAAAAAAAAAGTTCTTATAGAAGCATATTGGATTTCTGCCATTAAGATAAATTCCTACATACCCTGGGCACATTTTTCTTTGCAAGAAAATATATCAACCAATAAGTCCAGAAGGAATATTCACAAAAGAAGCCTGCAGTAGGGAGTCTGTATGGAAAGAAGCACATCTTTGCAGTAGATTTCAGTCTGGCATCATTAACTCATCTGAAACCTGCTAGAATCTACTGCCATTCTGGGATTGGATTTTGACCAGCAGAATATTAGCTCCATTTCATCTAATTTTGTCCTTTTTACAGGAACATAACACCTCTCAATTCTTATCATATTCTGCCTTGGTTGAGATTTTTTTCCTGTCTTGGAACCACAAATGCTCTAGATCAAAAGTAACCATCCTGCCAGATCTCCTGCCTTCACCTGAAACTCTCTTCTCCTAACTGCTTCCTCTTCCCTAGGTCCCTTATTTTTTACTAAAAAAGCTTTTGTTATAAATGTGTATAATCTGTTAGAGCCGTATACAATAGAAGCAGTTGGTATGATATAGCTAAGCTACAACATACATTCTAGTCACCAAAATACTATGTTTTGCATCATAAAGTTGAACCCTTTTGTATAGAAATGAATTATTTGTTTGCTTACGACTTAACTCCATGCTTTAACATTATTTGTCTTGACCAAGAGATTATTAGCGTGTTATGAGGATATGTGAGCCACAGAGAATCTCATCAAAAAGACTTCAGGAAAATCTAGAGCTAATAAAGAATTCATTGTTTCATCTTCATTTCCAAATTGTTTATGTGCATGTTTCCTGTATCTTTAGGTCTTTACCTTTTCTTAATAAACCATAAAGCATTTATAACCGATGAATTTACCATTCATTCAAAAAAGGAGAATCTTGATAAGACTCTTCAAGAAATTTTTATTTAATGTCTTCAAATACCCAAAGACCTCTCCCACTCAAGTTATCTCTCAGCATCTAGTAGGGTTTTTTTTCATACTGGTTCTGAGTTCCTGTGAAAATTTGCCCAGTAAAAGTACTGAGTTCTTCCTTTTCTTTGTAAGGAGTTAAGTGAACTAGGGTGTTTGAAACCAATCTCCTTTGTTTCTTGGTCCTCTTTCAGTTTCTGCAAGACATCTTGGACACACTATTTGTGATTTTGGATGATAATACTGAAAAATATGGTCTTTTGGTCTTTCAGTCCCTGGTAAGTACCCAGCCCAAGGTATATAAGACGATGTCGCCTCCAAGGTCTCTGTTCTGCTTTAGAGCACTGATGAGGAGGGTGGAGCTCAGGGTCTAAAGATAGAGGCCCATGGCCCTCAGAGAGACAGAGATGAAATCAAATATTTATAAGTACAAGTAGATAAAATATTAATGTTTCACTGTTCCTTAAATACATCAAGAATGTCCACTCCTATCACCTTCAAGGGGTTATGTTTAATTCTCTTAATGAGTCATGATGCTCTTCTGTAATCTCCTTCAGGTGTTCATCATTAATCTGCTCCGGGACAGCAAGTATTTCCATTTTCGACCTGTGATGGACACGTACATCCAGAAGCACTTTGCTGGAGCATTGGCATACAAGTAAGCCCCATTTGACCATCATCTGTCTACTTTTTTGCTTGACCTTTTGCCTTTTATGTAGAAGGGATCAAAATCCTAGTTTAGTGGTTATCAAAGGTCAGATGGTATTTAATATCAAAGCTTCGTGAAATAATTTATCTATCTTACCTTCTAAAATAAATGTTTCTTAAAGTATCTTGATTTCTTAAGGAAGAAGCATTTGAAATCTAGATCTAGTCTTGTTTCCCAGAACTAGAACCAGAAGAGGTCAGGAACATTATTGGGTAGTCACAGGTCAGACTGTTCTTTGCCATGAGGAAATGTTCCCAGAATGACCACCAGAATACTGTGAGGATGCCTGTTCACAAAAACAACATGTCCAAAATGGCCCTCCTTTAATATCCCATATGCCACTAACTTCCCACCCCAATATGAGAGGAACCGAGAAAAAGTCTCTCTCTGAGGAAGAGATACATCAGATTGTGAATCAAATTAATAACCAACTGCATCACAAATACATAGTTTAAATAATGCTGCCAGTCTTTATGAAGAGGTAAAATAGGAAACCATCCATGTGTTGTGATTTTAGGAGGGAAGAGAAAATTATCTTTCCCATGGCCAGTTGTGGACTTAAAATTATTTCTTAAGGTCAAGGAGGCTTTTATCTTCATCCCTGAAGTTGATTTATTGACATTTTAGTGATTTAAAACTTGATTACTAGTTCTGCACCAGAATATTTTCTTAATGGCAGATAATCCTTCCTATCACACGCTTATGCATCACTATCATAAATCTATCTTTTACCTCTAACCATTCACTGCATTTGGCAAAGGATAGCCTTTGGTACATCCCATAATTCTAAATCAAAGGCTGCCAGCCCCAACTTTTCAAACTTTGCCACTCCAACAATAAAGGAGGATTTTCATCCGTGTATCTCCTCCACAGAGAACTGATCCGTTGTTTAAAGTGGTACATGGACCGCTCAGCAGAACTCGTTCGACAGGACCATATTCAAGAGGCCATGAGGGTGGGTATCATCGGGTCTAACTGATTCTCCTAATGATATTCAGAAATTATCACATTTACCCTGTTATTTTAATCCTCTTTCCAGAAGGAAAGCAAAGAGTGTTATTTTATAAGAATGTGGGTCTTGTCCCACTCTTTCCCTTAGCAGACTTTATCTTTGAGATTCTTGTTTCTGTTCATTAAAACAGTGATTCTCACAAGTGATGTAACAATCAGTGGTAAAGTTAATGGTAGAGTAATGTAGTAAAGGGGGACCTTTTTGAGATCTATCATCTGGTATTATACTATGTGCTATGTATTAGGGAAATGAAAATTTTTCCTGATACATAAAAATGCACTTTTTCCAATCCATAAGTTGGACCATAGGCACATGATTTAGATTTTTTTCATAGCTTAATACTTTTTATTGCCTATTTTTGAAAATTGAATGCATTTGGAAAGTGGTTGACCTGATACTTGCCTGACTCACTTATCCTTATGGAATACATGCTATATATATAAGGCATACTCAGATTTTAGGTAGTTGTTTGATAGAGGGCTGAAATTTAAACTTGTAAAAAAAAATCTAAAGATTAAAAATTATCAAAACAATTTGAAAACAACCAGTTCATGTTATGCTAAAATTTTCAGGGGTTTTCAGATTTTTCTTTTTTACCACACTTCTTAAATGAATAACAAATGTTGATAATTCCTCAACCTTGTACTTCAAAGTACTTTTTTGCCCATCAGTATTAATTAACTACTGGTCTTATATTTCTTTTCTTTAAGGTCATAGTTCACTTACATAGAGATACCATGTTTATTTCATTCCTCTTTCCCAGGGTTAGAAAATAATAAGCTTTATTCGGCCTGTACAGGCCAATAGTTAAAAGACTGTTTGTGGCACATGTAGCAAAGAGCGAATTATACTATGACTCTAATTTAGTAATCTTCTGGTCCAAAAAGACTCGAAGGCGATTTTTTCCCCTGATAGAGTCCCCAGTGCCAGGAAAGCTCTGCATGAGCAGCGTAAGATTGAATTTTCTTTTGCTAGCCCATTGACAGATAGGCAGGCCATATATAGGAGCTTGAGAATAGAGTTTTCTTTTATATATTGTAATCAACTGTTCCATCCTCACTTTCTTGGATGAGTTTCTTCCTGATGTCTCTTTGACTTCATAGTCTGCCAAGAGTCTCAATTATCTTAGGAAAGCTGGCTTTTTTTTTTTGGATCAGCAAACCTGTTGTTCCATCTTTATCCCGTTTTGCAAAAGGCTCCTTTTGCTTGTGGACATAGCTAAACATTATGAGAGATCACAAACTCCATCTCAGCTCCAGAAACAAATTAGATGCCTTTATCTTTCCTGTTGTTTATGAACTATTTGTGGAAAAACAGCCGGACTGAGGAATGGAAGACCTGGGATGTGGGCTCAGCCTGCTGTGAAACATCCTTGAACAAGTCATTTCACTGCATTTTTTGTTCCCGTAAGTGTAAAATAGAAATACCTCTGCCAGGCCCTAGGCTACTCTCATGAAGAGATGATGCCTTTACTCCTTGAAATAAAAATAATATATAAATTCAAAGTAGGATTACCATCATTTTTATTGCTGCTGCTTATTCCCAAACCCATTAAAAGAAATTAGCAGAAACTTAATTTTTACATGGCCCAGATTTCTTCCTTTTTCTTCTATCCAGATATTTCCAATATTAGTCCATGGTTCCATAATACTAGTACCCAAGAAAATAGTTTTAAAGCCATTTGATGAGTTCACCTATAAGAAAGAGGCAATCAACTTTATCACCACTTTGAGAGTTGTCTTTTGGAAAATACATTATAAAAGAAAATGCACTTCTGCCCATCATAATTTTACATTGCACCAAATTTTAATTTTCTAACTCTGCTATTTTGCTACCTGGTTCCATTCCTGCATCTCTTTATAGCTCTCATTTTCACTCTCTTCTTGCTTCCCTAAGGCTTTGGAATACCTTTTTAAGTTCATTGTCCAGTCTCGGATACTTTACTCCAGAGCTACATGTGGAATGGAAGAGGAACAATTCCGATCCAGCATCCAAGAACTTTTCCAATCCATCCGATTTGTCCTGAGCTTGGATAGCCGAAGCTCTGAAACACTCCTTTTCACACAGGTTAGTAGTTGTAGTTCTAGATCCAGATCTGACTGATTCTTAGTCATAATGGATAGTTTCTTTGGTGTTCCCGCTGCTCAAATGGAAGTGCTTCTGCAGAGAATTCTGATTTATTGTGCAATGCAGTATGCATTAGTTCCCAGGTGAATAGATTTCTAGTGAAGAATGAAGGGAGAGACAGTATGACATTGTCACTAGAGAGCCAGCCTCAAAAACGAAGAAACCAGGGTTCAAGTCCCTCTTCTGACATGTACTGACTAGGTGACTCTGGGCAAGTCATTTAATCTCCCAGTGCCCACAGCATCTCCCTAACAAACAGAAGTTTCAGAACAATTGCCAATCTGCATTGAGAATTTACCTGTTGGAAGTTCCCAACATCAAAGAAATCACAAATTCGGTTTAAAAATGAATACAACTTTATTCTCCCTCTTTAGACTCTTGAGACTTAACTTGCAACTACTAGATGTCTTTAGAGTTTTTAGAAGTATCTTGGTCATGAAAATCTTTCTCAATATATTGGGTATTTGAATCCTCTTATTAATCACTGTGTGAGTTAATGGCCTTGCATCAGCACATTTCAGTTCTAGCAAAAGATAACTGGAAATCCTTAGCCAAAAGGCATGGTAGCCAGGCTTAGACAATGAATGTGGTACCTGTTGGTACCTGTTAGAGACATCTTCTCCCTGAATCCAGTCAGTCTTTTTTTTTTTTTTGCATTGCTATATCATTTCTGTTGGAGAAATAAGACTGCAGGGCTGGTTTGACAGTAGGAATGTACCATTGAAGCAAGTCTGCTAAAAAGAGTCCGGTTCGTTTCCATTCCTCCTAAAAAGAAATCAAATAGCTTTCCTCATCGCCTTGGTACAGACAACTCTGTATGTGGAAATCCTGTCATATTTAATATTTGAAATGTCTGCTTTGCTGCCCCATTACCCCTTTCCCCCAATTGCCACCTAGTGCCCTTGGCCTCGTAGGACAGGTGAACAGAGCTGGCAATTGTACCTCACAAAACAGTGGGGGCACCTCAAGGTCATCAGTTAATTCTGTAAGTCAGAGCTCCCCTACATACCTTTCAAGGTGGCTGAATTGAGTGACCCTTTCCCCTCCCCCAGCCCATCTGCTCCTGCTGCTCCAGCATTCCATACAGGTCCAAGGCAACTGCTCTTCCTCTTAGCCAGAGAATAAGCTTGGGGAGCATACAGGAAACTGGCAAAAGCAAATTTAATACCAAAAACTTCAGGAATGCCTTTATCCCACATCCCTGCTCTGTCAAGATAATAAGCAGAGATTCAGGCCAGCTCTGTCACTATGCTAATGCTTTGTTGGGGCTGAAACTGGCTTCTCTAGCTTCCTTTATGTCTCTGGTTTGCCTGTTAGATGATGTAAGCATGTGTGGCACAGGAGACTTCATCCATATAGATTTCTCTCTCTCATCCCTGTGAACAAGGCACAGCAGAGCTCACACTTTCAGAGACAAAAACTTGAGCATGATGGTCCCTTGGGAATACCAATGACTTCTTGTCCTTCTTTTTTCTTCCTATGTCTGAAAACTTTCAGTGGTATAATTTGAGCCTAGTTCTAACCATAATAAGAAGTTACCTTGTTATCACAAGACCTTGTGCCCAACAAAGGAAAATACTATTAGATTGAAAGGATAGGTAGCCAAGGCATATGGTGCTTAATGACCCTTGTGAACAAGGGATGTCTTGACATCCAACAGAAACCTCAGAGGGTTGACCTCTTAGGTCAAATTTATACATGCAAATAGTCTTCCAGCCAGCCCTGTCTTACCACAGAATAAATGTCACTCATTAGAAGCAAGGGCCTCTAAACAAGCCTCCTGGTGGTCCCATAAATCTCTCCTCTCCATCCTTCATAGATGGCGTTCCTCCACTTTCTAGTTGCTTTGGTAGTCTCAGGCCTCATAAGGTAAGAGATGCTCTGAATTTGGGGCTCAAATCTTAAGCCTGCCCTCCTGGACCTGAGATAGGATGAAAGGCCACCAAGCTACAGCCTGTCAGAAGGGACTAACCCTGAGCTTTTTACCATTTGGACAGATCTCTGGGATCATGGCCATGATCATCTCCAATAAAGGCAGTGTAGGGAATCTGTAAGTTGTCATGATGTCTGTCTAGGTCTTGAATGCAGTGAAAATTCTCTCCACTTTCTCCAACACTAAATTATCATCCATGGGTCATCAGAGTCACTGTGTCATGCCATAAAAAGGCTCCTTAGTACAGTGGAAGATTCGCTGGGCTGGGAATGAGGAAATCTGTTCCTTCCTCTGCATCCAGTCATTAAAAGTACTAAAATACTATGTTTTGCATCATGAAGTTGAACCCTGTGAGCCTTGACTTCTCTATTTGTAAAATGAAGATCTTGGCTAGATGGTTCTATCCAGCTCTGAAATTCCAATATTTGCCCTTAATACAATCCTCTTTAGAGAATTTCATGCCTGAAAAACTCCAACTTCTAGCCATTCTGGATTTACCCTCGAGAGAGGTGGTAATTCCTTGTGAAGGAGATAATTTGCGAAGTCTTCTATTTGCATAATTGAAAATAAGTTCATTCCTCCTACAGAAGTATGAAGCTTTCAAGTTCACCATAGTAAGCTTGGGGCTAACGGACTCCTGAGCTGTTACACACAGACCTGCTTCAAGCCTCCATACTGACACCGGCCACTTCCTTTGGAAGGCTTATGCATCTCTAAATCTGTTCAGTAGCCAGAGAGCTTGCCTTCCAAACACAGGGAGTCTTTTCTTATGTGCTTGCTGAATAAAAACAGTTACAAAAGCCCTAGAACTTTTTCCTAATCTTCACTGGCAAAGAAATCACTCAGTGAACTGCTTGAAGGTAAGGTCTTGCGCTCCTCCAGGGACCAGCTCCTGCCATTCCTACTTTATATTGAGAGTGACGCCATCTAACTGGCAGCAGAGCCCAGTAGTGGGTCATGTGTCGCATAAGCTGCATTCCTTCCAAACCAGTGGGGAAGATAAGGCAAGCGTTGTCAGTTCAATCCTTGCTGCCATAGACTGTCATCCCTGCAAACAGACTGGCAGGACATCCAACCAGGGCTAATAATAGCAGCTTTGTTTTCCTTTTGCAGGCTGCTCTACTCAACTCTTTCCCTGCTATCTTTGATGAGCTGCTGCAGATGTTTACCGTGCAGGAGGTCGCAGAGTTTGTGAGAGGGACTCTGGGGAGCATGCCCAGTACGGTGCACATCGGACAGTCTATGGACGTAGTGAAACTTCAGTCTATCGCCCGCACAGTAGACAGCCGCCTGTTTTCCTTCTCTGGTAAAATATACATATATATACACACACACAACATGAATAACTTTTAGCATGTTTCAAATAATTGTTATCAGAGTGATTTTTTTGTTGGTTAGGCAATGGGATTCAGTGACTTGCTCAGGGTCACACAGCTAGTAAGTGTTATGTGTCTGAGGCCAGATTTGAACTCAGGTCCTCCTGAATCCAGGGCCAGTACTCTATCCACTGCACCACCTAGCTGCCCCGATATTTTTTCTTATCATAACAATAAAACTGGTGTGTGCCCAGACCCCATCAGTCTCCTTGGGTGATGCAATTTTCCCAAGGCTGCATCAGCCAAAGGGTCTGACGGAATCTGTGCATGTGTCAGACCCCACCCCATTTCTTCCCAGTTATATTAGAAATACAATATTCTATGCTTGTCTTTCTATCTACAGCTAGCTCTCCTTGGAAGTTTGAGGTTGGTACTATTTTCATAGAGATAGCACTGTTATTTATGAAGCATTTCTGTCTCATTTTGTCCCTTATTTCATCCTCGCATCAATGTTCTGAACTAGGTACGGAACATATTGTTGTCAACATTTTATAGAAGGAAAAAATAAGGTCTACAGATGTCACCAGTGAGTTAGGGACAGAGATGATCTAGACAGCAGGGGTTTTAATAACTAACCCCTTTTATGTCGTGGAACCCTTTGGCAATCTGATGAACCTTATCATTCCCTTCTCAGAACAATGATTTGTTGTTTACATTCACAATTGAAGGAAATTATAAATTTTAGTTATAAGTTAATAAAGATGCAATTTTTCTTATCTAAATTCCCAGACCCACTGAAATCTGTTCTTGAACCCCTTAGGGGTCCATGGACTCTAGGTTAAAGACCTCTGATCTAGAGAAAGCAAGTTTCCTGAACCTAACCACAGGCTCTGATGCTGTCATACCCTGAATAAATGAGACTTGAGGTGATATTGGGAAAAAGGAAAAAGAAGAAAGTTGTCTAAATTCATGAAAGAGAACAAAATTTGGCAATTAGATTGTTCTGATTATCAAAGGCTTATCAAAATACAAAGGATGTACCCTCATTTTAATTGCTATTGAAACAGAGCTTTCATGTAACAGATTGAGGTGAAACTCTTGTGTGCTTAGCAGCTGTAATAGAGAAGGGGCATAAGTGGATATGTATGCATGGCCACTTGGCACTGGATTGATATGAACAAATGGTAATTCATACCCGCTAATAAATGGTAATTCACATCAAATCTTCATGTCCAGTCAATGTAGTGAAGGCCAGATGTGCTATTTAAATAGACTTTTCACTATGAGATGTGCTATTAATTTAAGGGTTAGTCATTGAAATAATTTCATTCAGAAGCTCTCCCCTGACTTACCCTGTACCACATGTCACTCATTACAGGCAACATTTGAAATGAGACTAGAAGGGAAGTGGAGTGGTTTGGCTATCATTTCTGTTGGAAAAACAAAGGTTGGTTCACCAGAAGGAATGTGAAGCTCAAAAGTATTTGCTTGGGGGGCAGTTAGGTGGTGCAGTGGATAGAGTACCAGCCCTGACGTTAGGAGGACCTGAGTTCAAATCCAGCCTCAGACCAAACACTTGACACTTACTAGCTGTGTGACCCCAGGCAAGTCACTTAACCCCAATTGCCTAAAAAAAAAAAAGTATCTGCTTGGCTTTCAGACTCTTCTAGAAAAAAAGTAAATGACCTTACTCATTACCCATCCTAGCTCTGTTTGGAAGCTGTAGAAACAAGTCACTCGTTCTGACAAGCGGTTAGGTTTTCTTGGTTGGACAAGCAAGGCTAATACAAATGGCTGGTTCCCTTCCAAAGGTCACCTTAGGGCTCTCTGCCTCTTTTCTTGCAGAATCCAGACGCATCCTTCTCCCTGTGGTCCTTCATCATATCCACTTACACCTAAGGCAACAAAAGGAGCTACTGATCTGCTCAGGGATCCTCAGCAGCATTTTCTCCATCATCAAGACCAGTTCATTGGTAATGGGCTCCCTTTTCCACTGGCCTAGCTCTAGTCTGTTTTTACCACGATCAGGCATAGACCAAGAAGCTGCTCTGTGCGTTATTCATTCAGGGGAGCTTCTCTTAGCAATAAGAGGATGCTCGAGTAAATGAGCTCTGTGCTTATGTGTGTATATATACATGCACACACCTTCTGGCATTTTCAATACAGTGTGCTCTCTCCATTTAAAAAAAAAAAAAACTCCACTTCTACAAATCTCTATTAGGTTGGCACTTGCTAAATTCCTTGTTCCTCTGCCAGTTCTGCAGTAATTATCTGTAGAACCTGAAAGTGAAGTCTCATGTTGAGATTCCTTATATATTTCCTGAAAGACATTAATTATGGATTTCTAGTAAGTTCCTAGGGATTCCCCTAAAGATGGCTTCAGTGAAGTTGGACCAAGTTGCTGAAGTCTTTCCTGCAAGAAAGTCTTCCTTTGGTTCTTTAAGAGAGCCCGGAGGTCAGAGAGAAGCAAAGACATATTGATTTAATAACCATTGAATACCTACCATGTACAGGGCAAACTGAGAATTAAAAAGACTCAAACTTGGCTCACTGGGGATGTAAGGAAATAGAAAGATGAACTATACAACTAACTATTCTTTAAGAATGATGCCTTCAATATAACATTTGTTCCTTTCTTTTCTACCTTTTCCTGTCTCTCCCTTCTTTCTTTTTTTTCCTTCCTTCCTTCCTCCTTTCTTTCAAAACCTAAAGCAGGAGATCATGTACAATATTACCACAGTTATAGGTAATTATATTATTTTATTAAACCAAGGGACGCTTGATGGAAGGATCACACTTTAAATGAAAAGTCCTCTGAATGGAAAGTGTGATACATTGTACTATGCCCATGGGAGGGCCCTGGAGAAGATGTTGAGGCAGAAGTGGAATGAGGAAACGAAAAGGATTCAAAGGAGGTGGATGGGATTTGAACAACTGGAAGCAAAAAAAGGCAAAGGGGATTCAGAGAGGTGCGATATGATGGGAGAGATTCAGACTCAGTCTAAGTAGCATGAATGTTACCTGGAAGGTAATAAGAGAAATTCTAAGGCAGGAGCTAGCAAACTCTTTAATGGTAAACAGGAGGAGGTAGAGGAGGAGGAAGAGAAGGAGGAGAACAGAAAAAATGAAGAAAGGAAAGAGAAAAAAATAATTCATGTGCCATAGGTCACTTAAGATTGCTGTAGGAGGTTTTTAGAATGAGGGTGATCAAATTGATAACCAAGAATTCATTCAGTAGTTATTAAGTGCATGTGCAGAGCACAGTGCTGGATAGTTAAGACATGATTTTTGCCTTTATGAAGTGTATAGTCTAGTGAGATGGTATTTAGGCCCATAGTAGCAGAAAAAATTCTAAGGGACAAGGAGATCTAGCTGAGAAGTAACAAGATTCTGTGTGTAAAATTTTTTAAATATTAACAGTGGGATTGAAGATTAAATGTGAGAGAATTAGAAAAGGACCAAAGATGATTCCAATACTCAATGTATAGTAAAATGGGAAAATGATTTGTAGGTGCTTGAGAAGGAAGGGTATTCCATCTTTCCCAAGGCTAATTTGAAGTGATAATAAGCATATAGGGATAGAATTTGTAGAATTAAGAACATAGATATGGATAATGGGACATAAGGAAGGGAGATAGAAAAGTAGAGATGTGACCAATTCATGGCAATTAGTCAAGCAGGTAAACATGTATTAAACACCTACTATGTGCTGTACACTGGTAGACGCTGGTATTACAGAGCCAAAAGGGAAATTCTATATACATTCAGGTAGCTTACATTCTACTGGGGAAAACAACATATACACATGTAGATAAAAAGTAGATACAGACTGATTCGAGTAGGGGACAGAATATGAGCAGGCAGGGGAATCAGGCCAGGTTTCATGTAGAACATGGTATTTGCTCTGACTCTTGAAGGAAACTAGAGATTCTAAGATGTGGAATTGAGGAGGGAATGCATTCTAGGTATGTTCTGAGGGCTAGGACAAAGCACAGAGGTAGGTGATTGAGTGCCGTGTATGAAAAACAGTAAAAAGACCAGTTTGATTGGAACTTAGAGTATGTGGAAGAAAGTAACTTGAAATAAGCTTGAAGGGTAGATTAGGGTTGTGAGGGACTTCAATTACCAAACTGAGGTTTGTAAGTGAAGGCAAAGAGTTGGAAATGGTTGGGATCTCCCAAGGAGAAAACTGAGAGGGAAAAGGACCCAAAAGGGACCCAAATGTTTCAGTACTTGTTAGTGATAAATTTGCCACCGTTCTATGCTTAAATAATCGTTGTTTTGCTGGGTAGAGGATGATCCGATCATTTGAATTTTGCTTTATTTGTTGTTAAAAATCCTTCATAGCTTTTCTTCCAGGGAAACCAATGTAAATATTAAAATCAGACTTATACTTTCCCACTATGGTAACTAAACCTCTGTCTATAATTCAGCCTTGTTTGATGAGTGAAGACAAGGCTGCACTGAGATTGTCTTCAGTATGGATGCTCTGCTAAACATCTAAGGGGGTTCTCCCCTTATCTCTTAGTCTTTCCAGGTGTATTGGCCATTAACTCTAACACAGCTGCAGTGCAGGTATGGAAAATCCTAGCATGAAGACAGTGCCTAACATAACTACCTTCGTAAGTGCTGCCGACTGGGCTTTCTCCGTCTGCTCAATGCTAACAGTTTGCTTTCTTGCTGCTTGCTCCAGGAAGCAGATGTAGTGGAGGAGGTTGAAATGATGGTGGAGAGCCTCTTGGATGTGCTCTTACAGACTCTGCTTACTATCATGAGTAAATCACAGTCTCAGGAGGCGGTAAGAGGGCAGCGGTGCCCGCAGTGCACAGCCGAAATCACTGTTAGTAACTAACAATCAGGTTCTATTGCCTGCTTTTCTAACCTTTAATTCCTTCACCCAACCCTTATCACCCACCTTCATCCCATGCCCATCTCTCCTGCATGATTGATCAGAGCATGACTCCTCTCCTTCTTGAGTCACATGGCATTTCTTTATTCTGAAAACCAATCACAATTCCAGATTCATGCCTCTCTAAAAGAGAAGCAAAAATGAATTGGTGGCAAGGAAAGTTCTCTTGATTTTCCTGATGCTTTCTGGCATTGGCCTCTGGGGTCAGTCATTTTCCAAGGTTTGGAGACAGTTAGGAAAGATTCCCATGTACCATGCTGAGAAGGATGAAAAAGAAAATCCCTTCCTAATCTGCTACTGGATGTCATCATAGAATACTAACTTAGTGTAAGTCTGTGTCAAAGTCTGTGTCATGCACAAGAGAAAATGATGCTCAATCATAATGTGCCTTTGTTGGGAAGTTTATAGTTTCTGTCTGCAGTGTCAGTCACTAAACTTCAAGCATCAGAGATTTAGGACAAAAAAATAATGAGATAGAAATATGCAATTGCCAGAAATTAGTAGCCATGCAGATATGATTTAGCACAGAAGCGGGAGATTAGTGTTTCAGAAGGAGCAGAGAAACAGTTACTTAGCTTCCTGAATGGAGGGGGGACCTGGCACCAAGGAATTCTAGAATGGACATTTTCATCCTGATGCTGTGAGCAGGAAAGGCCAGCACTGCTGGCAACCTCTTTTTCAAAAAAAAAAAAGTCTTCCATTTGGCAGATGGGGATTAAAATTAATCTCTTGAATTAAATCCTCTGTGGGAAAAGGCTAAACTGTAAGCATTCCAGGGAAAGAGGAGAGAGTTTGGGGAGTAGGAAGAGGCAGAGAAAGAAACAACATCAGCCTTATGCAGCAAGACACTGTGCCTGTAGCTGGTGTGCTGCTGTAAAAGGGTCACTCGATGTCCTGAGGGACCCCTATTTGGGAGCTCTCTTGCTTTAGAGGAATCCTATAAGTAAACATATGCACAGAGAGAGAAAGTGAGGAGCATGGACTGTGGATATTATTTATGAAAACTGAAGTTCTTAATCTAGGTGATTCTGTTATAGAATTTCATCCATCAGAGGGGAGGGGAGGGAAGAGAAGGGGAAGGGAATAAGCATTTATAGAGTGCCTACTATGTGGCAGGTACTAAAATGCTGAGCATTTTACAAATATGATCTCATGAGTCTAGACCTGTGATTTCATTGGTGGAGGAAACTACCTCTACTAGTATAAAGGTGTCCTGCAAGTTGCAGTATTAGCGAGTTTCCTGGGACTCTAAGAGATTAAATGATTGTTTCTGTGGTTCAGTGGTTTAAGTCATGTCCAACTCTCTGTGACCCCATTTGGGGTTTTCTTGGCAAAGATACTGGAGTGGTTTGCCATGTCCCTCTCCAACTCATTTTACAGATGAGGAAACTGAGGCAAACAGGATTAAGTGGCTTGCCCAGGGTGACACAGCTAGTAAATATCTGAGGCCAGATTTGAACTCAGGAAGATGAATCTTCCTGACGCCAGACCAGGTACTCTATCCACTAAGCCACCTAGCTACCTTATCCAAGTATGTGTAAGAGTCAGGACTTGACCCCAGGCCCTTTTGGCTCTGAAGCCAACTCTTTTTCCACTGTTTCTTTCAACTTTAAACATGCACATCACATATATAATAATTTTAATTCTTCTCAAAGATAATTGGATCTGAATATTGAATTGAGGTCGGATTCCTAGGGTCTTAAGAATGCCAAAAAACTATGCACAGTGAAGTCTTTTCACACAAGTCTTCCAGGACAGATATCTTTCTGGCTACTTTACTCATTTGCTGCCCTACCCCAGGGTTGCCATTATTTTGGCATTTGGGTGCTGCTTTGAGCTTTATTTGACTTGAAGGAGTTTTAAGGTCTCTAATTTTTATCCCTAAATCCTGCTGCCTTCCACTCCACAGTGCTTCCTTATTTATCCCCAATATTTGGGCCCTTAGGGTTCCTGCTTTCTAAATGTTCTGTGTGGTTCCTTTTTCTAATTGCTGCCTAGCCCTTTAATCCTTGCACTCCCAGTCTCAGAAAACCCATGGAGCCACAGAGGCCCTCTAAGATCTGAGTCCTCTGTGGGAAATTTTGCTTCACAGAGGCAGAAGAATTCTTGCCATAAGGAAAGTTAAAGCCCGTACGTGTAAACTGTTAACTGAAAAACATAGTATATCAACTAACTGTAAAGAAGCTTGTTGTTTTTAAATGATCTCATGATGTGATGACACTGTCCAGCGTTGTTTACATTGTGGTAAATGCCCTGTTTTGAGCAGACCTCGCCTTCTCTGCCAGAATGTGAAGCTCACTTAAAGCTTGATTTTGTTGTTCAGTTGTTTCAGTCGTGTCTGACTCTTTGTGACCCAATTTGGGGTTTTCTTGGCAAAGATACTGGAGTAGTTTGCCACTTCCTCCTCCAGCTCATTTTACAGATGAGGAAATTGAGGCAAACAGGGTTAAGTGACTTGCCCAGGGTCACACAGCTAGTAAGTGTCTGGGGTCTGATTTGAACTCAGGAAAATGAGTCTTCCTGACTTCAGGCCCAGCACTCTGTCTGCTCTACCATCTAGCTACCACTAAAGCTTAATCGTTTTCACCATCTTTCCATGGACATTGGGGCCATTTCAAACCTACTCCTTTTCCCTTGACCCAGGTGGGCTTTGGGGAAATAATCCTTGTGATTGTCTGCACTAAGTGTGTATGTTCCTATTGGTTGACAGGGGGAGTATGTGTCCTGCCTCCTGTCTCTGCTCCGTCAGATGTCAGATACACATTTCCAACATTTACTGGACAACTTTCAGAGCAAGGATGAGCTAAAGGTAGGAGGAGGCAGGATACTACCGTGACAGTGGGCTAGGTTGTCAGACATTGTAGGCTACTAAGGGCAATGTAACAGAAGATTGGCTTCAGTTTCCTGCTTTTAGGGAGGAGATTAGTATTTCAAAGCAATAAAGGAAATGGGATTGTTGAAGAGACACAGATATCCAGCCTTTCTCTGGAACTGGTATTACAGCCTCCTTCAAACTGCAGGTTGTCAAGTTCTCCCCAGTGGTAACTGACTGATTTAATAGAATAATTTCCTTTCATTAATACACAATTCCAAGAAGATGTCAGGAGCAGGAAAGTGGCAATTGACACATTAACCTGTTACCCTTTAAATGGCTGCAGCAAACACTAGAGCAGGAAGCACAAAGAAGCTGGCCCACAGAACCAAGCGAGGGTATTCCAGAATAGTTCCCCAAACACAACATGGTGGCATGTTTGCCATTATCCAGCTGTAGAGTCACCAAGATTCATTAGCCTTCTCATACTGCTAGTTACTCATGCTTTACCACATTCCTTACCTGTCTATCACACGAGGAGCTGCTTTATGCAGAGTCCCTGATACATAGGCTACAGTTGCTACAGTTGCATTCCCTGGACTTGACTTGGAGTTTGAAGAGTATGTGTCTCTGGCAATGCTCACTGCAAGGACACTCATTTTGTTTTTGTTGATTTTCAGTCATGTCTGACTCTTCATGACCCCATTCATTATCTTGGCAAAGATAATGGATCGGTTTGCCATTTCCTTCTCCTGCTCATTTTACATATGAGGAGACAGAGACAAGCAGGGTTAACTTGTCTAGGGTCACACAGCTAGTAAATGTCTAAGGCCGGATTTGAAGTCATGAAGAGAAGTTTTCCTGATTCTAAACTCAGCACTTTATGCACTGTGCCACCTACCTGCCCCAGGAACACTCATATAGGCTGTATTTCCCTAAACTAACATGAGGGAGCCAATCTCCTAGATCGCACTTCCAATGTCAAGAAAAGAAATAGAAATCTGTTGATAAGTTCCTAACCTAAAAAAGAGTTTTATGGCTTTGTTTCTGCTGAAGCATTCTAAGGCTTAGGTAACATGGGGAAAAAAATGAGAAGCAATGCAGCATAATGTACAACCCAGGGACAGCTTGCTAGTAGATGGACAAACGAGACAGACTCATTCCACTTGTATTGCTGCCAGACCCTTTCTTCCTCCCATCAGTAGACCTTTGGCCATTAAGCTAAGCATGCACAGTACTGCTCACGAGCTGACCAACACAATAATCGTACCTCCTTAAGAGTCTTTGGCCGTGCTTAGATACATTGGAAGCCCCCAAGCCACCTACCCCCAAAGTTGGGAGACATCCAAAATCCCAGAAGGACAAAATGACTCTAGGTGGGTAGGGCCCATCATTGATTCTATAAGGGTCCAAGAAAACAGATGAGATGTGTTGATACTGATGACCCTTGTGTTGTGCCCTTCTTCTATACCAGGAGTTCCTGCTCAAGATCTTCTGTGTATTTCGGAACCTGATGAAGATGAGCGTCTTTCCTCGTGACTGGATGGTGATGAGGCTGCTCACAAGCAAGTGAGTGTCAATGGGCCATTCACCCTGATCATGCTTATTGATGGATGAAGGATTAGATGAGGAATGAATGAGTTCCTAGCATCACAGGCAAAAATTTCTGTCCCACTACCAAACCCTGCTAAAAGAAACAGTCGCCCACAGAAAAACATGAGTGAACTAGGAAAGCCAAAAGGGGTGGGGGAGGGAAGAAAACAGCTTTGTAAACTGAAGCTAAGCCCAAAAAAAGTAGCACTGTTGTCTCTTATTATTGAGAGGGCATGAAAGACAGTAATCTCCTGGCAGCTTTTTCTTTACTAGACTTTGATTTAATTTAATAAATATTTAAATGTTCAGTTAGGTGGCACAATAAACAGAGCACCAAGCCTGAAATCGGGAAGACTCATCTTCCTAAGTTCAAATCTGGCCTCAAGCACTTACTAGTTGTATGATCCTGTGTAACTCTGTTTGCCTTAGTTTCCTCATCTATAAAATGAGCTGGAGAAGGAAACGGCAAACCACTCCGGTATCTTTGCCAAGAAAACCCTAAATGAGGTCATGGAGTTGGATATGACTAAAAAATGACTGGACCACAACAAATATTCAGTTCCAACATTTATTGAGCACTGATTATGTGCAGTATTTCCCTAGTTATCATTCAGTTATCAACCATATTATTATATATGGTCCTTTAAAATCAGAAAGTTCTCAGCCATCAAATTGCCTATTCCTTTCAGCTTTTAACATTGCCATTTCCATAGATGAGTCAAGGAAACAGGTGCCTGAAACTGGAGAGGAAGAATATGTCTTGAGATTGGCATTAAACGCTAATGTCAATTATCTTTAGAGAAATACCTATGGCACTAAAACTTACTATGATCAGTGGTATGAAGAAAAGATCATTGAACCAGGAGTTAAAAGACCTAGGTTCAGGTCAATTCAATTTGACGAAGCATTGATTGAATGTCAGCTATGTCCTGGGCCCTGTGCTAAGCTCTGGGGGATACAAACACAAAGTCCCTGCCCTCAAGACACTTCCATTCTAAGTTCCATGTACTGGAAATTCTGTATTTGGAGTCAAAGGACCTAGGTTCAGATGCCAATCGCTACTTGCTACCTATGTGACCTTGGACAAGTGTTAAACTCCCTCTGGGCCTCAGTTTCTTCTGCTATAAAATAAGAAAGTTGGATTAGATGATGTAAAGGTCCCTTTCACTTATAAATCCATGATCCTGGGGCAGCTAGGTGGCGCAGTGGATACAGCACCAGCCCTGAAGTCAGGAGGACCTGAGTTCAAATCTGGTCTCAGACCAAACACTTGACACTTACTAGCTGTGTGACCCTGGGCAAATCACTTAACCCCAATTGCCTAAAAGTAAAAAAATAAAATTTTAAATAAATAAATAAATCCATGATCCTGCTGTAAAGAATCCTAACTGTATAGATAACTATACACAAAATATAAACAAAATAAACAAAAAGGGATTTTTGAGTTCCAAGGCTGTTTATCAAATGGCGATGATAATTCTTGACCTGTCCTCCTTACGGCATGGTTGTGAAGTTCAAAAAAGAAACTAGAAAGTCCCTGGCAAACTGTCAGGCTACTTGCTATGATGTGTGTGCAACACATGTGACAATCTTGATCTGGGTATATCTGCTAAAGCCAGTATCCGAAATGGCTTTGCTTCATGTGACTTATGGGACCAATGTTGGACTCTAGTCCTGATATGGAAACAAAAATAAAAACCCACTTAAAAAAAGGAGAAAGAGCTGGTTGCCTGGAGCTATTAAAAGGCCTGTTTTGCTGCACTGCGTGACTTGGACACTTCTGGGGTAAAAGAAAGTGAACAGACAATCCCCACTTGCTGCTACAGTATATTACTATAAGTTATATCATGAAGCAAATTGTCAGGAAATGATAACATTTTCCCATTGAAACAAAGTTTATTTGGGGATGGTGATCCTGACTAAGGTCTGGGATCATACAATTAGTTCATATTTATGTAGCACTTTAAAGCTTGCAAAATAGTTTTCAGATATCCCATTTGATCAAATTGGTAGATACAATAAACAGTTTGCTCTAAAAGCAAAGTTATAGTAACTTTAAGCCTCTGCCACCCTTTAAAATTGTAAAATTGTATTGCAAATCCTTTAGAGTGAGAATCAACATGCCACATACTCAAGTGGTTCCGATGTTAGGATTGTAGAATCTCAGAGTATTAGATCTAAAATGCACAGCTAAACCAACTTAAACGATAGATGGCCAAACTCAGGTCCCAGGAGGAAAGTGACTTTCCTAAGGTCACACAGCTAGCCCATGGAAGAGCTAGAACTAATGTTGACAATTCCTGACATCTGATCTAGCACCCTTCCCACTGTTTCCCACTGACACCCTATAATGAGGCTGATTTTATATGCATCTTATGAATCCATCTCTTCACTTTATAGTCCTGCCTTAAACATACATGAATTATTTTTGAGAAGAGTTCCCTGACATTGCATTCCATTTGCAAATCATTACAAATTCCACCTTAAAAATGATGCCAAGATTACATTTCTTTCTCACCGTTTAAACAGATAGGATCATCCTTCCAATGTGTTAGAATGATTTTTTTTTCCTCCTTAGCTCTGTAGAAGGCTCAATTTTGGATCTAAAGGAAAAGGATGTGAATCACACAATGATGTGGACCCAGGCCCCATTCCTGAATGTTTCGTGGATTGAACCCTACCTCTTTGCTGTTATCTGGATTTAATGTAGTGCTTTGCATTTTTCCCTGCAGCATCATTGTCACTACTGTCCAGTACCTGTCTTCTGCACTGCACAAGAATTTCACAGACACAGACTTTGATTTTAAGGTATGTTCTACAGTAGTTCCTCTCTTGCCTCCTTTAAAACTACCAGAAAGCCTAAACTGAGGCTGGTTTCTCAGGTCCCTCTCTTCTTCACTATGTATCACTGGCACCCTGTGACAGAGCTGAGGTGGGACCACATGTTTGTTTGCCAGTGTCCCAAGCAAGGAGTGCGGCCAAGGATGCCCTCTGTTGATGTGCTATATGGCACTCACCGTGTGCGTAACTTCAGGAACTGATTCAATACTTCTGACTGCTTCCAACACCAAGTCCCCTTGATTGGCACTGACATTTAAAAAAAAATCTTCACCTGAAAAAATGCAAAACGAAAATCTGTGCTAGATGACTATATTTGAAGTGCTTTCTCTATAAGGCCAAGAGAAAAAATGCAGTCTGTGTTCAGATTGTCACGTTTCATCTGTTCATACTCTCTAGGTGTGGAATTCCTATTTTAGCCTGGCAGTCCTGTTCATAAATCAACCAAGCCTCCAGCTAGAAATTGTCACTCCAGCCAAGAGGAAGAAGATTCTAGACAAGTAAGACAGTTGTCTACTAATCCTTCATTCACCACCACAGCTCCAGATGTGGTTATATTTCCATGAAAGACCTCCTTCATGTGGTCAGGGAACTCACTCTCATCATGGAATCATCCCCAAGGAGCAAGTGTAAGAATTGCAAACCATAGATGTAACCTTCTGCAAAACTTGGACACAGGGCTTAAAGACTGATTTCATTGTGCTGAGTACATTGGCAGACTGTACTTTATTCCTGTAATAGATGGAATGTATATTATCTTTCCCAGATATGGTGACATGCGAGTGATGATGGCTTATGAACTATTCAGCATGTGGCAGAACTTAGGTAGGTCTCTACTATTTCCCTCTTCTTCATTTCTATGTCTTACACAGCCAAATTATATAGTAACAGAAATCATCACTCTCCCCATGTATATTAATGAAATAAAATAGCATTCATGCCATGCCTTTTATCTGTTTTTAGCCATAACACGCAGAGACTGTAGTAAGTCGGGAATTGACAGAGAAAAAAAGCTAGACCTCCTTCAATGTCACTAATTAACCAGGGGAGAGTGGGGAAAGAGGGCTTTTCTAAGGAATACAGTCTAGACTTAGTCTCAAGAATATCAAGCCCTAATTTTTGAGAACTAAAGTCAAGAAAGACAAGAAGAAAAAAGAATATCTTTCTTTGCATGATCTAATGATATTAGTTTTGTTTTTACTTTTAGTCTTAGAGTGCATTTCTAGGAACACATCTGTCAAGGGAATGGATTTTGCAGCTTTTAATTTAACAGACAATTTTTTGGTTTTTTGGTGAGGTAATCAGGGTTAAATGACTTGCCCAGGGTCACACAGCTAGTAAATGTCATGTGTCTGAGGCTGGATTTAAACTCAGGTCGTCCTGACTCCAAGGCCAGAGCTCTATCTACCGCGCCACCTAGCTGCCCCTAACAGGCAATTTTTGACAGGATACAGGAATAAAATACTACTTCAGCATCTGGGACAAGAGATTCAAAATTGTTTTTATATCTTGGGCCCCTTTGGCAGTCTGGTAAAGCCAATGGATCCCTTTCCACAATAATGTTTTCTAAGTGCACAAGATAAAATATAGGATTACAAAGAAAATCAATTACATTAAAATGCCCACATCAAAATGTATTTTTAAAAAGATCACAGACCCCAAGTGAAGAACCCCTGATGGGGGAAGCTCTGAGGACCCAACGAGGACACAGCTGGTTCTGAGAGGTACTACTTACTCTGAATAACGAGGAGTGACATTCCTTCTAAGTTGCCAAAAGTCTTAAGCAAGCAATTAGAAAATAAATGAGTGAGAGAACTCTGCCAGGTTGGTTTCCAAGTGAAACTACTCAGTTGGTTGTTAGGTTATTAAGAATTATACACAATGTTCATTTTTTAAAAGTTTCATTTGAACTTTGTCTAGATTGTGTAAATATGTCATATTAATTTAAGATGATGAGAAATTATATTCCATCCAAATGAAATGTAAGTAATTTTTTTTTAATTTGAATATATACCAAATGACTCTGTCACCCTGTTTCATTAGGCTATCAATTCTAGTCACTGCCACCAAACTGCAGGATTCATAGATGTGAGGAGAGAGTTTTATGGCTACCTAAGCTTTCAGATCTGTCTATAAGGTTGATTTAACCTTCGCTTTTCATAAACTTGAGGTTTTACTCCTCCAGAGGACTACAGCCTTTCTGTGGTTCTACTTTCTACTGTAATTTTCCCAAGGTACCCTCAGAATAGGAATCTTTAGATTGCCTTGGTGGATGACGCTGTCATCATTTTTTCACCATAAGATTGGGAATGACCGGTTTGAGTACCAAAGGAGCCATTGTCCTGGTGACACATCCCATCTGCTTCATCAAGCAAAGTTTGCTTTCAGTTGTATACATGGCCCTAGCACCTTGGGTTGCGTTATTCCAAAGCCTTCTGCTGTCACTTAGCTGCTATAGTCACAAACCCAGTCCAGGGAAAAATTGGAAAGAGCAAGATGTGAGGGAGACAATTCTGCAAAAAAGAAATAAAAATAAAAATGGCTAATATCTTACCTGTATCAGGGTGAATGCCACCAAGCAAAACATCCATCATCAGTATTCTAATTTTCTCCCATCCAAGTGAATTCTTTATGACAGAAATGATTTAGTATTAGTCCACAAATTGGTCCTGAAATCCTCAAGAACTCAAGATATCACTGCCATCATCAGCCTCCCCCCCTTATAGATGCAGAATCTATAGCATCATGTTAACATGTGTTCATTGGATATCAAAATATGCTATTTATCAGACTTTTCAGTGCACAGTTAATAACCCCAAAATTTTCATCTTGGTGCTACCTTCTGCCTTTGGGAGCTGTGTGGTGATTGATGTGAGTGATGTCTTCTGATTGCTACGAGATGACCTTACATGGTGATAAGATATCTTTGCGATATTGCAAAGGCCATGAAAAGCCATCCCCACCGCAAGCATCCCCACACAAAACCAGTTTGCTCCTCATTAGTGTTTTAAAAGACTGATAATGGTATTGGGGGGGGGGGGTAGTTACCTTCCAGACATCATTTTCATAGTCCAAAAAGTCTAAGACTTCCTATTGCTGATTAGCCCAGCCATGATCTGGACAAATATGCTTATGTATCTGTTTTCTGTTCCACTCACACAATCACAGAAAGCAAACACTCCAGAGCTTTTATTTTTCTAACCAAGAATTTGGTACATTTTAATTATACAGAAGAGCTTCTCCAAAGGATTTAATTCCTTATTGAGGTAGATCTGGGTGTATATGTTTCTCTCTCTCACCCTTAATAAAGGACCCAATCTTTTTTCACTGCAAAATATGAAAAAAGTCACATGGGAATGTGTTTCTAGTTTTGAGTGCCACAATTTCCATTCCAGCCTAGTGACAGCTAATGTAGTGCCATGGCCCGATTGCCATGCTTGAGGTTATGCTCATGGTCTGGAGTGAGGGAAGCCAGGGAAGATGCTCATCTGTTCCATAGTACTAGTGGTGAAAAGTTTACACCTGCTCAGTTCAGTGACATGCACTCAGAGGCAAAAGCAGAGCAAGGCTCCTCTTTAATGAAGCTGAAACCAATAAGCACCACTTGCTAAATAAATAGATTGTCTTTGGAATGGTTTCAGGGTCTTCATCCTAATTGTGAGAATAAAGACAAAAGTCCACTGCAGAAAATACCTATTCTACTTTTTTTATTTGAAAATAAATTAGATTTAGTTTGGAGTTTTCAGAGGATTTGCAGAAACTACTTTTAGGTTTCCAGAAAGGGGGACACAGTGTGTCTAACAGAACCACAGTGAACTCACCCATGAAAATTAGATAGTGAAAGGATTAGTTCTTTGAATATTCTTAAATGGAGAATCTGCTTTGCTCTAAGAGTCTTTAATGCCCAATAAGTTTATTGACAACCTACTATTTTTATGTCCTATGTAGGGGGAAAATATTAGACATTAATCATATATAAATTGTTTTGCCATCTAGGTGAACATAAAATTCACTTTATTCCGGGAATGATTGGTCCTTTTCTGGGTGTTACACTAGTCCCACAGCCAGAGGTTCGTAACATCATGATCCCCATCTTTCATGATATGATGGACTGGGAGCAGAGGAAAAATGGCAACTTCAAACAGGTAAGACAGTTTCTCAGGGTCATTCAGGATACTCTTCTCTTAGACCCTGGCTTCCTGAGGCAGGGTCACCAAGTTCATTGCATCTGGTGAGAGATTATGTGTGATGTAGAGATTATACAGAGAAGGATTTGACATTTTGGGCTCTGTTCACAGGTTTATTTTGTTTTGATTGATTTTGATTGATTTGAAAATGTGAACTAATTTTCCTGGCTTGTTTATGCAGTGAGAGGGCCAGAACTAAGAAGATGAAGAAGCAAGAGGCCTAAGTATGATCAAGGACAGAACAAACGGAGATATTTTCATCTCCAGAGGGCCAGGAGAACTACTACCAGACACAAAGTGTCATCATGGTGAATCAGGCAGTGTCATCTTCCCTGAAGGATATTAAGTTAAATGGCTGGTTTGTAGAATATGTATTGTTTACAATAGTTTTTTTTATTTTTTTAATGCAGGAAGGGCCAGAGGGTCACCCTCCTGCAATAGTAACTTTAGCTTGAAGGCAAAGGGATGGACTAGGTGATCTCTGGAGATCTCCAAAAGGTAGCCTTCTTGGATTTTCTGAACAAAGATGCTGGTTACAAATGAAGTCAAGAGAAATAACAATTATGAAAAAAGTTTTTTATTTCCCCTGAAGCCATATGCTTTTGCCCCTCCAATGGCAGCCTGTCCTTTCTTCATTCTTTCTGGTCTCATTTCTCATTAGTGACTTAACAGTTGATAAGGCGAGTGAAGGGATAACTTACACAGAACTCAGAAGAGGACAGTCCATGACCAGAGTCTGCCTCTGATTCCATCCAAAGTCAAGGGTAAACTGCCTCTTAAGGAAAGAAGGACACTTCTTCTTTTAGCCTTTAGCATCAACTTTTCCTACCTCGGTATACCAGCACATGTCTACTGGACAAAGCAGAAAGCTATTTTTCAAAAGAGTCCAGGTCACCAATGAATTTTGCAATTCAACAGATTTTTACTGAGCCACTACTGTATGTAAAGTCCAGGGCTGAGCTCTTATACTCTGCCATAGTCAGCACTGCAGAGCAAAGCAAAGCTAGAGTTAGCTCTGCAGCAGGGTGACCCTTAAGTTCTTCTTGCATAAAAAACAATTGCAAACAGAACATGTTCGCCAAACCAAACACAGCGTGATTTTTCAAATTAAGGTTGCAACTCTGGTGGATAGAAAACCTCATCCGGATATATGGGAAGAGCCCCTGGGATATAAAACTCATTGGTGGAGAATAAATGGGGAAAGCAAGAGCTCACCCCAGGAATGTTAGTTCTCCTAATGGTCAGAATAAAAGCAATTGCTAGAAACTTAAACTAGTCGATATTGTGAATTATAACGTGACAGATTTGAATAGATTCCCTTTTCATTTAGCTTAGATACATTTACTTTGGAGACATGGGACTTAGTTTTCCCTTCTTTGTAATTCTAGACCTCTTCCAAAAATCTCTCCCTCATTTCGTGCTCCTGGCAATATTGAAGTAGTCTAATTTTTTTTCACATCATTTAGCAAATGTGTCATTGTTTCTATCTAAATCTTCTTCTTATACCATAGCACTCTCCCCATTCATTGTTCCAGGCCCTACTGCATGAACGGACCTAACCAAATCTGTCTACCAGGTCCCTCCTTACTCTCTGTACCATGAAACTGGTGTATCTGTGTAGTATGCAAAAAAGCAGGTTCCTTGGTCATAAGCAGAACCAGACCCCTTCTTAAAGTCGGACCTATACCAGTCATCACTAGTCCTTCTTTCGCCAGTTATTTGAAATCCAGGAAACATACTGCTAGAATTTATGCAATGAAAAGAATACTCGAGTGGGAATCAGAGGACATGGGTTCTAGTCTCAGCGTTGCTGTAAAGTAGTTGTATCATCTTGACCAAGTCAACTCCCTTCCTTGGCCATCAGTTTCCTTATTTGTAAATTGAGGGAGAGGTGATCTCTAACTGATCCTCCTAACTGATATTCTGTGATCTGTGATTTGTGAATTTTCTTATATTCAAGTAGTTAAGATTTGGAATAGATCTCTAGAAACAGAAATCTAGAACCAATTCAGTTTCCTATTTAAGGGCCTTTAGAATAGCTCTTGGCTTCATATATAATCTGACTCATTATATCTGTTTCTCATCTTTCCCTTATGTTTCTTGGAGAAGCATGTTATAGAGGGAAAGGATATTCCTTTAGTTTTTCATGAAATGCATAACATATGTGCCGTTTTTGTCTGTCTGAACATTCAATACATTAAAGGTTCCATTTTCTCAAAGGTGCAGATTGTAACCCAGCCATACCTTTGCATGCTTTGCAGCTCTTGTCCCCATTTTCCTATGTAGACTCAACATACTACAGGCCTTCCTCTAGGTTTTTAAAAATATAATGGATGACAATGCAGTATTGGGGCTATCTGTTCTCCCTTACTCTTACTACAATACAGTATACCTCCTTTTATAATCTAATCATACATTTCCTGGGTAATATTTTATGCCACTTTTAGCCCCTTAGCCATCACATACTGCAGTCTGTTTGGGACTACTATGCATCACTCCTTAGGACCACTCTTTGAAGTCATCTGTAAGACTATTGGTATAGAAAAAGATGGGGGTTTTGATGTTGTTATAGTTAGAGAGGAGACTGGATCAGTGAAAGTACTACACAGTTTCCCAAATACAGTCTGACCCACTATCTCCTGCCTATTAAATTCTGGGTCCAATTCATTGTCCATCTGCAATGCCTGTTCGAGATATATACACAGATGGACAAACTCAATAGGCTGCCCATCCGGTTGCATCTAAGCACTACACATCCAGCACCCACTTGTTTTTTCTTGTGCGGATTGTTAAGGTAAACTCTTGTAAGTGGTCATAAGTATTAAGGCTTTGTAGTATTAGAACTTGATCACATCAAATTCACAAACAAATACAGCTTTGTGAAGGTTCAATTCAACAAAGAATTCTGGAGTACTGACCGTGTACAGAGCTCTCTTCTGTGGGTTGGAACAGATAAAGTGATAAAGACACAGTCATTGCCTTCATAAAGCTTATAGAATAGAGGTGTCACACCCGCAGCCCATGGGCATATGGCCCTTAAAATATAATTTGGGGAAATACTTAACAAAATAAATAAAAATACAGTAAATCATTTTGAAATTAAGTCAATAGGAAGCCTGCAGTGATCCTTAGGTCTGGATTAATGGACCCCATTTCTAGTTGATCCCATGTCAAACCCATTTCATTGGGTTTGACACCACTAAGACATGAATCTTGAAGATATGACAAAAATACATAACTATAATGATATATATATATATATATGTTCAAGAATTATCAAAAATAAAATGTTACATAAGACCCAAAGGGGAAGAGATCATATGTAACTGGGGGAAAGAAGGAGAGAAAGCCAGGAAAGCCTTCCTTGAATATAGGTGGCCTTTGAGTTAAGCTTTATAAATTGGGCAGAAATTCAATTGTAGGAGGAGGGAGAATATTCCAAGTATAGGGAACACCACAAGCAAAGCCATAGAGACTAGAAAGTGCACAAAGGTACAGAGGACAGAGAGTATTCCAGTTTGGTTGGAGTGTATATGCCTATGAGCTGAAGCTAATAAAGTAGGATAACACCAGATTATAGGAGCATTTTGAATGCCAGGATAGGAAGTCTACTTTATAGATAAAGTAATTGTAAGACAAAGGAGAGTTTGGGGCTTTGGAATTTAGAGAGGAATGATCAAAGTTAGTGTGGCCACAATGCAAAGAATGAATTGGGAGAGGTGAAGAATAAAGGCAAGAAGCCAGGGGAAAAGGCTACAAAGCAATCCAGTTTGGGGAGGGGGGAGGGTGATGAGGGCCTGTGCTAGAGGAGGAGCTGTGGGACCTGAGCAGAGGGGGACACGTGGAAGATGTTGTAGAAGTAGATTCATCAGTAAACCATAGTAAACCATGATAAACCATGAGAGGGTGAGGGAGAAGAAAGTTGAAAATAATTCCAACATTGGAAATATTTGATTTAATTTTACATATGACCAATCCCTGTCTCAATTTCAATGTGGTGAAAGGCTGATAAATAGAGTTACTGTGCATTATGTCTTTGAAAGAAATGGTTTGTGGGCAGAGGTGCTATTGTACCTCATTTTTTAGAATTTGGATAAAAATTCAACTCCTCCAGTTGATTTGCAAATAGCATCAGCACAAAAGATTTGAGATCCCAGTGTGGATCTACTTTGTTTCGAAAGAGTGCTCTTCGAGGTGAATTGCTGGATGGGAAGTTCCATGGCCCTCGTATTCCCTGCTTCATTCATATAATCACAATAAACTAATGTCAGCAATTACACTGTGGATTAGTCTCCCAGTGAGCTCTCCTTTGTGACTGGCTGGTAAGAGAGGATAAGGTTCTAGCCGAATTGTTTCTTCACACAAAGATAGTATATGGATATTATTGCAAGTGAAAGAAAACAGCTTAACAAAGCCTTCTTTGAGAACCAAAATGCCTTTCTCACCAGGGTAGGTTTGGTTTTTGCCTTGATTCAGGGAAAGGATACCTGAGACCTATAGGTCTCATCTTTCAATGAAATAAGTGGGGTAAGTGGTATTCCAGACTCAGGGGCATGGTGTCAGTGTTATGGAACAATCTGGCTCGACTGGAGTTTGTTTGGAACAAGAAAAACACCAGGAAGAAAACAAAAGCCAGGCACAACAATTCCTGCCATTGCAATGGCTGAATTTTTACCCCATTGTACTCTTGCTAAGAAGTCTCTTCTTTCCTCCAGGTGGAAGCTGAGTTAATCGATAAGCTGGATAGCTTGGTTTCAGAAGGGAAAGGAGATGAGAACTACAGGGAGCTCTTCAGCCTGCTGTAAGCCATGGCAGCCCTCGGACCCCTTGTGGGCTCAGGGTCACTCTCAGCACCTTCAATCTGAAACACTCAGAAAACAAATAGTACTAGCGGGGACTCCAGAACTAGCCTCCATCTGAGTTAGAGCCAAATCTGGATGTTTGGGCAACTGGGTATTTACATGATGGGCTTAACAAGTCGCATTAACACAAGACAATTGTTATTTCAATTTAATTACCTACTTATGTTTCCTGATATGTCACTTACATCCATTTGATATTTGTCTCCTAAGAATTAAACAGTTAGGTGGGTTTTTCGATTTTTATCAAAAAAAAGGTCTCTTTAATGTAAAAAGAAAGGGATTCTTCCCCTTCCAGGGCATTTTTGCACTATGGTGCAAAAGCTGATCTATGAGAGATCAACTTAGAGTCTCCAATTCTTCTTCTAAGGAATGAGGTCTTTCTTGTAAATGGTGAGGAACCTCTGCTGCCAGACAATGATCACCTTCTGGTCACTAGAATGGACTAAATATACAGAAAGAGACTCACATTTTTGTATATGGCCAAGAAGGGGATCTGTTTTGTGCATGTCTTATAAAGGGTTTTCTTTTTCTTTTTGTGGGGTGGGGAGGGAAGAGTGGGAAATGGGGGAAGTGTAGGGAGAGAAGATAAATCCTTGGTAATTGAATTTAAAAAAAAAAAAAAGACTGAGCCCTGGGCTCCTGGAGACTTGGTCTCTAGCCCAAGCTGTGCCATTAACTCATCATTTACACTTGAGTCTTTGGGTGAGTCCTTTCTCCTTCTCTGGGCCTCAGTTTCATGATCTGCAAAATGTAAGACAAGCAATCTGACCACATGATTTCTAAGCTTCCTCTTTCTGGCTCCAACATTCTAGGATTTTTTTATGACTTTTGCATTGGTCTCAGTGCTGTAGTAGGAAACATCCTATCAGATAATTTGCTAGGAAAGAAGAAAAGATCTTATTTCCCTGAGGCCTCCCACTTAAAAATAAATGATATTGTTTTTATTATCCCAAAGAATGAGTAATAGAAAATAATTATAGCAAAAAAGTTCTCTCTTATCTCACTTGTGGTTTCAAACTTGAAGGTTTTCTTTACTTAGGTGGTGTTTTAATTACAAACCAGAAAGCCTTTTGCTGAAGAAACAAATTTGCAAAAATTTTATTATTTTTTGGACCAGACCTGTGAGTTCAGTGGTGCAGACTGTAAGGAAACTTCCCTTGTCAATGAAGATCAGCACCTGCCATGCAATTACTAGTCTTAGAGAATTTCCTACAACCCTGAAAGGTTAAGTGACTTGGTCAGGGTCTAGAAGTCTCTAAGCATCAGAGGCAGACCTTAAATGGAGTCTTTCCAACTCAGAGGCCAGTTCTCTAGCCAATTTTCCATGCTACCTTTCACAAATGCATTTAATTTCCCAAATTGTTGATTGAATAAGTAATATAATGACAGTAATTCAATTGAAGATTAGAGAATTAATAATGATTTGTACAGATTAGTACAGAGAGGACTTGGATTCCTGACAAGATCCTAGAATATACAACTAAATGATGGTTTATTGTTTCCACCAAAATGAGAAAAGGCTTCCCAAGCTTTAGCCCGCCCAGTGTCAGAGGCTGCTACTAAGACAAACCTCTTTGCTCCCAAAGCAGACATTTCCCTAGTGCCTTCTTGCTTGGTTTTCCTCAGAATGGTTCTTGTGAAGTAGGGCCAAAATTGGGATAGCTCTGAATATGTCTATCATTTTCTCATTCTCTCTCCCTCTCTCTTCCCTGCTTTCTCTCCCCAACTCAGTCCTCCCCTCTCTCTTCCCTCTCTTCTCTGTCTCCCCTCTCCCTACTCTCTCCCTTCTTTCTCTCCCCTCTCCCTGCTCTCTCTCCCTTCTTTCTCCCTCTCAACCTCTCCCTCTCTCTCCCCCACCCTCACCCTCTCACCTCCCCTCTCCTTCCTCTCCCTCTTCTTCCCTCTCTTCCTTTCTCTCCTTCTCTGTCTCTATCTCATTTCCTCTTTTCTCCCTCCCTCCCTCTTTCTCTGTCAGCCTCGTTCTCTTTCCCTCTCATCCCTTTAACTCTCACCATTTCTGTCTCTGTGTCTCTATCTGTCTCTGCTGTTCAGATCCACATTGTCACCCCTAGGTGTGCTCTGAGCCCATCTGTTTTAGGGCACAGCTCTTGTCCTTATAAGCTTTTCTGGGGCAATGGGAGAGGACAGCGGATCTTCATTCTTTGCTATCAGCTTAGTAACCTCCTTGTCTTTGCTTCCTGCTGCGTGGAATAGAACTCAGCTGTTTGGGCCCTACCCGAGGTAAGGCTTCCATTTGGTGAGTCTGCTGTCTCCAAGAGACGGGCGCTCCCACTGTCTCTGCAGCTTTATGGAGATGGCTAGTCAAGTCTCATCAGTTGTCTTTTTCTCTCCAACAGTCTACTAGAGAAAATTGAACAGGAAACATGGAGAGAAACGGGACTTTCATTTGTCACTTCTGTCACACGTCTAATGGAGCGCCTTCTTGACTACAGGTACCCTTCTTTGTCACATGTCTGACCTTTCTGGGCTAATATCTCATGACCTTTAAAATAATGGCTAATGCCCTTCCAAGAGAGAACTGTCTTTGTCAGTTACAGAAATCAACACTCAGAATTCTGTTGCTGGCATACAACACAAAGTCTTTTGGGACAACTAAAATAAGCCAGTAGGTCTACCAACACTTCATGTGGTCCTTGTGCAGTTGTTTCCCAGATAAAACAAATGAATGGTAAGTCCAATGGAAATCATGAGAGGTGGGATTTTTAGCAGGCTAGGATGTCAGTAATCTGGCTCTTTGTAAAACAAACAAAAAGAAAAAGAAAAAACTGTGAAGTAGGGGAGCATTGTGAAGAAGTGGAGAAAAAGGAAGAAGGGAGGGCAGGGTTTAGCAGGGACAGAAGGCAAGTTCTGCATCTTTCCTGAGTTCATAGTTGCTTTGGGAATATAAATTGGCAAAAAAAAAAAATTCTTATCTAGTGCAGAACAAGGAGTGATTGAGTTCCCTTCAATCTGCCTAGTGGCTGCTTGTTTTGTGGAGTTAATTCTCTAACTTCTCCATGCCTCCATTTCTTCAACAAGAGTCTACTTGTTCATTATCTACCATGAAAAGCACGAGTTTGATGCTTTGGGATCCTCACAGAAAGGAAGTTCTGGGCCTCCAGATGGTGGTGGTGTTTTTCCTGAAATCTCTACCTTCTCTCTAGTAACAAGCAAGGCTTTATGAAACAACTCCTAAGTGCCAGTGAAGCCCCAATTGCCACCTTAATTACTATCTCAGAAGGGCTCAGGTGGTGGAAAAGGACACCTCAGGGAGGCTGGAGGAAGAGGAGATTGCTTGAAGATGAGTGATAAAGAGATAAAATCCATCCCCCAAGTAGCAGTCCCCTCCTCTCTGCTGTGGACATATGCAGAAGCAGAGGGGAGCATTTCTCACCAAGTGGACTCGGGAGACAAAGAGGGAGATCACACAGCCTGCAATAATTGCTGAAATGGGAAATGCCACGATGATTCAAGCAGGTGCAGAGCACTTACGGGTAAACTAGTCTCTTCAATTCAAGTTGACAAATACTTATTAAGGCACTATGCTAAATGCTGGGAAAATAAAGGGGGAAAAAAACACAATCTGCCCTCAAGGAGTTTATGTTCTACTGGGTGAATACAACATGTACACAGATAATTGTATATAAACAAAAATTAAAAGCTTTTACAAGAATGAAATACAAATAGGATAAGAAAAAAGCTGTTAATTGGTGGAAAATCTTCACCAAAAAAATGTGATAAAGGTCTGAGTTCTAGGGTACATAGGGAATTGATACAAGTACATAAGAACAAGAATCATTCCCCAATTGATAAATGCTCAAAAGTGATGATTTGCAAAAGAAGAAATGCAAATGATTAACAGCCATATGAGAGAATGCTCCACATTGTTAATATAATAAAAGTGCAAGCTGTTTAAAAACATTAAGGTTTCACCTCACACCCATCAGATTGGCAAAAATGATAAAAGATGCAAATATGCCATCTAGGAAGTACCATGGGAAGATGGGAATACTCTTGGTGGAATTGTGATATGGTCCAGCCATTCTGGAAAACAAAATAAACCTAAAAAGTCACTATCCTATCAATATCTTTTGACCCAGTGATACTGTTAATAGGCATATATCCCATGGAAATCAAAGACAGAGAGAAAGATCCTATATATACAAAATATTTATTGCAACACTTTTTGTAGTAACAAAGAATTACAAACAAAATGGGTTTCTATTAATTGAGGAATAAGTGGACAAATTATGAATATGAATAATTCAGAGATACTTGGAAGACTAGTATGTACTAATGAAGACTGAAATAAGCAGAATCAGTTGACCACTGTACACAATGGCTATAATAATGTAAAAGAAAACAACATTGTGAAAAACATCAGAACTCCAATCAATGCAGTGATCAATCTTGACTTTAGAGGTCTGATAGTAAAGTATATTTCCCTTTCCTCAATAGAAGGATGGTAGACCGTGGGTACAAAATGGGGCACTTGCTGTTAATTAGAGATGGGGATTTTTAGAATTCAGGATTGTAGAGACAGAACAGTTATGGGTGATGGTGGGATCAAAGATATGCCCATACCATGAGTGGATGAAATGAAGTGCAAATAGCAGTTATGGGAGTTGAGGAGGCTGGTGAACTGGAAGACCAGAGTGCTCACAGAAATATCTGCAAGTATATTAAAATGCCCAAATATGAGGGAAGCATTTGAGGAAAAGAAGACTTTGGGTCGGGTGCTAAACTCCTTAAGAAAGGAGGAAGAAGGACCTGAAGGCCAGCAGATGACTGTAACGAGGATCTGGACTGATTCATAAAGATGGATGAGTTTTATTGTTCAGTCATTTTTTTCAGTCATGTCTGACTCTTTGTGACCCCATTTGGGATTTTCTTGGCAAAAATATTGGAATGGTTTGCTATCTTCTCCAGCTCATCTTTATGAGGAAACTGAGGCAAATAGAGTTAAGTGACTTGCCCAGGGTCAAACAGCTAGGAAGTGTCTAAGGGCATATTTGAACTCAAGAAGATGAGTCTTCCTGACTCCAAGCCTGGCACACTATCCGCTGCACCACCTAGCTGCCCCAAGAAATGGATGAAGTGACCTTCAAAAAGGAGAGACTGTTGACCAATGATGGCAAAGGGGCAATCTGAAAGTGAGTGAAGAACAAGTCCTGTAGTTCAGTGGTGTGGTCTGTGGCTTGATGTGAACCTTGCCACAGACATGGCATCTATGGTTTGGTGCCTCAGAACAGCAAATAGAATTACTGAAGAATGGGGCATGGCCTTGGAGACCAAGTCTTCCTTCCACTCAGTTGCATTTAGGTACCTCCTAGCTCAGGGACCACTGCCTTTCAGCCAGACAAAAACCCCTCAGGGCCATTTTCCAAGCTTCCTCATTTTTTTTCTCACTTATTCTCAATTCCCTACCTCTCCTGCTCCTGGTCAGTCAAATGTTTGAAGTGATAACCAAAGTCAATCACTACTCTCTGTCTCCCCAGAAATATTTGCTTGTAGCAGAGTGGGCTTTCTGTCACTGGGCATACTATATAGGAAGTAGCTAATGGCTTTGCCATAAACAATTCAATCCAACAAATACATATTCAAAAGAGTACTGGTTGTAAGGTGAAAACATGGCAACTGAAAGACATGGGTGTTTTCCCATAGCAATCTGGGTGTACAAGCTATGGGCATATTCCAAAGGAAGGATAATAGACTTTAATTGCAGACTGCAACAAAAACTTGTTGACAGGGTCTTCAAAAGTCAATCTGACAAGAAGCATTTATGAAGCATTTGTTATGTGCCCAACTGTGCCAAGTATTGAGAATACAAATACAGGCAAAAAGATAGTCCCTGCCTTCAGGGAGCTTGCATTCTAATGGGGGAGGACAACACATAAAAGAGAGCTGAAAGTTGGGGAAATACCTGGGCTTGGGGCATAATGTCCAGATTTCAGCATTGTGAGAAACAAAGAAATAGCTAGCTTGAGTGCCTTGCTTAAATGGAGGTTCTGGGAGGGTATGAGGGTACTCTGAGTTGTGAATCACAGGGCTGAAGAGATCTTCTAGGATGAAGAGTTTTATAGGGCATGATGGTAGAGTCTAGATTGAATCCTAGTGAGAAACAAAGAGATTTTTGGTCTTATTTTTAAAAGTCTTATTTTGGTCTTATAGAAATACAGATTTTTCCTGAGGATTTGAAAGCACTTTCATCTCTATAACTGTACATCAACTGAGTAGCTGGCTATTAGGGAGTGGCTCTACTTCATGAATCACAGAACCAGTGCCCAAAAAAGTTCAAAAAGTGTCCCAGGAAATCGTGAACAAAAAGAGACAAATCTGGGGAAAGAACCCTGCTGAGCCCCTGGGCCTAAGAATCTTGATCTTGCAGGCATGGCCTTCAAGTTCCATAATCATGTAGGACTTTTCAGGAAAGCTCTAGGGAGCTCTTAGATTGAGAGACCAGCCCCAGGCCTCTATGTAAGACAACAGCTAACCACTCATGAAGGATGCTGCTCACATCCTGCAGAGAGGGTGCAAAGTAAAACATTTTTCAGACAAGGTCAATGCTGGGATTTGTTTTGCTTCACTATTTGTTCCAAGGATTTTATTTTTCTTTTTTCTTTTTCCAGTGTGGGAGATGAGTGAAAATGGAAAAAAATTGAAAATAAATTTTTGTTCATTGAAAAATTATTAAATTTAGGGGGGAAAAAAGACTATACCTGACCCACTCCACGCCGAGAAAGAATAGAACACATTTAAAGCCTTGTGAGGAAAGGTGAGCCACAATAAAAGGAGAGAGTGGCTTTGTAAAATTTGGAAGCTGTTAAAAAGTTTCTCTTTTTTTGTTGTAAGCCTTGAAGCATATTTTTGATGTTCTTGAAGGAACATTAGCTGTAACTATAAGAGGAAAAATTGGAAAGTAAACACAAGTGCTACTTGGCTGTTCATAGACATGGTAGGCAGGCCCCTTGGAGGCCCACCTTATTAAGGGTACACTTTTCAGTTTAACTCTCAAGATGGAAAAGTCTGATTGTGGTCGAGTGGAAGATAATACCTGATAGAAATTTCACATTATTTCCAGAAAACAGAGTCCATTGATTGCCAAGCACTATCGGCATTCCTTCCTGTGGGATATGAACTATGGGCTCTTGCACTGAGTCCAAAAACGAGATGACTCCCTGCATCACTCCAGAGGAGAATGCTTGGGGTCTGCACCCAAGCTAGCTGTCCTCAACAGAGGGCTGGTGTGGTCTGATTCTTAGACCCCATATTCTGAAGACGCAGCGTAAGACAGAAAGGCACAATGTTTTCTTGGCGCAGTCAGTGCAAGACAGTGCTATCTGCACATGGTCTTACCTGACTGTGGATGATAGCTAAAGAATGATTTGATCATCCCTTAAGGTCAGGGAGGTTTGGGACAGTGGAAGATGCCCGGGGACGAATTGTCTCATGAGCGGCTGAATCTTGTTTGTTTATAACCACATAGCTACACATGCCTAAAAGGCAACTCAATATTGAGACTCACTTAGAAACCATACCTTGAATATTCCTAATATGTTTCTTCAGAAAAGTTTGACCTCAAAGAACTTCCTCTGTGCGCTCTCATGTACAATCACTCTAGGAGGGCAGGGGGCAGGGGCAGGCAACTGTCTCATAGAAAACCAGTGAGTAGGGGAGATTAAATGACATGCCTAATGCAGCTAGGTGGCTCAGGGGGTAGTCTGGCCTAGAGTCAAGAAGACTCATCTTCTTGAGTTCAAATCTAGCCACAGACACTTACTAGCTGTGTGGCCCTGGGCAAGTCACTTTACCCTGTTTGCCTCAGTTTCCTTATCTGTAAAATAAGCTGGAGAAGGAAATGACAAACCACTCCAGTATCTCTGCCAAGAAACCATAAAGAGTCAGACACAACTGAAACAACTGAACAACAACCAAAATGTTAAAAGACTAAACCCTAGGCCATTCCCCTTTCTAAACCGCAGGCTGTTCTGCCTACAGTTTGTTGGCAGCCATAACAAATGAGAGCCTAACTATAATTCTTTAACTTCATTTTACCCAAAGGTATAATCTTTCACCAGAACTGCTACCAAAGTGCTAAATAAACAAGGAGAGAGCTTTTTTTCATTTCTTTCCCAGATAGTGGCCAAAAAGAAGGCAATCTGAGGAAGGATAAGCATGGAGGTCTGGGTCTTACATATACTTGGTCATCAACCCTTAAAATGATGGAGATTTTGGCCATATGTAATAAACTCTGTCCCCAGCGATCATCACAATTGCTATATCTATTGCTGAATCCTCCAGAAGAGGTAACACTCACCTTTATTCCCAACCAGCAGGAGTAGAGATGACCTGAAAGGTAGCCTTGTCCTGTGTGTGAAAGTTGCCATAGAGACTTGGTGGCATTAAGAGGTGCTCAGTGCCAACATAAGAAGTTGTCCCACACAAGAGGGGTTTTGAGTTAGCTCTCTCATTTTACCGTTCCTTCCTCTCCTGAGGATATACAGTAGTTTCTACTTAGAAATTCTCTCCTCTGTCCTTTCCTTTGCCCTCTGGGTCAAAACCAGCAAACACTGCACCATATCAGCAGGTGTCTTTTATGTGAAGATGCTCAGCCTGAACTAGAAAAGAACAAGGTCTCAAACTTACAGCTTGCTGCCCCTGTGGAGCCTGGTGAATGCTGATCAATACAGGACTCTGAAGACAGTGTATATGGATATTACATGTTGATCAGGAAAATGCTGTAGATGTAGTTTACTTAGATTTTATCAAAGCATCTGACAATCTATGCTGTTTTTTCTTTCTTTTTTTATTGTGACATTGTTGTGGGAAAATGTGTATAATAGCAGAGTTAGGTAGGTTTGTAACTGATTGAATAACTAGATTAAAAAAGTAATTATTAATAGTCAACTTTTGTCAGCGTTTACTTTAAGATGGTCTCTGGTAGAGTGCCTCAGAGATCCCTGAGTCTGAGTCTATGCCATTTAACATTTTTACCAACGATAATGCCATAAATGGTACACTTATCAAATTTGTAGGCACAAACTTTGCAAGGGGGCAGGAGGGTGAAGGGGAGATAATTAACATGTTAAATGACAGAGTCAGGATCCCAAAAGATATTGACTAGCAAGAGTATTGGACTTAATCTAAGAATGAGATGGAATTTAATAATTGGTGCATAAAAAGTCAGATGCTTGGTTTTAACAACAATCACTTCACAAGATGGGAATGTGTGATTGGGTAGCAGTTTGTCTGAAAAAGATTTTCAGGTTTTACTGGCCTCCAAACTCAAGAGGAATTGACAATTTCATATAGCAGCCAAACAAGCCAATGTGATTGGAGCTGCATGAGGAGGAACCTCTGGTCCTGAATAAGAGAAGTGTTAGACTGCCCCACTGGACTCAACCCTGATCAGACATCTGGAGGTTTTGTTCAGCTCAAGGTGCTACATTTTAGGAAGGATCCTGGCAAGCATTGGGAGAAGAGTGGCCAGCATGTCAAAGGACCCTTGAGACCAGGCCATGTAAGGATCAGTCAAAGGAACTGGAGCATGGAGAAGAGGAAGGAAGGGAAGAGATGATAGCTGCATTGAGGCATTTCAAGGGCTACTCAATATGCTTGGCCCTAGAAGGCACAGCAAAGAGCAGTGAATAGAAGTAACAAGGAAACCAATCTAGACTCAAAGAAAGAGAAACAATCTAACAATTGGAGTGACTCAAAAGTGGAATAGGCTTTTCTGGGATGTGAGGAGTTCCCTCCGCATCAAGATAGGTTTTTAAACAAAGGTTGGACAACCACTTGGGTTGGGTATGTTGGAGAAGATAATCTTGTTCAGGTATGGGTTGAACTAAAGGTCCTTTGAGGCCCTTCCACCTATGAGATTCTGTGATTCTGTGACAGCTGCAGCAAGTAACTGCCAGATGTGGTGTGGAGAGGACCTCTTGTTTGAAACAGTTTATCTTGTTTAGTTACAGTCTGTGCCAGGATACTGTGACTCCAAACCTACCTTGGGAGATCTCCAGGTGTACTTAGGATAGCAAGAGTCCTTGCTCTGCTCTGGATTCCATATAAAAATGTTCTTCCCTACTGTGCCCTAGACTGATACAAAGCCAAGTCATCCAGTCTCCCTCTGTGGTTCCAAGATCAAACCTAGTGTTTTAAGTACCTAAGGTCAGGCCTTTTGGTCTACTTGCTTTGTTCCTACAGAATGACTTCTTCCTGGGAGGCTGCCATGTTTTCTGAGTCATTGAGAGGGTAGTGAGAGCACCACTCAAATGGGATTGATAGACCCCCTCTGGGCCCAAGCCAGGCTGAAGAGAAGAACCAATTGTCAGCAATCCCTTTCATTGAGAGTTCTGTATCTCTTTCTGTACCTAACTCAAAGATTTTAGCCTTCAAGTTTACAGACCTGAGAGATAGCCCCTTAACACTGTGAACATTTGTGTTTAGCAGTATTTCAAGATAAGCAACAGAAGGGCAGTTGTCTGAGGGTCTGGGAGGCCTAGAAATAGCAAGGATTTGGTTGCAAAGGCAATGCTATGGGCTTTACAATCTGCATATAGGCTGTTTGGTGGTTGTGATCCATTATTTGGTGTGTAGTGATGATTCAATTCTGTCTTTTGGTTCAGAAGCATCATACTACTGTAAAAATCTCACTTGAGCTTTCCTTCCTAGGGACTGCATGAAAGGAGATGAAACTGAGAATAAGAAGATTGGCTGCACAGTTAATCTGATGGCAAGTAGATCCACACTTCTTCCCAATGTGCTTTAGTTTGCCTAGATTTCGTTCTCTCCTGTACCCTGTAGCATGTAACTATCATAATTTGGGGAGGAAAAAAAGCAAAATATTTGCTGCTCATCTTAGAAACGAAGGTGCCAAAACAGGCAACACTTTTCTCTGTGCATTCTCATCTGCACAGATGAGTAGAATGGCTTCCACCTGAGGCAGAGGAATTGTCGGCCCAGCCCACGGGCCTCGGAAGCTGCTCAACACAGCTGTTAGTGAAGGAATATTTGCTCTGAGCATTTTCTTCCCTCAACAGGAAGTTAGCATTCCATGTGAAAGCTCTTCTTATCCTTTTCCTCCATCTCTCTTTCTCCCAGGCTCTAGTCCATACCCAGTGTGAATGCACCTCAGTGTGAATGCACCTCAGTGTGAATACAACACCAGTATTCCCCTGATGTTAGTGGGCTTGCACTGGACGCAAGAATGAGCTCAGGAACTGACAGCTTATCCAAGAATTCCAATGCCCATCTTAATAAGAATTTCATCTCACTCTTACAGAACTTTTACAAATCTGAAATCAACAAAGAGGAAATGTACATCCGATACATCCACAAACTGTGTGACATGCATTTACAGGCAGAAAACTATACTGGTAAGTACTGGCTACCTCTCCCTCCCCATTCCCAGCAACACTGGAGGGAAAAAAACATGGAGGACTCTTTCATTGGAGAACTCAGGAATTGGGGACAGAGCAAAGCAAAATAGAGACTCAACACCTATGAACTCCAACCACCAGAAAGGTTATAAAGAACCAATGGGTCCTTTCCTCACACTCTTCTCCTCCCCTTCTTGGTATCACAGCCATAAATGTGTGTTCATAAGCTTATATTAGTGAGAGAGGAAGAGGGGAAGGGAAAGTAGCATAGTGTGTTAGAGATAAAGTGAAGACCGACCCACGTCCTGACAACACCGCCCTCCCTTGTCTACAGCCCCAGCTGATGCCTATGTTATCTATTCTTCCTCTTCATTGCTGCCCCACTTACTGTGCCCCCAAGGACATCCTCAATCATTTCAGGGCATCATTACTTCATCTCTACTTCTAAGTTCTGTAGGTCTGCCTTTGAAGTTCTGTGAGAGCAGTCATTCTTTATACTTCTTCCATCACAACTGAAAGGGGAAAAAAAAAAGCAAAAACGGGGAACTTAACAAGATTAGCAACCATACAATCACAATTTTCATAGCAGACTGCATCCCAATATTTAAACATAATTTCAGCCCTTCTCATGAGGATACCGCTGGCATTTAGCAGCAAAACAATTCCTGTGTTCAACTGATGGTGGAAAATGTTACCCTACTTCCTGAAATGCCAAGTGTGTGTCTTTCTGTAAAATTTAAAGTTAAAATTATTGAAAAGTTATTTAAAAGCTCAGGGAACAGTTCTGTATCCCTGGGTGAATAGTGTAACACAGTTTGATTTCTAATGTTCTTTCAGGTCTTACCAACATGTTTTAATTCTGAGCCCAGATCTAAAGGAACAAATAACATCTTCTCCCCAAAGGCTAAATTTGGATGAATTTGCTGTCCCAGAGTCCACTGTGAGGGTCAAAGATTTTCATTACCTAGCCATTCTCCAGATCTCAGAAAAGGGTCAGTGTACATTTTATGGTGTCATTCCGTGAACAGAAAAGCAATTGGCCAGAAATGAAATCTTCAAAACCTCCATTTCCTCTCAGGCTCTTAGGACAGTAAAGTGAGCTGCTTTTTAACAGTACCGAGAAAAGGCAATAACAGAAAGTATTTATAGCTTCTGCTTCAAAAGGGAAAACTAGTCAGCGTGGACTGAGCTATATAAAAGGTGCTGGGACAGGCAAGGGATACAAGAAAAGAAGAGCCTGCAATTCCTGCCCACAAGGACAAAGCAACATGGCCACTCAAAAGAAGTCCTTGGGACATGTATGGAGCACCAATTGAGTGTGAGACAGTAGAAAGAAAAGGGGGTACCTGAGCAGCGTCCTAGCCAGGCAGCTTCCTCAGAGATGTTGTCTGGGAAAAAGGGAATTTTGATGGGTCCTCTGAGGATGAGTTGTTGGACAACTAAAAAAAATGGCAGGTAGTTTGGGGAAGCAAGTTTGAATAGTGACAGAAAACCTGAGCAAGAGAGTTTGGAAATAACTTCCTTGCCAATATGAAACTTATCAAAAATGTTCAAATAAAACTGGAAGGGATTAATAAGAATCCTGAACAGTGGCTCTAATTCAATATGAGTCATCCCTTAGAATTTGGGGAACTACATCATTCCACTGGTATTACTTTAAATAACTCTAATTTTTTCATCCTGCAGTGAGATGGCACAGTGCCTCAGTACTGGGCATCAGTGTTAGCTCGGGCCACTTGGAGCAGGGGACTCCCAACATTGGGCTGTAAGCCCAATCACACAATAGGCAGGCACTCACACCCCTTCATTTGGATGCCATTTTTAAAACCACACTATTTGGAAATGAAAGTGATGATGGAGAAAGAGTAATTTCCAAAACAGTAGCATTGGCTGAGTGTGGGATTTGAAAGGATTGGCTGGCTCGGTAAAGATTTATGAAATACTCCATCAGTATTAAATCCTATTAGAGGAATGCCTAAGATGGGAAGAAAGGATGTGCAAACAAATTAGGCAAAGAAATCAAAGGAGAAGCTAGAGATATTTCAGTGATGCATTTCCATATTCAAAGGTCAACCTCCATTTCACAGATCAACTTATTGACAACAAACAGGAAAAAAACTTCCTCTCCTATTCAAAAATATTGGAGAAGAGAAGCTAAATATTTTAGTAGTGAGGGTGTGATTCAAATAGACAAGCATTTATTAAGCACTTGCAATGTGTAAGGCACTGTGCTAGTCATTGAGGATAGAAGGACAGAAAGGAAAATCAGTCCCTTCCCTCAAGGAGCTTATATTTTAAAGAGGGATGCAAGCATGTAAACAGATAAGTTAATGCAAGATAAGTTGAGGAAGGAAAAAGGACTAACAGATAAGGGGAATCAATAAAGAAGTCTTTCCCATAGGAGGTGACACCTGAACTGGGCAGCATAGCAGATAGAGTGCCAGATATGGAGTCAGGAAGACTCATCTTCACTAGTTCAAAGCTGGCCTTGCTAGCTGTGTGACCCTGGGCAAGTCACTTCACCCTGTTTGCCTCAGTTTCTTCATCTGTAAAATAAGCTAGAGAAGGAAATAGCAAATCGCTCCAGTATCATTGCCAAGAAAACCCCAAATGGGGTCACGAAGAGTTGCACATGACTGAAAACAATTAACACCAGAGCTGAACCTTCAAAGAAGCTAAGGATTCTTAGAAGGGGAGGAAATACATTCCAGGCATGTACAGAGGCACAAAGATGAAATGCTGAGCTTGGGGAATAGAAACTAGGTCAGTTTGTCTAGAATGTAAAATGCATGAAGGGGAGGAGTAGAAAGTGTCCAAAAGGAGATGAGTTAGATTGCACAGGGCTTTAAATGCCAAATTAAGGAGTTTTTATTTTAATGTAAAGGTAATAAGGTAATAAAGCTGATGGCTCTTAGTCAGACCTGAACTTTAGGAAGATTACTTTGACATCTATGTGAGGAATGGATTGGGGAAAGTGGAGAGGGAAGAATATAAAGACAAGGAAACCAAAAAAAAGTCTGTTACGCTGGTCCAAGCAAGAGGTGACGCAAGCTTCAACTAAGGTAGTGACCTTGAACATAGAGAAGGGGACAAATATAAGAGATGGAGAGGCAAGAGAAATAAAGCTTAGCTCCTGATTGGGCCTGGGCTTTGAAGGAGAGGAAGGGTTGAGGAATAGCTTTGAGGTTGTAAACCTGGATAACGACAAGGAGAGTAGTAAAAATGGGGAAGTCTGAGGGAGGATGGGTTTGGGGAGAAGAGAATGAGGTATGTTTTGGGATGTGTTGAGTTTGAGATATCCATACAACCATCTGGTGGAGATAACCATCAGGCAGTGCAGGCCTGATGGGAACTCAGAAGAGAGATTAAGTTTCAATATGTAGTTTTGAGAGTCACTGTATAGAGATGATGACTGAATCCATGGGAGCGGATGAGATCACCAATAGTGGAGAGGGGAGAAAAGGACCCAAGATAGAGTTAGAGGATAATAATGATCCAGCAAAGGAGATGGATAAGGAGGGGTCAAACAGGTAGGAGAAGAATGAAGAGTGAACAGTGTCACACAATCTAGATTGTGAGGCCATGTCTGCTGTAGTCATTATTCATCTGCAGGCCTAGGAGGGGTAAGCATCTAAGATAATTTTTGCTGCCTGCATTAGCTATAGAGACTAGAACTACTCATCAATTGATGTGAGAGTAGATGGGAAAATAATAGATGAGTTCAAATGAACCTTTGGTTCTGACATATTGAGGTCATTTCACCATGAGTCCAAACAGCTTTTCTCTGGGTCTCTCTTCTCTAATCTATTTCTATTTCTAATATCTATTTCTGTGTTGAATGAACATTTCTCAGATATGGTGTAGTGGGGATTCCTTTTCAGGTGTGGTTGTATGATAAAATGGCTACTGGGGTCCCTTCCAAAACTAAATTATGTGGTTCTTTGATCTCTTTAAATGTAAGGGATTGGCATTTCAGGGTTTCCTTAACTCTAAAGAGCTTACTCATTTTTCTTGGTTTGTGTGTTTCTGATTGTAACCTTGCCCAGCGTGCCAACATGTAATTTGCACTTCCAAATTAAGACATTTTGAGCTACCTGACTGAAGGTTCACTGCTCTGTCTTCTCACAGAGGCTGCATTTACTCTGCTTCTGTATTGTGAGTTGCTCCAGTGGGAGGACCGACCACTTCGGGAATTTCTGCATTACCCATCCCAGACTGAGTGGCAGCGAAAAGAGGGCTTGTGCCGAAAGATCATTCACTATTTCAACAAAGGGAAGGTATGTGATGTGCCCGGGATTACTCCCCTAAGGACAAGCTCTCCCCTGTTCCTACTGCTAACGTCCCTCTCCATTACCAGCCTGGCTTCTCAACTAGATAGCCACCATGGGGGAGGGGGGGGAGAGAGGAGTGGGGGGCGAGAAGGAATGAGAATGTGTGTGTTGGGGTGGGGGTGAGGTCATCATGTATTCATGTGTATCTGTGTGCCTGTATGTGTATGTATATGGTCATCCACACATAGGCTTGAAAGGCAGCACACTTTGCCCTAGAGTAGGAAATGTGAAGGGGAACCAGGACCAACAAATTTAGGTTTGAGAAGAGAGTGGCAGAGAGCAATTTATGTATTTTGATAATTGTTGAAGCTCTTTATGCAGAGGCTACAACACTTCTTCTATATTTATTAGAAGAAGTGATTTGATTTTCTAATCTACTAGAGTAAATGTAAATATGGACTACCCAAACTAATGCATTTTAGGTGCAGGAAAACAAAATGAATGTTGCTTTTTGACTGACATTCTCTTTGGCCCCAGACTGACCTTTGTCCCAACCAGGTGCAATATTCTTTAATTTGGTTTATTAGTCCCATCAAATATGCACTTAGCTAGGATTAGAAGACTGTGCACAGAGTTGACTCAGCCTCCCAGAAAGCTTCCTGCTTCATTATTTGTCTTGTCCTTCCTTTTGAGTGAACTTAGGAGAAAGTGTTGCTCATTTGAATCTCTGTAAATGGCCAGGTTGGATGTGGGCCATAGGCTAAAGGGATTACTAGGTGCCTTTGGGAAACACTCTCTTCCCATTAAACTTTAAGCATATTTGTAAAATTGAAATAGGACAACCCAGGGAGATGCAGTGGTTGGAGGCTCTAGCTAAAATTAATGGAAAAAGAATTTTTTTAAAGAACATGATCATGGAGGGGGGAGGAAATTTTGAAGTTGAATGACTTCTGTCCAGATATTAGAAAATAGAGGATGAATTCTTGGTGCTCTCATCACATAGTAGACACCTCTGGTTTCACAAAAAGCCCTTCAGGTTTGGATGGAATCTTTAGAGTATATAAAACAAATGATTAGCTAGATCACAAGAGCTTTGTTGAAATTAAAATAACATCCACTTCATTTGGATCTTTAGGTAAGCTTGAGACTTATAATGTATTAGATGGATCTTCTATGGAGAATTTATAGGAAAAATTGAACAAGGATGAGAAAGCACAAATAGGTTATGATCTATACTGGTGGAAAGAAAACCCATAGTGATATCATTGAAGTATAAACACAGAAGTATGTGTTCAGGGCTCTCATCCATGCCGAGGACATGGGGTACCCAGTTACCTGTCTCCTCCTTCTCCATATGGTCTTTCTAACCAGTCAGTCACAGAATCTCCTCAAACACAACCTGGTGGGCCATTGCATTCACGGTGAGAAGGGAGCTAGGTGAGCACATTTGTACGTACCTACCTAAGTGAGTTTTAGATTATTTGTTCTATTTGTTTCTTTCAATTAGCAAAGATCATTGAAGGAGTTCTGTATTTGCAGACGAATTTGCTTGGGCTCCTGAGTGAGTGAGTGAGTGAGTGAGTGTGTGTGTGTGTGTGTGTGTGTGTATGTGTGAACAGGATTTTTTCCAATCTTAATCTCTAATAATAAGCAGACAAGCAAATTTAAATCTTACTTAGCAACTTAGTTTGTAGAGAGCATGAAGGAGGATCATGACCAGCCTGAGTATTAATAAAATATTAGAATGGAAGAAAAAAATAGAGTAAGAAGTAATCTGCAAAGAAATAAAAAGGCCATCCAGCCACTCTTGACAGTGCTTTGCACTAGGGAACCCAGGAGATTGGAGTTTTCTGAGACAAATGCAAATCCCTTAGCTCATCCTTTGGGATTTACACATTCTTTGTTTTCTCTGAGTATGCATTTATACAACACATGCAGAATGCCCACCTGATCAATTCCTATTGTACAGCATATTTCGGAATTACTTGGTAAGTCCAACTAATTCCCTTGGAAAGGTTTGAGAGTCTTTAATTCCATTCCTAAAACGATGAAGCCAAATCACTTATGCTACAAAATCAAGATGCTTATGGGGAAAGAGTCACCCCAAGGGGAAAGAGGACTCAGGCAGAAGAGCATGGCAGGGGGTACAGTAAGAGTTGTTGGTGCAACCCAACAGGAGGGGAGGGAATGAGGCCAAAAAGAACAGCTTGATGCCTCTTCTTGACTTTCAGGTATTTGAAGGCAACTTTCATGTTCCTTCCAGGGCAGACATCACTGGTGCCTTTCCTTGATGCTCACATGGGATGGTACCCAGGCTCTTCGCCATTCTGGTCGCCCCCAATTTTGCCTCTTAATTGCTTTAGATTTTTTTTGACTGCCAAATCACATAACTTATTCCACTGATCTTGCTGTCCATTAAAATCCTCAAATATTTTTCAGACAAATTGTCATCTTACCATGTGCTTCTAGAATCAATTTCTTGACCCCAAGTGTAAGACTTTCTATTTAGCCATATTAAACTTCATCATAGTACATTCAGCCCAATTTTCTAACCTGTCAGAATTTGGAATCTTAATTTTCATCTAGTGGATTAACTATTCCTCCTAACTTTGTGTCATTTGAACTCCTGCCTCCAGATTGAACCCTCACATCTGACAAAGAAAGACAAGCAAAAACATCCAATATAAGGATCAGATCTGACAACATATGCAGTACTTTGTCCTAGCAGGCCCCCGCACCCCCACTCTCTGCTGTGAGGGGGAATCAATGTTTCTTTTTTTTTCTTTTTTTTTTTTTGGCTAGGCAATGGGGTTAAGTGACTTGCCCAGGGTCACACAGCTAATAAGTATTATGTGTCTGAGGCCGAATTTGAACTCAGGTCCTCCTGAATCCAGGGCCAGTGCTCTATCCACTGCGCCACCTAGCTGCCCCAAATCAATGTTTCTTCATCTATTCTCTAGGACCTTCATTAGTTTTTCAGCTCCTCAGAGTTCCTCTTCCTTTTAGTGATCTTTTTATTACATTGCTATAATAACTGGGGGTATGTTTCCTTGTTTCTGCTTATTTCATTTTTCATCAGTTTATATCAATCTTCCCATATTTCACTGAATGCCTTATATTTCTCATTTCTTCCAGCACAATATTCCACTACATTCACATGCCAGAGTTTTCCTGCCATTCTTCAGCTAATGGACACCCACTTTATTTCCAGTTCTTTGCTACCACCATAGTGGGTACTACTTTGCTATGCTTTGTGTAGTGAGTACTATTATAAATATTTTGGTTTATGTTGGATCTTTGCTTTGGTCTTCGACTTCCATGGAAAGGGTGCCCAGAGAGGGATCACTGGATCCAAGGTCTAACTTTTCAGTCATTTTTCTTACAGAATTCCAAATTGATATCCAGAGCTTTTCAAGATGACCATCTGTATTGAATATTACATTCTAGAATTTTCCTAGAAACGGAAGCCAAGTCACTAGCCTACAGTTAGTAGCTTCCCATTTTTTTTTTGGAAAATTTTCCCTTCCCCAATTCTGTGGTACCTCTCCCACTGCCCCTTGAGCTTTCAAAGGTCACACTGGGAGTGACTCAGTAATCACATTCATCACTTCTTTCAATATACAAGGTTATAGTTCATTTTGGGCCAAGTGACTTGAATTCATCAAGAACAATTAAGTGTTCTCTCACCATTTCTTTGCTTATCTTCAGAATCAACTTAGTATTCAGCATTTTTATGTCTTTTCTTGCCCAGAGGTCAATCTCCTTGGCAGAAAAAACAGAAGCAAAATAATAATTTGGCAGCTCTGTCTTCACTTTGTCATGGGTCATCGTCCTATCCTCCCTGAATAATAGCCTTATCCTTTCATTGTTCTTGCTCTTTTCCTTGATATTTATTTTAAAAAACCCACAACCTTTTCATTGTGGTTTTATGATCCAGTTTATTCTGAACTTTAGCACTTTTGACACCAAGCGTCCCCTTCTCTGTCGTCAACTCTCGGGAGGAATGGTTACTTACCCTCACCCAGGTTCTGATCATTGCCTCTCCAGTAATCAGTTCCTCCCCATTGGTGAATATCAGTTCCAGATTAGAATTCATCCTTGTTGGTTCTTTTACTTTTTGAAAGATGACATGATGATTAAGGAAAGTTACTTAAGGCAAACTTCTCTGAGCCTCCATTTCTTCCCCTGTAAAATGAGAGTGTTGGACTAGATAACATCAAAGGTCAATCTTTCTCTAAATTTGTGATCCAATAAGCTTATAAAAATTATTAGCTCCTCTACTTTTGATAGAGAAAGAGCTCTAGAATATAACTTGCTAGTTGAGGTTTCTCCTCCCTACTGTATCATGTCTCTGTTTCAGACTCGTGCTTTGTTTATTTATTTCCCAGACTTCTCATCTAGTTCCGCTTTCTGTCTAGGTGGTGTGTAGCATACTCAGATGACAATATCACTTTTATTTGTCCTTCCATTGATCTTTTGGGGGTTTTTTTAATTTCATTTTTTTTATTCTGGACTTAAGAAATAAAAACAAGCATTTCTGTAACATAGTAGAACAGAAAAAAGATGATTGTACATGAAACTGCAAATCTATTCTGTGCAACTTGTTATTCCTTTGAAATATGTAATAAAGTCATCATGTAAATTTCTTTTTCTTTTTTCCCCTTTTTTCTTCCCTACCCCCACCCCGATGGCTACCACTAGAAACAAATATGTGTATACATGTAAAATCATTCTATACATACTTCTATTTATCAGTTCTTTCTCTGGATGCAGATAGCATTTTCCTTCATATGTCCTTTGTAATTAATTTAAGTATTTATAGTAGTCAAAATGACTTCGTCACTCAAAGTTGTTCTTAAAACAATATTACACTAATTCACTGTTGGTGGAACTGTGGGCTGATCCAACCATTTTGGAGAGCAATGTGGAATTAAGCCCAAAGAGTAATAAACTTCCTATACCCTTTGACCCAGCAATACCACTACTAGGTATGTTTCCCTACATGATTATGGAAAAAAGGAAAAGAACCTATATGTTCTAAAATATTTATGGCAGCTCTCTTTGTGGTAGCAAAGAACTAGAAATTGCAGGGATGCCAGTCAATTGGGGAATGGCTAAATAAGCTGTGGTATATGATTGTGATGCAATACTACTGTGCTATAAGAAATGATGAGCTCGATGATCTTAGAAAAACATTGATAGATTTGCATGAAGTAATGAAGAGTGAAATGAGCAGAACCAAGAGAACGCTGATCTCTTTCCAGATGGTCTCCACCATGCTTTCTCCCTTAGCTTAGAAGAAGAAATTCTTCCCTATTTCTTCACATAGGTATACCTTCATAATATGCAATGCTTCCCCCAACCCAGACACTTTTATTATCTTGCTTCTTTTGAACAAAATACACCCTTCCAGAGTTGCATTCTAGTCATGGGTCTCTCCTTTCTCAGTGAAACTTATTAAAGACAAATTTGCCACATTGTATTAAGACTGCTGATTCATCTGGCTTGTTGCCTAAACTTTCTGTGTTTGTGCATAAAGGTCTCAGGCCATGAGTTTTGCTACAGGTTCCCTTCTTGGATTCTGTCTCCTATGAGCTTCTGGGTGTCTGAATAACTATTCTTCTTTCTAGGTTATATCTTCTCTTTATGATGTATATGTATGTATGTACATATATGCATGTGTATATATGCATACATACAGTGAATATATGTAGGCATTTTCTCTCTGCACCATCCTTTTTAGTTTAAATCTCCTTTGATGAAATTTGTGAGAAAACAGGCAAATACATTTCTTACAGCCTCTTTTAGGTATACTCCATTCCTGCCTAGAGCCTATCTATATTTTAAGTCATGGTTCAGAAATTCAAATCTCATTCTTGGATTCCATTTTCTTAAGCAGGCATTCATCTACCAGATCATCTTTTCTGTATTCCCTTCTGTATGCCTTGCCTTCTTTGTGATGAAAATATCACTTATGTCCTTTATAGGCATAGTTTTAAAGACTACTGACAGAGCTAGTGGAAATAATCAGATTGCATTTAATGAGTTTTAGAAGAGCTTCTTCTGCCTCTTGACTAAAATGTGGAAGAGCATCGTATGGCTGGTATTCAGCACCCTCTTTTCTTTGGCCTACATGTGACAGCAGCTAGTAGAGTAACCTAAGTCATAGCTTCCTAGCTAATATCTTAGCCCCAAGACTCAGATTTCCCTCCATAACTTTAGCTCCTTCATATATATACAAAGGCGACCTTTATAATTCCTCTTTAAGCTAAATTACAAATCTTTATGAGGGCCTCTGGATTGGGGTCAGGCCTTGAAATTAGAGTTCAAATGCCCATTAGACAAAAAAAAAAGAACAATAACAATGGTAACGACTTCTTTACTATTTAAGCTCTTCAGGCAAAGAAGCCATTCATACCTAATGAAAAGTATCATCATCTAAGTGAGCAGTCCTCAATAAAAATGCTCTTGGCAGGAAACCAGGATGTTTGTATGATATTCAGACTATTTAACTAGCACTTACATAATTGTTCTTGTGGTTGGTCTCCCAGTGTTTGCTATTGTCTGGAAATATAACGTCTAGCTTGAGAGCAAACTAAGGATACTCCCTATTGGAAACCATTGATTTTACAATGGAAAGGCCCACTAATCTGTTTTGTACAAATGTATAAGACGTGTTGGGTCAATGAGCCTGGGAGCATTTGTAACTCATTTTGGTGTATTTATATCTTCTCTAACTGGCTGTGTAATTTTTATCGATAGGCCATACATTTCTTCAAAGGATAGAAACTGTGATGGATTTGTGGGGAACTTGATCCCAAATGAAGAAGTACTTCGTACTTTCTTCTCCTTGATGCTATTGCAAATAATATGAGAAAGAGAAGACTGAGGAGAAAATTCCAGGTGTACTTCCAGTGCTAAGAAAAAGGGAACCCAGGCTCCTGTAAGAAGGGTGGAAATAAAAGCGAGCACCACTTACTAAAGCTCAACACATGAGCCAAGTGTGCTACTTTTCATGGTCTCGTTACCATAACATCCCACAGCCCCAGTGCCTGCCTCTTCTTTGTAGTATTTGGCATTCCCACAAGACTCCTGAAGTCAGAGTTTTCAGAAGGCCCCAGTTTGTGCTTTTCTTTTTCCCCCCAAGGATAACTTATGAGATCTGGATAAGTCAATGAGACAAATCATAGGCCTTGATTTTCTACTTGGTGATAACGTGACCCATATCAGGGGATAGACTTCTATAACTTAAATGTGAATCTCGAAAAAGAAACACTTAGCACCTTGCATGTAGGTTTGGAGTCAATTATCTGGGCAACATGAGTTGTTGCCCTCTCTTCCTAGTCTTCTTGATATGATTCTCTGCAGTCCTAAGTCCATCTTTTTGTTTATATTACAGAGCTGGGAATTTGGGATTCCACTGTGCCGGGAGCTTGCATGTCAGTATGAAAGTCTCTATGATTACCAGAGCCTTAGCTGGATCCGGGTAAGTAGATAATACATGCCTTCCCCTCCTTTAGACCACAAACACAGGCTTCTGGAAAAGTACCACAATCCTGGGCAGTTTTACTTTAGAAAACTGTCAATGATTTTCCAGTCAAATAGTCTCTATGCTCTACTAGTGAGCATTTTCTATGGACCTAGCCCCATGTTATCACAGGCTATGAGAGATAGAGCAAAGGAGAAGAGATAAGACTATTACACGTAGAAAAGGAGAGCCCTCAATACAAAAGCAGTGTGCAACTAAAACTGGACTCCAGGTCCAGTAGGCCTTCAGACATGGGAAAGAACAGCATGGACAGGAGTGGCTGGAATGGCTTCATATGAGATGGACCCTTAAGAATATCTTCTTCAGGTGGCCATTTTCAAGAAGCTGCATGTTATGATGGAAAGAGCCAAATTTGGACTTGGTGTCTAAGAAACTAGGTCCAAAATCTGCTTTTAGTTAATTACCAATCTATTGATATCATTTGTTATTATTATTATTATTGAGATAGTATGGCAGAGTGCATAGAGGGCTGGCTCCAAAGTCAAGAAAACCCAGATACAAGTTCTAATACATACCCTGGGCTTAACCTCTCAGTGCCTGGAATATCTTTCTAAGATTATTAAATTGCAGAATAGCCACTGATCTATATTGGCAGAAGGGGTTTCCTCACAAGGAGTTCCTTGCACCAATGAAGTCACAGATTCAGACCATGAAAAAAAAATCATCATCATCATCTTTATCATTTTTGTTCACATACTTGTAAAATATAAGGACCAACCCTCATCAGCAGAAGGAAGTTTTTTTCCTGGGGGCTCCCTAAGCCAGTAAAATCAGAGGCCCAATCCTGATCCCAATCTACTACTTTGAAAATATATTTAAAAGGTGGATGGATGAATGGATTGTGATAAGGGATAACAGAAAGGAAACAGGACTAATTAACTCTTGTTTTGGTTCTGTCTTCTCTGCCAAGAACAATAATCTTTGGGTAAGAAAGGACAGAAAAAAATGGGCAATAGGGAGTTGAAACGCAAGATAAATGCTATTTAGTTGTTTATCAGTCTTGTCGGATACTTCATGACTCTATTTGGGGTTTTCTTGGCAAAGATTCTGAAGTAGTTTGCCATTTCTATCTCCAGATCATTTTACAGATGAGGAACTGAGGCAAACAGAGTTAAGTGACTTACCCAGGGTCATACAACTAGTATGTGTCTGAGGCCGGATTTGACTTCCTGACTCCAGGTCCAGCGCTCTATCCACTGCACCCCAAGATAAACAGGGAGATAACAGGAGAGCACCTAGATACCTTTAGTTAGTTCAAATCACCAGGCCAGATGAATTGCATCCTACAGAACTGAGAGAACTGGCCGATGTGATTACTGAACCACCGTCAGTAATCTTTTAAAATTACATAGAATGGGAGAAGCACTCCGAGACTACACAAGAACAAATGTCCCAATTTTGCAAAAATGTAGCACCTCCAACTATAGGTTGAGCTTAATTTCAGTCCTTTTTCTCCCCTCCCACCACCCCTAAAGAAAAAGGATGGTTAACGAACTTCTAGAAGAGCAAACGGTGATCACAAGATTCAGCGTTACTTTATCAGCACCAACGATATTAATAATAGTGCACATTTCTATAGCACTTTGAGCTTTACAAATTTTGCATCCATAATTTCATTTGATCTTTGCAGCTACTCTGTGAAGTAGATATTATCATGATCCCTATTTTTACAGATGAGGAAACTGAAACCTGTATTAGTTAACTGACCCCTCAGGGTCACATAGCTAGGAAGTGAGGTGAGATTCAAACTCAAGTCCTATTAACCCCAAATTCAGTGCCCTAGCCATTCTACCAGGTCATGCCATACTAACCTCAATTCCTTTTTAGATAGGGTTACTAGACTAAGGGTCTGGGGGATTCTGTAGAGAGACTTTGCCTAGACTTTAAAAGCAAAGCATTTGGGGGGCACCTAAGTGGCACAGTGGATAGAGCACTGGCCCTGGAGTCAGGAGGACCTGAGTTCAAATCCGGCCTCAGACCAAACACTTGACACTTACTAGCTGTGTGACCCTGGGCAAGTCACTTAACCCCAATTGCTTAAAAAAAAAAAGAAGAAGAAGAAAGAAAAGAAAAGAAAAGAAAAGAAAAGAAAAGAAAAGAAAAGAAAAGAAAAGAAAAGAAAAGAAAAGAAAAGAAAAGAAAAGAAAAGAAAAGAAAAGAAAAAGAAAAGCATTTGGCAAAGTCCCTTAAGCTTTTATGGCAACAGGAGACATGGGCTGGATGATAGGGGTTAGGGAAGTTGCTGAATATGAAAAGTAGTCACTAATAAGTCAATGTCAGCTTTGGAGGAGGTCTCCAGTGGAGTGCCTCAGGCATCTGTGCTTGACCCAATGTTGTTTAATAGTTTTCCCAAAGATTTGGATCAATGCATCAGGAATGCACAGTTGCAATTTGCAGATGACACAAAATTAAGAGGGACAGCAACCACACTAGATGACAGAGCCAGGATCCAAAAAGATCTTGACCAGCATGTTGGACTAAATTTAATAAGATGAAGTTCAATAGAGGTAAATGTAAATTCTGCTACTTGAAAAGCTGGTTGTTTGTATTCACATGCAAAATAGGAAGGTGCACATATGCTATGTAGAAGTTTGAAAAAGATTTAGAGGTTTTAGTCGACTGCAAACTAAATTTGACTTAGCAGTGACAGGCAAAATAGTTAACGTGACCTTAAGTAGCACTAAGAAAAATAGAGTGTTCAGAGGACAGCAGTCCTCCTCTTCTCTGCTACAGTCATCTAGAGTATTCTGTTCAGTTCTGGACTTTAGAGCCAGAAGGGCCCTTAGAGACCACCAGATCCAATCCCCTTCTTTTATAGAGGAGGAAACTAAGACCCAGAGAGGGTAGAGCTGGTAAATAGCTGAGCAGGCCTTTGAACTCTGGTCCTCTTACTGCAAGTACAGTGCTCTGAACTCCATGCTAGGCCACATGTTCTCTCCCTGATCTCAGTATAGAGTAAGGATCTACAGGCTCGGTCTATGGTATATGCTGTCAAATGTGGCCACGGTATTAACTGGGTTTGCTTCACTGTACTTCTTTGTTAAAGGAGACAGTTTACTAGGTGCAGGGTGGGTCAATATACTGGGAGATACCTATGGTGAAGACTATGAAAAATTACTATGTAAAAAAAAAGTCATCAATAAAATTTTGTTTTAAACTTGGAAATGATATAGAGGAATTTTCAAATGCCCTGAACCTAGGTTCTATCTTCAAAGCCCAGACTGTTTTGGTACCCTTTAGGCAATGTGAGTAATTTTCCATGAATTTAGAGGCCTGTGGTGGGTGAACTGTTTTCTGATTGTTAGCCTAAGTCTAGGATTCTGGTATCCCGTTAAATTATTAGCAAATCTCAAGCCATATCTTTAGCATACCCAAAGAGCTGTGTCCTGGCCACTCAGCTAACTTTTCTTCCACTCAGGCATCTCAAACCTGTTGCTTGAGCCCAGAGGCACAGTTTATTTATTTGTCTGTTTTCTATGCTAGAATTCTACTCCCATGCCTCCTTGTGGTATGGAGGTGACCCTGGGTTCTTGCTTGCAGGCTGTGGAAGGTCAGGGTCAGCCAGTCAGGAAAGTCTTCAGGTTTGGACTCAGCAAAGGACTCAGGGTCTGTTGGAGACTACCGTACTATCTGTAGAGTGAAGGATATTTTGGCTAAAACAACTCATTAAGACTGTCAGCTAGGTCACCTGAGGGGTTATGGTCTAAATTAGTGGAAGCAGTAACCAACAACAAGACTGAAGTTCTTTGAAGTTGAAGTAAATGATTCACTTCTTTGAAGGGACTATCGAATGTAGGCCACAGAAGCCCAGGATAGAATTATAGCCGTTTACAGGTCTATATCTGCCTTTCAAGGTTAGCGTCAGGCCATTTGGTCCTTTCTATAAGGGAAATTCCAGGGTCTGGATTTAATTTGAACAATGAGTTTGTATTTAGTCTAGAAGACCTGGAGAATCAGGTGATGATGAAGGAACCAGGATTTTGACATGTGTTGTCCTCCAGCATAGCTGGGGTTACTTTTCCTGTGCCTGAAATTAGGACAGCTGAGATTGAATCACCTCTCCCCCTACCTTGGTGAACTGAAATACCATCTATCATGGTACACAAATCAACCTTTTGAGGTTAAAAACAGTCTTCCCCTAAGACTAGGAATGTTATACATCAGGTGTGCTGGCAGCTGAGCTGTTCTCCCCACCCTCAGCAGCTACAGCCAGAGGGAGTCCATGGACTTCAAATGAAGGCTGAGGAGCTTAGATATGCCAAAGGTCAGGAACGAAGGTGGGGAAGATAATGATTCCCAATCACTACCAGTCTGAATGAGAACTATAGCAGGAGAAGGGTTTGCATGTATGAGAGAAGTCCAAATCTGGATTTTTGTATAGAAAGTCATTTCAAACTACATAGCTATCAAATAATTTATATTTCCACTTCCTGGTACTGTTCTTTTCTCTTTATGGACTGAGCTGTGAGCAGTCAAGGACCAAGCAGGATAGGAATGACTTCATCTAAGACTATGGTTGACCGCTTTTCTACTACCTAATACCAATCCTCAAACACAAAAAGCCCTTGTGTAAAAATACTATGGAAATGTGAGCTATTGTTCTGCATGAGCTGTGGCTGATCTACTTCCTTCCCCAAAATACCAAGCATTTCATGGTATGAAAACGAGTTGTATGCCAAGACTTGGAAACTGACAGTTTGTTAAGTATATGTGAAGCTCATTAATTTTTCTGTTCACAGAAAATGGAAGCAACCTACTATGATAACATCATGGAGCAGCAACGTCTGGAACCTGAGTTCTTCAGAGTTGGTTTCTATGGAAGAAAGTTCCCTTTCTTCCTCCGGGTGAGTAAATATAGAGTCTCATTGGAACTTAAAGTATTTCTCACTAATTTTTTTCAAACACAGATTTTATTGAGCCTTGTTCTCTCCTTTGTTGCTTCTCCTACTAAATTCTTCTAGGCGTTTGCTTAGAAGGAATCAGGGTGCCTGAAAGGCCATCTCCACTGGGCTGGCTGTCCTCTTACTCTATTGCTTTGACATTTCACACTTTTCAATTGCTATCAGGAACTTTAAAAGGTTGTTATGTCACCAAATCAACTGAAACCCTAGGAGGCGAGTTTTAAATCAACGAGTAAGTACACGAGAATAATCCAACATCCAAACTTGGAGAAACCTTCTAAGTCTTGAAGTCATTTGCCTAGTACCTTCAAAAATGTACATTTGTTGGGCCCTGAGCATATGAAAAGTACTGTAGAACCCATCACAAAAAATACAATCTGTGCCCTCTGGGACCTTCAGGTGCAAGGAGACACAATAAGTCAATAGAATTGCCCTTATTAGGAGCCACAGTACACTGAGCTAGGTTTCAGTTTAGACTGTATTTTTTGCCAGCCTCAGTCATCTACAATGACATTGTTTTCTTTACCTTCTCTTAGAAGACTGAGCTAGAATATAGAAGAAAACCTATCTAATAACCGACTTGGTGATGATGGCAGTGATTTGACAGCCCATCTTCCCTATTCAGCACTGTGTCTGAGTATAGAGTTGTGTACGGTGGCTTTGTTCTTGTTATTTTGGGTAATATATATGGTCAAAGACAGTGGTCTCCAAAATGGAGGATGTGCAAGACGATCCATTGGGATGTGGGGAACTAATATTATAACTTCTATTTATATTTATTTTATCTTGAAAATAAATTAAACTTTGCTAATATTTAATATAAATATTTATCCTGGCACCCTCACTTGATCTGTGAGTCAGATGATCATATAAGTTATGTGAGGTCTCCTAATGTAAGAGCAAGAATTCCATGTTATGGAAGGATTGATAGTGGTACTCTCACTTGATTAACTTTCAGCATCTTGCAGTGAGGTACAATGTATATGTGTTTGGTTAAATGGATTAAATTATCTAGTTTTAACTAAATTAGCTTTCACAAGGATCTTTAAAATATTCCTGCAAAAAAATAACTAATAATGCAAGTAACAAGGAGATAACAGAGTTGACACTTAGCCTACATACCACTAACTCAGCAGTCACAATGTAAACTACAAACATTGACAGTCTAACCAAATCTAACAAGAAGTTGGCCAAAGATTCTTGAAATTATCAAGATGATTTTAAATATGGAGTCACATTACTATTATAATTGATAAACCTCTTTCTTAGTACTGCCTTGAAATATTAGCTAGTGATAGTAATAAACCCTCAAAAGTAGCAACATTTAAAAACTAACCTTTCATTGCCACAAAATATCTAAATGTGTCACCTGTAAACTTTTTGTCATAAGAACATAAATTTAGAGTTGTAAAGAGGCTATTGAGGCCATCTAGTCTAAGTCCATCATTTTACAGATGAGGATGCTGACGATCAGAGAGGTTAAGTGACTTGCCTCAGGTTACACAGTAATTATCAAAGGCAGAATTTGAGCCCAGATCCTCCTGATTCCCAGCCCAGTGCTCTTGCCCCACTCTACAAAGTTGCCTTTAAAAGAGATCTGCTGCATGGTTTTAAATTTTGGGAACCCAATTTTGTAACCTATGTTAAAGATATTACAAATCGGTGTTTTGAACCCTTTTTTAAAAAGATAAAAATGTAGTACCTTTCAATTGGTTTATAAGAACAACTGATTTACATCAGGGAAAATGGAAGTCCACTAGCCAAATTTCAACAAAAACCTTTGTGGAGAGAGGAAGGTAGAGGGTGCCCAGGGGAATGAAAAAACAAGTATGATAATTTAGTAAGCATGGCTAATGCTGTGTGTCTTCCACTGGTGTCTGCATAGCTTTGTAAAGTATTTTTTCAAGTACTAAAATTAAGTATCAAAATAAACTGATTGTAGACCAGGCCTTCAAATCACTGTGTCATAAAGTGTTAATCAAGAATTTCAAAAATATTGAAGCATATTCAGTCACAAATGGTCATGGAGGCGGTGTCACATAATGGATAAAGAGCTAGCTTTGAAACCAGGAAAACCTGGTTCTGACACTTCTTGGCCCTGTGACCCTGGAGAAGTTGCCCTCCTGGTGCTTAGGCAACTCTCCAAGGTGATACTGCAAAAAGTAAAAATAAAAATTGATAGCCTGCATTGGTAGAGAGAGTTTCCTTACCTAAGAACTCCTTGTACCAATGAAATCACAGGTCGTGACCCTATTTCTACCCCTGTTCAATCACATGAGGCAGCTAGGGGGCACCATAGTGCATAGAGTACCTGGTGGGAAGTCAGGAAGACTGCTGTTCCTGAGTTCAAATCTGACCTCATACACTTACCAGCTCTGTGACTCTGGGCAGGTCACTTAGCCCTGTTTGCCTCTGGTTCCTCATCTGTAAAATGAGCTAGAGAAGGAAATGACAAACTGCTCCAGTATCTCTGCCAAGAAAACCCCACATGGGGTCACAGAGACTTAGACACAACTGAAACAACTGAGCTGAACAATTCATTCACATAGCTCTCACTAAATATGCGTGTGTATAAATTTTAGTGATAGAAAATCTTGTATTGTTACTAAGAAAAATGAATTTTCAAATAGTTTATTCATTTTTAATTCCTATTTTTATAAATGCTGTATAATGTACCTAATAGTACATATATAAAATTTATAAATAAATATATATATATATATTGGAGGTGCATACTCAAAAATATTTTATTGATAAAGGTGTGTAATCATGGATGTGCTGGTAAATTTTTAACAACCAGACTCTCTGGAAAAGAAAAAAGCATATACATACACTTATAAATTTAATCTGCATTATTAATACTTTCTCAAGTCTAGACAGCCACAAAACAATAAATGAAGCCCTGACCTGTAGTGAATGCTGATTTCTGATAGACAAATTCGCACACTGAAAATTTAACAATACCATTTAGAGCTGACTCTAGCACACCCCTGTGAGTGATCAAATAAGTTTGAAAACCACTGGTCTGGGAGACAGCCTAGTTCTTCTCAAACAAGGCAGTCAGCAGGAACAGGCTCTCAGAGGCCCCTGTTATATAGTCACATTGGCATCAGAGCTATACCTGAAGCACAGAACTAGTCCCACTGATTTCAAGCTCAAACTTTCCTCTTTCAGATCAAGCTCTCTGTCCAGAGTGAGGAGGAGATTCCCCATGACTAAGGGATTTATCCCACCTAGGAATTTGTATTTTTGGTTTACATTTTTAGGGGAATATTTTTAATCAATGAGCAAAAGAGTATTGGTTATAGGAGAAGGAAGAGCTTCTGGACCCACAATGAAGCTGGTCTTTTGTTAGCAAGAATTCTTACTACATTTCAAAAAGACAGTGTAACACACATTTCCTGGATGGCTAACTAGAAGTAGAGTTAGCATGGCTATTGGTGCTATTAACAGTGACAGCCAGCACATCATACCTAATTGTAATCCCCAGTAATGCTCTAATTATATTCCATCACGTGTTTCTAATAGCAGAGTAGGCAGGAATTAGTAAAGTAACCTCTTCAGGAGAACTTAACCTCCCCCTTTCGTTCTAATGACCATCATGTATAAAAAATTTCTGAAATGGTCTGTTTAGCTGTAAGCATCAGAATAGATGACATAACTATGAAGATGTAGACCAATGAAAAGTAAGATTAAGTGAAACAAGAGGCCTACCCAGAAATCCCAACAAAATAGATTCTAGTCCCCTTATCTCAGCTTTCATCAGGGAATTTTTTTGTTTTTTGCACATTTTTGCAAATGTGCTCAGTACTTATTTCTCCATGTTTAGCACCACAACTTTTGCACTAGGAACCAAATTTTACCCAGAAATGTTAGTCTATGGGCCATCTCAAGGCTCTGATGTCATCTGTTTCTCATAGGCCATCCTGCCTTCCACACCACTCAGGCTCACATAAGTGTGACAAATCCATTTTTCAGGGCTTGTTTAGTTTTGTGCAGTGCAAACACCAGGGCAGAATCTGGGTTATGTCTATCTGTAAACCACTCTCAGTGAATTATTTTTAAATATGAAGATATGCAGATCCGATTTTGGAGAATCCATACACAGTGAAGACACCTCCAGTTCTCTCAGCAAATGATGTCAGAAGATTCAGGCTCCAACCAGACCTTCTCCAAACCAAGTGAGAGCTAGGGATTTTGTATCATACATATACATCTCCTTGGTCTCATCACACTCTGTGTCTTTCATTTCGCCAGCTTCTAGGATTGATGTTACAGCATTGGAAATATGTCACACTGAGAACATCCTTTGTGCAGTGCGAACAGCAGCACTTGCTCAGATTTGTCTGCCTGCGAGGCACTGGCACTCTCTAGAGTGTGGAGGGGGTGACTGATGGTTCCCAGGTTAGGAAATGTGCCCTCCTGCTTCTCATACATCATCCACGGAGCCTAGGTTGGTCCATCGCCATTACCATCATCAGGAATAGGTCATTATTTTAGCCCCACCAGCTTGGTTCCTACAAACTATCTGCCTCCCTTATCTTTATAAAGACACTTATCTGTTTGTCTAGAAACAGAGAAAACCATCTTTCCCTTTGAGGACGGAGTGGGAGGGAATTTCAGCTTATCTTATTTAGCATCATTAAAAATTGCCTACTCAGGGGTTAGAATACATCTGTAATATGAATGACTATGAAAGGATTGACTCTGTACAACTTCCTTAGCTTCCAGTTCCAGAAGGGATCAGAGAAGTAGTCTGTTCATCAAGCAAGAGCCTTATAAAATTTACTGTTCACATGTTCCAATGATAAATTGATAAACTGCTTTTCTCCCTGATCTCATCATTTTCCCCTTCTTGCTCATCCCATTCTAACCATTTTAGTCATCTAGACCAGGCTTTTCAATGTTCTTTCTTTTCTCTGAGTGAAAATGACAAATGTTTGGAAATTCCATGACCTGACAAGGTTAAGAGTATCACAAGGAAACATCTCCCAAATGGCTGATTTGGGAAATGTCTTAAGTAAAATATTTACAAGATCCTAGATTAATATCTGGTTGGTCCCTGCCTTAGCAGGATCTCTCCTGTCTTGGGTAGACATCTGGAGGGAATGGCATACTAAGAGATTGTTAAGATACCTCACCAAATTTTAGGAAAAAACATTGACAAATTAGAGCATATCCAGAATAGGGCAACCAATTTGGAATAGGCTAGATATCGTGCCATACACAGAGTACTTGAAGGAATATGGGAGTGTATAGCCTGAAGAATAATAGAAAATTCTTAATATCTCTCCTAAGAGATGTAATAGTTTCCAAAAATTTTTCGTGTAGGAAAGAGATTCAATTTCTTTTAGTTGGACCCAGGAGGCAGATCTAGGAGCAATGAATAGAAGTTGGAGATACAGATTTCTGCTTCACATGAGGAAAAATTTCCAAAAGTAGATTGGACTGCCTAAGAAGATAATAGACTCCCTATTACTGGAGATCTTCCAGGGAAGCCTGCATGCACACTTGTCAGAGATGTTGTCAAAAGGGATTTCTGTGTGAGTACAGGTTGAACTGGATGATCCCCTGGCTCTCTTCCAACTCAGAGATTCTATGAATCTCTCATTGTCGTGGCACAGTCTTGGAAGCACATTCCTCGGCTCCAAAGAGATCCCTACTTAACCATTTTCCTATGACCCTAAGTACCACAAGGAGAAAGAGGGCTCTCAGTTGTTAACCTCATCTTCCAAAATGAACAAGATGAAACCCTGCCTACAAGCCAGGGCCACTTGATAGGATGCAATGCTAAAAGAAGCATTTATTAAAACAGTGATGCTTTGTTCATTAAGTTATTCATTTGTTAAGTAGTTCTATTTGTTCTACGCCCAGCGCTGATGGAGAGAGAGATGGATAAAGCATAGTAATGTCTTCAAGAAGCTTGTAGTATGATAGAGGAAATAAAACCCCAAAAAGCAGATTGTAATGAGTATAGAGAAGAGTCACAGAGTGCTGGGAAATGTGGAATGGGATGGGTCAGAGTAGGGATACCTCAGAAGAAGAAAGCAAGTCCCGATGGGAGGATTAACAAAAGCTTCATGGAAAAGATGGCATGTGAATGGAGCCTTGGATAATGGGAGAGAAGAGCTAGGTAGAAAGCATTCCAGACACAGAGAATGACATGAACAAAATCATGGAGGCAGGAAGGCATAGAACATGTTTGTGTTGTAGTTGTTTGGTCATTTTGCTTATGTCCAACTCTCTGTGACCCAATTTGGGATTTTCTTGTCAAAGTACTAGAGTGGTTTGCCATTTCCTTCTCCAGCTTATTTTATAGATGAGGAAACTGAGGCAAACAGAGTTAAGTGACTTGCCCAAGGTCACACAGCTATCAAGTGTCTGAGGCTGGATTTGAACTCATGAAGATGAGTCTTCCTGATCCAAGCCCAGTGCTCTATCCACTGCACCACCTAGCTGCTCCTAGAATGTGTTCAGGAGATGGTGATTAGTCCATTTTGACTGAAGTATAATAGTATGTGTGTGATGGGCAGCACTGTGTAGTGAAAGAACCCCTGGATTTGTAGCCAGACAACCCAGGCTCAGATCCCACATCTGCCACTTAGTACCTATGTAACCTTCTGCAAGTCGTGTGATTTCTGCAGGCCTGTTTCTTCATCTGTAAAATGATAGCATTGGACTAGATGATCTCTTTGATCCCTTTTAACTCTAGATCTGTGAGGTTTAGTGTGGGAATTGTGTGAGATACTGATCCATTTACAAAGGAGTTCTCTGCTAATGAAAGGTTTCAGGATGAAAGGAAACATTTCAGAGAAGCAAAGGAACTTATTGCTACACTTTTTTTAATAGAATAAGGAGTATGTCTGTCGGGGCCATGACTATGAGAGGTTGGAAGCCTTTCAACAGAGGATGCTGAGCGAGTTCCCCCATGCAATCGCCATGCAGCATCCCAACCATCCGGATGACTCCATCTTGCAATGTGACGCCCAATGTATCCTTTGAACCCGAAGGGGTAAAATGTTGCTGTTAGTTCCTGGGAGACCAGGGCTTAGTTCTCTCAATCTGCTTCTAGTTTTTGGTGATCTTGCACAAGTTTTCAGCCAGTGTACCCATATTAATGAACTTCACATTTGACACAATTATCTTCCCGAGCTAAAGAGATGCCGTCACTACCTTAGCATTGGATAGCTGTTCAACATCACAGGAAATGGATGATCATTTGGTATGGCTGGGGAAAAGAAACTTGGCCCATGCTGCTTGGCTTTTACCTTCATGACTGACCAGTCACTTATTTCATACGCACTGTGTGTTTGTAAGTTATCTACCCAGTTGGCCAGGAGAGAGCACTTTGCAATGTAGGTCATGGATCCAACCATCATATTCTCCAACAAATTATCCTCCTCCCACTCCTGCTTGTGAAGATTTCTGTACCATCCTTTTCAAGGCAGATTGGTAATGGTGGGGTTCTGTCCCTATGGTGAAAATCTTCGGTATGAATGAACATGCAGCAGACACAGTAACACTGCTTAGCAGTCTCTGTGGAGAGAGCCAGATGGCAGTTGATAAAATTGTGGAAGGTTTTTTCCAGAGAAGGCAGGGCAAGTGGCCTCCCATCTGGTATTTTACCAGCAAGGACTCCAAACAGTATTTTGCTTTAAGGTTGCTTGCCAATAAAAACAGTTTATCAACAATTGAAAAGAAGGCCTACTCTCTGTTTCCTCTCCTCCATGTTGCATGTATCTACATTCTCTCCATTTTCACTCTTCCTTCTCAAAATAACCTGGAAAGTATACCACCATTATTAACTTGGGTGGATAGAGCTGTCACTAGATACATTGCACTAGACCTAATTCATCATATCAAGGTTCCCAAGAACATGAGTGCTTTGGGCAGAGATCATTGGTTCTTCCCACTCTTCAGGCTTTTCTACACATAGCTAAGGACTCAGAAGCTCTGAGGAGAGAGGGTGGAGAGCAAGGAAAATATACTCCTTTGCCTTCATATCTTTTATTGTGACAAAAAGAAGCAGGCCAGGCTGAATAACTCTGAACCTTCCCTCACTGGTGACACTCAAAAGTTGGTCTTTGAAAAGTCTGTTTCCTTGAACTTTGCCTTTCTCAGATTTGCAGATCTATGCAGTGACACCCATTCCAGATTATGTGGATGTCCTTCAGATGGATCGAGTACCTGATCGAATCAAAAGCTTTTATCGTGTCAACAATGTTAAGAAGTTCCGGTATGACAGACCTTTCCATAAAGGTCCAAAGGACAAGGACAATGAATTCAAGGTAGGAAGGGTCAGGAACAAGGTCAGAAATTTGGAGGACGTATTCAATAGATCACTGGAGAAAATCCCCAGGTTTCCAAGAAGTTGGTAGTCCTCAGATTCCTTGGTAAAAGGCTATTAACAATATGTGAATTTCATTTAATTGAGAGCAGGGTGTATTATAGTCCGTGGCCTCACTGCCACTGTCCTTCCTCTGTCCTCTGCAGAGTCTGTGGATTGAGCGTACCACTCTGACCTTGACCCACAGCTTACCTGGAATCTCTCGATGGTTTGAAGTGGAGAGAAGAGAGCTGGTAAATGACATGTTGCTTGTGGCTGGGCTTCGTTAGGTGATACAGCTTCATCCCAAGCATTGCTTCTAGCTTGTTGAAGCAAGTTGTTTTTGTATTAAATAAATGTAATTCAGGGATAAGACACTGGGGAACCTAGGAGAATATAAATTCGCTCAGATAAAATAGTGATGGTGAATTGATGTGTTTGTTTATGCTAAGTTTTCATTTAAAAAAGGCTTACTTGCAAGTTCCTACACATTGAAAGTGAAAAGTGGTTAGTATTTGAGGATGTTGAATGCCAAAAATTATTCCAGAGTGGAGTTTTAAATGCAAATTTTGCCAAATATTACCACTACAAAAGCAGGTGTGACCATCCCATTTGCTCCTCCTCAGTACCACCTAGACTCAAGTAACATATGACTTTTCCTCTGTGACACCGGGAACAGCTAAAGAAATGCTTCCTTGAGTTCAAAAAACCTCTGAATAATTAGAGCTTTCAAAAAATGTATTGGGCTGCCTGAGAGGTGTAATGAGCTGCCCCTATTAAGTGTTCAAACACAGGGTGGGTGACCGAGCAGCAGGATTTTTACAAAGAGAATCCTTGCAGTGGGCAAGGGGTTGTTCTAGATAACCTTTATGGTTCCTTGTGGTTCTTGGGTCTGGGGTCTATAAAATGTCAGTAGGATGAAGCCATGTTCTGTGTGCCCTGTAGGTTGAAGTGAGCCCTTTGGAAAATGCCATACAGGTGGTTGAGAACAAGAACCAGGAGCTTCGGACGCTGATCAGCCAGTATCAGCACAAGCAAATGCATGGTAATATTAACCTGCTCAGCATGTGCCTCAATGGAGTCATAGATGCTGCTGTGAACGGTGGCATCGCCCGATACCAGGAGGTGAGCCTTCTGTAGACATTAGTTCTCCCCAGTGCTCTTATGCATGACAGTGGTAAATTAAGCCAGAGGCATCAAATCCAGGCAGATTCGAGAAAGAAGTAAAAAATTATTTTTATAATGTCACACTAGTGATCCAGCTTAATCATCCTATCAATTAATCAACAATCATTTATTAGATTTATTAGTATAGTACCTAGCATATGATAGGTAACTAAACTTACTGTAACTAGATTAACCTATCATTAGTATGTCTAGTAGTACTAAACTTCTAGTAACTAGGTGACTAAACTAGGTGCAGAGGATAGAAATACTAACTTACGTTGTATTGGAGGAAACAAACTGTACTCATATAAATATATACAAAAATCAAATCAAAGTAAATATAAGATAACCTCAGAAGGAAAGCAGCAATCATTGGGGTGGGGGTGGGGGGTCACGTCAGGAAAGGCCTTACTAGTCAAAGTGTCATCCCTGAGATAGTATCCTTGCTAGCTATTCAATTCAACAACTATTCAACAAAAGAAATAGTTTTAATTTAGCCACTTCTTGGCTAATTGTTTCTCTGCCTCAGAGACCTAGGAACTGGCCTTTGCCAGATTGTCAAAGAAAGATAGCGGCAGAGCTGCCCAGTGAGGCTGTGGCACCTAAATGTCCTAACCTTGCCCCACATGTCTGCCCCATCCTTCTCTGTTTGTTGTGGCCAGCAGAACAGGTCATAGGAAAGGACTTTCATTTTTCAGGATTGACTTTTATTTTTTTCGCTCCTCTTTGACAGCTTGGCAAACCATTTAGTCATAGAAGAATGTTAAATGGCCTCCAGGAGGCACAGGGAGCCAGAGCCAGCTCAGTAGTCATCTGCTGCCCTGTTTGTGTGGGAGGCCAGTGTCTGGTTTCCAGTCTTTGCTATGCCTTCCAAAGGCTAGCAGGGCCTGCCACACAATGCCTAGTGCTGTTAAGCAGTGATCACTCAGATGACAGAGGAGCAGCCCTGACAGTCTCAGAAGAGCCTTTCCACTCTTTCTTGGCCAAGAATCTCGAAGTAACCCCACTATGTAGAGAGGGTTTAAACAGGGAAAAGAAGAAGCCTTAGAGTTCCTAAGCCATAGAGGAAAATCGCTGCAGGCTGGGACGCTCTGATAAGTGTTTCTGTCAAGTGTCTCAACTGTCTTTCCAATTGTGTTTTCTGGCAAAGGTTGACTGGAGAGTGCACACTACTACATGTTTCCCTGGAGACTATAAGGCTAGACTGAAGCTTGGAGTGTCCTTTATTGATTGACTTAATGTTTCCAGAAACCTTGCCAGTTAAAACTCTTTGACCCAGAACTGAGTGGGGGTGGGGGGGTGGGGGAGGGAAGAAGGGGTTCTTCCTGTTGGATGCTGTCACTGACTGCTGTCTCTCCCTCCCCCTGCAGGCTTTCTTCGATAAGGATTATATTACCAAGCACCCAGGGGATGCAGAGAAAATCACACAACTCAAGGAGCTCATGCAGGAACAGGTACCTCTCAACATTTCACTAGTAGGGAAGACTAGAGTACAGCTGATTCAATCAAAAACAGTTACATCAGGCCAGTGCTTAGTAACGTCATCTAACTGGAAAATTGGGAAGCTGTATGATCACTGCATGCTTTTGGAGGAAGGCTTCCCTCTTCTGCAGAATGGTTCGCTAATTTTTATTCATTTTGTTTGAAACAGGTCCATGTCCTGGGAGTGGGCCTAGCAGTTCATGAGAAATTTGTTCATCCAGAAATGCGCCCTTTACATAAGAAGCTAATTGATCAATTCCAGATGATGCGGGCCAGTCTCTACCATGTAAGCTAATCCCTTAATTCATTTGTTTTGAGAAATTCAAATGCATGGTCAAAACCAGTGCCATCAAATTCAGAGAGAAAGAATGATAAAAAAAAAAACTCTTCTCTTCATGAATACTTATCCTATAACAGATATACAACAGAAAATGAAAATGAGAGAGAACACTGAAAGGAAAAGATAAGAAAGAAAAATAAGTGATTGACAGTTATCAATAAGTGGATTTTGCCTTTGCAAAATGGGTGCCTTGACTGGGCATACTGTTTGATGATTTGGCTGATATAGGCAACAGCTAATGTCAGGATTTCTTCCATCTGGCACTTGAGTGAAGACTCTTTTCTCATTAATCAGAACCTCCATGAAAGTCCTACTTTGATCCCTCATTATAGTGCAGCAGTCATTTGAATTCTCAAAGGCAATGCCTGTAAAGTGCAAACTTTACCATGTTAGGAAGGGTTCTAGCATGGCCCCACCTACTGACCATGTCTGCTGTCTGAGGGCCAGCCAAGAGAGTAGAAAGGCTCATGAATTCTTCGGCCACAGCAAACCCATAAGACAGAAAAAATGTAAATGGCGCTCAGTCCTGTGCAGCTTCTGTTCATTCTTATTAATGATGATGAGTCAATGCTGCAAAGGGGAGGGAAGAGTGCTGATAATCACACAGTTTTCAGGCCATCTAGAAACATCCATTTCATTATTGATACTCTAAATATGGGGCAGCTAAGTGGCTCAGTGGAGAGAGCTCTGGGCTTGAAGTCAGGAAAACCTGATTTCAAGTCCAGTCTCAGACACTTACTAGATATGTGACCCTGGGCAAGTCACTTAACCCTGTTTGCCTCAGTTTCCTCATCCATAAAATGAAGTGGAGAAAGGAATGGCAAACCACTTCAGCATCTTTGCCAAGAAAACCCCACATGAAGTCATGAAGAGTTGGACATGACTGAAACCACTGAGCAACACTCTAAATATGAGGTCCAATGACCGGTGAATCAAGTTTCTAATGGAGAAATTTAAACATTAATACTGGCATTCTCACAATAAATGAAATCCAAAGATATAAGGAAGTTGCAGCTAAACGGAAGGATGACTCCCAGGTTCTCCTTGGAGAGGTAAGTAAAGGAGTCAGTGAAGTTGTTTTCATCATGCCACCCAAAGGCTGCTAACAAGAGATACCGTTTCATAGGACACTTGATCATTTTGCTTTGCAGGGCTTATGATGCTTATAAACAAAAATGTCACCCAATTATGAATTCCATCCTGTAAAATCTAAGGTTCTAGAACAGTATTCTAAGACATCACGCACCCCTATCCCTCAGTACAAGCTATAACCATAGACCCTTCACACACACACTGTCATCTCAAACACTGTAGGAATCAGTCATCCCTTTCTGCGTGGATAAGAGGTCAAGCAGCTGAGCAGATATTATTCTAGAAGCCGACTTTAAGTAACAAACAATGAGAGATGGTGCACAGGGAAATAACTATCTGAAACTCTTTGCCTAGAAGAAATAAGATAGATAACTAGATTAAATTCAATTGAGCAAATATTTATTATATACTCCTATCTTCTAGGCCTTGGGTTAGTTGCATTGGTGTCTGTTTGCTTCTTTTCACATTGGAGTGTGGGGAAAAAACATACTGAATGACGAGTAAAGGCAGCTGAGTAGATAGGATTGGGAGGCCCATCCCAAATAAATTGAATCTCAATCTGGAGTTCCTGATAACTGACTCCTCGGTATAGCCAACAAGTATAACAAATCATTTTCCATAGCAGTGAGCAGAAACAGCTAACAAAAAGAAAACAGAACCAAACACCTGACTTCAACAAGTATGGAGGGTAAGGAGAATCTCACAGTGACCTTCAGAGAGTATGCCATGTTTATGTTTCTTCTATCACCAAGTAGCACATATCTCTGCAGAATGTATAGCTTAGTCTCCACCCTAGGAAAAAAAGATGAAGGATGTGAAGAACATATTTCTTTTCTATAAATGATAAGGGAGAATGAGGTAGTCCTGGAAAGGATGAGAGGAGAAAGTTTCAAGGAAGAAATGGAAGGAAAGGGATGTGAAGAATCAGAGGGAAACCGGCATTGTTGATTTGAGCTAGAAGGGGTCCATAGTCTAGCTCCTTCTTGCAGATTACACAACTGAGGCCAAGAAAACTTTAGTGACTTAGTCAAGGTCACACATATAATAAATAGCAATATCAGAATTTAAACCCAAATCCTCTGACTTCAAATCAAATGATCTTTCCACTACACTGCCTGTGTTAATAGGTTTGAAGGTGGAAGAATGTGACACAGATTAAAAAGGTAGGGAAGGCTACTGAACATTTTGGAGTGAAGTGATAAGAATGTAGTTCTTTCAATAGAGGGAGAGAATATTCCATCTTCGGAGGAAATCGGCTTCTTGTGACAAGGATACACAGGGCCATCAAGTGATATCAGCGAGGAATGATCCAAGGAAGAAGAGGCCAGAAGCAGCAATTGGGTGTTTCCTTCTTTTTCTTTGACTCTTCACTCCCCGGTATTACTTCTCTCTTAACTCTCCATCTCTGATTGTTTCCCTGCTGACTCTGATGTATTTCTAAACCAAATCTATATGTCCAACTATCCTTTGTCCATTTCAGATAAGAATGAGGTTTGCCTGCCCACTCCTACTACCTCTTCCTCCATATTCGCATATTCTTCTTCTTATATACCCCAGTTATGAGATAGAGCATGTTCCACCCCTTTTTCCTCCATTCTATACTGCTGTGTTCCTTTCATCCTTTCTTCTTTCCCCTTTCCCTGAAAACAGAATTAATCTGTCCCTATGTCCTTTGTTTTTATTATTTAATTTGCTCATTACCCTTTCAAGATATCAAGGCTCTGAAGGGACTCTTGTTTCTTCTCCCCCTGTTAGAATGGGATCACTACATCATCATACAGCCCCTCCCAATTGCTCAAATAAATTTACCTTTCTAGGTCTCTCTTGACTCGTGTGTTTATATTCCAAAATTCCTCCTCGGCACTGGTATTTTTATAAGAAATGTTTAAAAATCTTCTATTTCATTAAAGATCCATTTTCCCCCTGTAAGATTATACTCAGTTTTGCCGATTAAATTATTCTTGGTTATAAGCCAGCCTTTTTTGCCTTGTGAAATAGTGTAGTATTTCAAGATCTCCTCTAATTTATAGCAGAAGCTGCCAGGACTTCTGTGATCCTGACTTCGGTTCATTGATATGTGAAGTGCTTCTTTCTAGATGCTTGCAGTATTTTTCCTTTGACATGGAAGCTCCAGATTTTGGTTAGGACATTCCTGTGAATTTCCTTTTGGGCTTTCTTTTAGGAAGTGATCTATTTTCTTCCTGACTTTACTTTTGCCTTCTGGTTCTGTAAGGCCTAAGCAGTTTTCATTAATGATTTTTTAAAATATAGTATCCAGGTGTTGTTTTTTTTTTAACATTGTGGCCTTCAGTGAGTCCAATGATTTTTAAATTATCTCCTCTGATTGGTTTTCCAAGTCAATTTTTTTTTCAAATCAGATATCTTACATTTTCTTCTTTTTAAAAAATCTTTTTATTTTCTTCCACTATTCTTACTGTCTGTTCACAGAGTCATTGATTTTTGTTTGATCTACTCTAGTTTTCAGGGAATCTATTAGTTGGCTAACAGGTAAGGTATCCATACCTTGGGTAAGATTTATCACTTTCTCCTTCCACTTCTTTCCTCCAGAGCTTTTATTTCATTTTCTCCTTCTTGATTTCTTCTAGGCATTCATGTAGTCCTTGTGGAAAATTGATTTTTTTTCTTTGAGTCTCTGCAATTATTGCCAAAAAATCCAGGCAGTCCAGCCACTCTTGGTGACTTCCAGGGTCCCCACCCTAGAGCTTTCTCAGGAAGCTGTCCCTCCTTGCTGCCTCTAGACACAGAGCTTTATAGACTATACGTGTTTCTGGCCTACCTCTAGTCTTTGCTTGTAGAGAGAAGCTACTGATTTCTCTGCTAACACTATCATTGTCTTTGCCGGGGGTCCCCTTGCCTATTGAGCTTCTGGCTGACTTTGTGTGCAGGGACAGAAGTCATTTGCTGTAGTGTCTCATTGGATTTCTTGATTATTATATAGGATGGCAGCAATTTCAGGTTTTTGCTAGAGTGGATATGTGGGAGGTGGGCAACCTAGCTGTTCAGGTAGTCATCTTGGCCTGAAGTCTTCTTACAAAATCCTTCTGAAGGAAGGTAGCTATTTGTCAACCTTTAACATAAGCAGAACAAGGTCTGCTGACGTCCCAAGGCATCTATGTGGGATATAGCAAAGCACTTTAAGAGGCTTGTCAACAAAGCATTTGACAAAATCTCCTGTACTATCATTATAGAAGCGATGATGAGGCAGGTACCATATATAGCAAGGAGACAGGATACAGTATGAAGATTTCAGAAATGGTTGCATGACGGACCCAAAGAATATCAATATCAGTTTGGAGGGAGATCTCCATGTAGTACCTCAGGGATTTGTTCTTGGCCCTGTGCTGCTCAGATAGCTTATCAATGATTTTAATGAAGGAATGCTTGCCAAATTTGAAGAAGATACACAACTGGGAAGAATAGTTAATAGAATGGTATAAATTGACAGTCTAGAACAGTGGTACAGTGGAAAGGATGTGGGTTTGGAGTTGGGAGACCTAGGTTCAAATCCTGGCTTTGCAACTAGTACTTTTGTGACCTTGGGAAAATGTGCTGAATCTGTTTGAGTTTCTCTTTTCTCATCTGTAAAATGCGAGAGTCGGACAGGATGACTTTTAAGTTCTCTTGCACCCCCAAATCTATTAACTTATAATGTAGATGAGCTCCAAGATTTCTTCTAGCTCTAAAACTATGAACCTTCGAACAATGGGTTGAACCTAAAACAATAAAGTTTGATAGTGATAGATGTGTATAGTCTATATATTTGGTTTTTACAAGATGGGAGAGGCACAACCAGGTAACTTTATATAACAAACCTCTGGGGGTTTTAGTATACCACAGGCCCCATGTGAAACTATAACATGACCTGGCACTAAAAAGCTAATGCTATCCCAGACAATTTTAAGGGAGGCATAATATTCAGAGTATCAGAAGTGATTCTGTTCTTCCTTATTTAGACCCCATCTGGAGTACTGTGTTCAGTACTAGACACTCGATTTAGGAAGGACATAGTCAAACTGGAGTATGTCACTATGCTTGTTGAATTGTCAAGAATAGAGCCAAGATGATCAGAGGACAAGGGGCCATTTCATATGATGGTCAGCCAAAGGAACTAGGGATGTTTATACTAGAGAGATTTAGACAAAACATAATATCCATCTTCAAGTATTGGTGGGTTTTTTGCTTTTTCCTTGTCACATCTAATATCTTGGGCAAGAGAGGGTAGGAACTTTCCATAAAGTAGACCTGAGACAATTGGATCTACACAAAGTGTAGTGGAGAGCAGCCTCTCATGTGACATGTGAATTTCTCATATGATTAGAATCAATGTGGCAAGAGGAAAAAGGAGCCTTATAATCTGTGCTTATAATCTGCACAAAACCACCTCTGATGTAGAAATGCTTATGGTCACTTGTCTTTGAAAGCAAATATAATAATATGAATTCTATAAGGTGCAGAATTAGAAGAGTCATTCCCTGCTTCAGACTAGGCACAGAAATCATTCACTGGTGGCACTGGTTGCCATCTGTCCTGTTTTTGGTGAAAGGTTAAATGTCTGCACCTCCAGAATCATGGCTCACTAAAATGGACTGGGATTGGCCACAAAGTGAATCCAGATGATCAAGGGAAAATTAGCTTCATAACCACAGCAGAAATGTGAAACAAATGTGGAGTCCCCAATAGACTTTGCAGTCAGCCCTTCTTGCCAAGTAGTCTGGGATCTTATTAAGAATTTAATTATGTGAAAATAAAACTGCTATTTTTCAATTACTGACAGAGAGAGTTTCTATTCTGCCACCCTCCTGACTGTGTCACCAGACAGCTCAACTCAGGGGAAGTATTTCATTTAAAAGACAGTCCCCGCAATGATCTGTTTAATCCTGTCCTTCCACCTTGTTTAGGAGTTGTTTAATAAATAAATGCTTCTCAATGAAATATTAATATCCAGCTCATCTCTTGTGTAATATTCGCTCACAGTCTCCCCATCTCCTGAAATTTTTCTCTGTAGCAAAGACTCCAGCAACAAGGAAGAAACTTCCTTCCTACGGACCTAACAAAAATTGGCCTCTGTTAGTTAAGGGGTGCTGGAACAAAATCTAGTGTCATGAGGCTAATTATATGCAAAGGTCTCTAATTTAACTCATACTGTAGTTAGGTGGGCATCTAGGGAATGGTTTTCTAGGGAAAGTAGTATACTGTCAGCCAACAAAATATGCTTCTTAAAAGTTCCCATCCCTATTCAAATCCTGACCCTTCCACACACACACACACACAGCCCTCAACTCCTCCCACACATGCCCAATGATCTTTAGTGATTCTTTTTTTCACAGGAGTTTCCTGGTTTGGATAAGCTGAGTCCAGCATGTTCTGGCACTAACACGACCCGAGGGACTGTTCTGGTGTCCCATAGTCCAATGAGCCCAGAAACCATCAAGATGGTGCATCGTCACAGGTATGGGATCTGCACTGAGAGAACACCTCCAAGTGCCTGAAGGATTGACTTCTAGAACCCAAAGTGGGGGTGCTCTTCAGAGTCTCTCTGACCCAGGAATGTCCCTGACCTATACAAGATTCCAAACAGCAGCTACCAGGGGTGGCTTGGGCTCCAGAGCAAATGAATATGATCAGCAAACCGGAGTCCACCTCACTGGAATAAAGAGCAGCATCAGGATAAAGTCTCACTGTGGCTGGACTCTCTAGCACTAGCAGGCTCCTCACCACAGTAAAGGGCTCCAAGGTGTTTTTGGAGATTGCTAAATGATGAGGGGCGGCCATTAAAGGAGCTGTATCAGTGGGGCCTAAGCTGGGGATTTTCAAAGGCAGATTGTTGGGTACCTTGTGCCCTCCCATCTTGTGGGGGGCCCAAACATAACTCACCCCCAAAAGACCTAATATGTTCTCATTTTTCAGTTTCTTGACCACAGCAAGAAATTTTCCCTGACTTATAAGAGATGAAAGGCTGCCATCTGCCATATTTGGCAAAGGAGGTGTGGCCCTCCCTGTCTAGTGGCAAATGTGAGCGGTGACCCTGGCTTATAGCCATAGAGCAAGATTATTAGATTTTTTTCAGCAGGTGACCTATTCTTCATCTCCACCAAATGAAGGCACTGTTGGCATAAAGTTTGGGGAACAGGGCGAAGGCTAGTGCTTACTGGATATTGTGATCTTTCTCTGCCAGAAATGCCCCACATACTAAGGTTACATTAGCTGTCAGTCTCCTATTTGACAATCAGTTGCATTTGATTGGAGACCTCTACCATAAAGGTAATTAACTGATAAGGTCATGATTTACATTTCACCCTAAAAATATGTGGCTTAAGGGGCAGCTAGGTGGCTCAGTGGATAAAGCATTAACCCTGGAGTCAGGAGGACTTGACTTCAAATCCGGCCTCAGATATTTGATACTTACTAGCTGTGTGACCCTGAGCAAGTCACTTAACCCTGATTGCCTTGCAAAAAAATAACAGAGTGTACAGCAAACAGAATCAAGGTTGTTTGGGGCAGCTAGGTAGCTTAGTGTATAGAGCATCAGCTCTGGAATCAGAAGGACCTGACTTGAAATCCGGCCTCAGACACTTGATACTTACTAGCTGTGTGACCCTAGGCAAGTCACTTAACCCCAAGTGCCTCATAAAAAAAATTATATTATATATATATATATACACACACATATATACATACACATATATATATATTATATTTATATATATATATATACATGGCTTGAAAATTCCTAGTTTTAAACCTGAAGTCAATGAATTGAAAAGTATATACCATAACTCTTTTCCATTTGCTCCTCTTATTTGTAGCCCAATGAACTTGATGGGATCAGGCCGTCATTCATCATCCTCTCTCTCCTCTCATGCATCCAGTGAAACGGGGAACATGGTGATCCTGCCTGATGGCTCGATGGGAGAGGTTCCTGAGGACATGTACCATCACATGCAGGTAGCACAGCAGTGAAGCCACAAGAAATTTAGATTGTACAGGACACGCTGTATTCAGACACACTTGAGAGCCTTCATTCTGTTCTGCATCCCTCTGTGTTCAGTAATGATTCCATAGAAAAAGCATCCATTCTTCAGCTCTCCAATCCCCAAATTACTGACCAAAGAGAAAGTATACAGGCTTCCTTTCCCACAATAACCATACGTCCATTTCCCCAGTCCTTATTCCCTAAGAAGCATGCTGGCTCTGACTTCTGGCCAGCTTTAATTCTCGTTGCAGTCACACTTACCTGACAACAAATGTTCTCTGCCAGATCTTCTTCCATGATGGCATCCTTACAGGCTTCGTTGCTTTTGCATGTACCATGAGCATCATAGATAGAAAAAGGACTCTCATTGGCCCTGGAGTCAGGAGGACCTGAGTTCAAATCCAGTCTCAGACCAGACACTTGATACTTAATAGTTGTGTGATCCTGAGCAAGTCACTTAACCCCAATTGCCTCATATAAAAAAAAAAAAGAAAAAGGGTTCTCCTGAATGGGCTGAGTGATTTCCCCTCTTATTTGTGGGTATGTACTGTACAGGTTGGACTTCTTTTATGTAGTTATACTCTTCTTCCATACTGGCCCAGCTATGGTAGAGAGAGCCTGGAGGTCTCCCTCCAGGACGGAGGAGGATGAATACAGTATTAAGTAGAATATTATAATCTAGTGGAAAGTTCCATTCTCAGTTTTCTTTCTTGTGGCTTTCCCTCTCTCTCCTACAGCTCACTTATCCCAACACCAGGTACCAGGGCTCAATCACCAATGTCTCTGTTTTATCCTCATCCCAAGCCAGCCCTTCTTCCTCCAGCTTGAGCTCTACCCACTCAGCCCCATCCCAGATGATGAATTCTGCCCCACCCAGTGCCCGAGGTAAGTGAATGAGGAGAGGAACCAGGGAAGCATCATTCTTTAAACCTCCTGATTCCTATGGCTGTGCTGTTAGGATAAGCCTGGGATTTTAATTCTACTCATTTTTACTTTCAGAGATGAATGTGTTTTTAAGCAGTAAAAGTTTTTGGGATCCTATCTCAAACCCAATGGAGCATAAAAGGAAAGCTCTCTTCCAGATAGGAACATGCCATGTCCAACTCTGAGATTCTGTGGTTTTGTATGATTTGCTGGCTTCAGACCCTGCTCTGAACTTCTGTGATTGACATGGAGCCACATAAGCTAGCCAGACATTTGCATCAGAGACAGCATAAGAGAAGAGATTCCAGCACTCCTATAACCTAGTCTAATGACAAACTCAAATGTCTGCCTATTTAAATGGTGTCATGGAAATAGCACCAGACTTAAATTCAGGAGACAAATTCAAAATGCCAGCTCTGCCGCTTTTTAGCTGTGTGACCTTGAATAAATCACCTCACATCTCTGGACCTTGGTTTCCTCATCTGTAAAATAAGGGTAAAGAGATTAAACAATCCCTAGTGGCTCTCCCAGCTTTAATATTCTATGTTTATGAGAAAGATCAGAATTAAAACCAAGTGAGATATTTGTCTTGAAAGGATGAAGTTTTGGAAGCAAAATTAAGGCTAAAATCAAATATAGAAAATGTTACCCAGTGCTAAGGACTTTCTTGAAATCAGAATACCTTATCTCTGAGGGACAACTAGATAAAGAACCGTTTATTTGGCTAAATACAACTCAATTTTTCATTTAATTGAATAAATATTCTGTCTGAGGATCAGCTCTCCTTCACATTCTGATGCTAGATCCCATAGGTAAATTTAATTCCCTGACCTTTTTATGGAAACATCTGCAAAGAAATGGAAATTAGTCAGAGTAAGCAAGATATATCCCTGAGGGGGTCAGCAGACCAGGTGATAGAAATGAACAGTGAGCAACGTGATTTAACCTACAGATTAAGGAAAACTGCTTCCCAACTAAAGAGAGAATTATTCTTCTCCATTCAAAATTATTATGAAAAATAGCAGCAGTAGTAGTTAACAGTAAACAGTAGCTGTGGTAAATTTTGACACCAGTATACCTGACTTTAAGAATTCCATTTAAATTCAACAAATACTTATTAAGCACTGAGTGTGTGAAAAGCATAGTTCTAAGACCTGGAAATGAAAGACAAAACAGTCCCTATCCACAAAAAGCTTACATTCTACTGGAGAGATACAATGTATACAACATATATGTAAGTAAAGATATACAAAGTAATTTCAAGGGGAAGAAATTGTTAATAACTGGGATGTTCAGGAAAGACCTTGTGTAAGACGATGGTATCTGAGCTATGCTTTGAAGGAAGCTAGAGGGTCTGTTAGGTGATAGGTGTTAGAAGATAATACATCCTACACATAGGAAATCATTCACGCAAAAGCATAGAGATGAGAAATCAAATGTTGTGAATGTCAATGTTGTATATGACAAGCAGCCATAGAAGACTAGTTTGACTGGAACAGAGCACATGAAGTGGAGTAATATGAAATATGACTGGAACGGGAATTGGGAATTAGATTATAATTAGATTATAAGGGGCTCAAAACAGAAGGCTGAGGAATTTTTATTTTGCCCTAAAAGAAATAGGAATCCATTGAAGACTGGCTTTTTTTTTAATGGTCATATCTGTTTTGGGAATATCAGTTTTCCCGTTGTTAGTCAACTAGCATTTATTAAGTGCCTACTATTTGCCAGGCATCTGTGGAAGATATATTGGAGAGAGGAGAGAATGGAATCAGAGAAACCTATTGCAACATCCTAGGTAAGAAATGATGAGGGGTTGAAGTAGAGTCAAAGGCTAAGATGTGAGTAGAAGTAAAGGGGCAGATGAGAAAGTGGTTATGGAGACAGGATTGATAAGACCTAGCAACTGATTGGGTATAAAGAATAACAGAAATGTGAGAGTCAAGACATTTGGAAGAATGATGGATTTGGGAGAGAATGAGCTCCATTGAGGCATATGGAGTTTGACATACCTACAGAATGTATAGGTCAAACTGTCCAGAAGGTAGTTGATACTATCAAGTCTGAGTTCAGGAGCAATCAGGGCTAAATATTTAAATGTGAGAATTACATGCATAGAGATTGTTGAAGCCATGGGAGCTGATAAAATCACCAAGGAAAAGAGTATAGAGAGAGAAGAAGACACAGGCTAGATCCTTGTGGGATGTCCAAAAGAGAGTGATAATTAGCAAAGGAGACTGTGAAGGATGATTCAGACAGCTAGGAGGAAAACCAAGAGGTCCTAGAGACATGTAGCCAAGGGAAGAAAGAGTCTATAGAAGAATGGGGTTATCAACAACGTCCAAAGGTTCAAAGAGGTTGAATATATAGAAAAGGCGGTTCAATTTATCAGGTAAGAGATCATTGGTAACCTTGGAAGAGTAGTTTCTGTCAGGTGGTAAAGTCAGAAACTAGATTCCAAGGGATGAAGAAATGAGCATGAGTTGATAAAATGGAGGCATGGGTTGTAGACAATCCTTTCTACGAGTTTGACTGTGAAAGGGAGGAGAGATAAAGGATGAGTTAGCTGTTGGAGTATCAAAAGGGCAGGACAAGATCACAAGCAGCCATCCAGCTTGGCTGAAACATTGAGGTCCCAGAGTAGATTATCAGTGAAATTGTGTTGTTAAGATAGGTTTGAGCCACGCTGTGAAGTGCCTTAGCTGTCAGGCTAAGGAGTTAAAGGCATTCAAATATTGGACGTCATGTCGATTTCTCTGGCAGCTCTAATAAAGATGTTTAGGAAAGGTGGAAAACTGTAGGGAGAACAACTAGTTAGGAAGCTTTTGTTATTGTACAGGTGATAGGACGATGAGGAGCTGAAGAGGAGCGGTACTAATAGACATGGAGAGGAAGGGACAGACGGCCAAGATACTGTAGAGATAGGATAGAGAAGACTTCACAGTTGTTAGATGTGGGAGGTGAAAGATCACAAAGAATCAAATAAGATTTCGAGGTTTCCAGTCAATCAGCAAGCATACTGATACAAAAGAAGCCATGGTCTAGCAAGGGAATAAAATATATACATACATAGGTAGATCAAGATAATTTTGAGGAGAAAACTGGAAGATCAGGAAGGGCTTCATGTAGGAGGCTGCATTTGGACTGAGCCTTGGTGGAAGATAGGTAGATATCCCACAAAGCACAGGTGAGGAGGAAGTTCATTCTAGAGATGGGGGACAGCCAGTGTAACTATACAGAGATGGGAAATGGAATGTTGTATGAAGAACAGAAAGAATGTCATTTTGGCTGAACAACAGTGTACATGTCAGGGATGTGAAAGACTAAGAGGTTGGATGGGGCCAAGTTGTGAAAGTGCCACAGGGAGATTGTATTTGATCGTACAGGTAATAGGGAGCCACTGGATCTTACTGAGTAGGGAAGTCAGGTGAACAGACATGCACCAGGAAAAATCACTTTGGTAGTCATCTGTAAGAGGGATTGAAGTTCTGAGAAATTTCAGGCAAAGAGACCAATTATGAGGCTATTTTGATAGTCTGGGTGAGAGGTGATGAGGGCTTGAACTTGGATAATGGCCATATGAGAAGAAAGAAGGGGAAAGTTGCAAAAAGTATTAGGGATGTAGAAACAAGATCTGGCCACTGACTGGATGCATGGGTTACACTAGGACTGAAGGATGACAGTGTAGTTGTGATTCTCAGGGACTAGATGGATGGGAGTGCCAAGGCTGGAATAGGGAAGTTTGGAAGAGGGGTGAGTTTAGAGGGAAAGGATAATGTGTTCTGTTTTAGACACGATGAACTGGAACTGCCTATGGGACATTTGGCTTGAATTGTCTAATAAAGAGGCAGTTGATGATGTGAGAATTAAGTTCAGGAAAGAAACTGGAGCTAAAGAGATAGATCTGAGGGTCATCGTTGAGATTATAATAAAGCCCGTGGTATCTGATGAGGGTGCCAAGAGAGAATATAGAGAAAAAAGAGAAGAGAGCCCAAGACAGTTAAGGGGCAGGATATGGGATCAAGGCAAAGAGGAGAGCCACCTCTTCACTGGAGACCAGGGTGAAAGAGAAGAGAATGGAGGATAGAATCAACAGAGTGTGAGATGGAGCTCCTGGAAAACGGCCTCTATTTTTTCAATGCAGTACAAAGTGAAGTCCTTAGTTGTGAGGGTAGGGGAAGGGTCACATAATAGGAAGCTTTAGAAGAAAAAGAGAAGGTTAAAACAGCCACTGTGAGGACTCCAGCCTGAGTAAATGGAAGAGTACTGAGGTATCAGCTGTTGCCTCAAGCTAAGAATTAAATTAAATGTCTTCCAGTGTCCCTTTTCGTTCTGAGATTCTCTGATTCTTAAATGGAGAAGTTAGGAGGGGCAGGTTTTAGAGGAAAGATGATGAGGCTGCTATGGAACATAGGAAGAAACTCAAATCCATCTCACAGCCTTCACTGCACTCACAGAACTGCTTCTCTTCCCTCATTCTAGGCCTGGTGCCAGAAACAAGGAAGGCAGGAGTGCCATGGCTGTCATTGACAGGGTTGGGGGATAAAGCTCTATAAATGAGAGGTCCAGACTGAGGAAGAGGGAGGATGAAACAGAAATAATCCATCATCATGTTAGGAAGTCACAGATGATAAAATACCAGGGAGAACCTGAGAAATTCATGGAAATACAGATTTCTTTTTTTAAATTTAAAGAAGGCTACTTAGTCACAGCAGACCCAATTCCATAGCTTTAGCATGATGTATTGGAAAGAATTCTGGCCTCAGAATCAAAGAACCTGGGCTCCGATTTGAGCTCTGGGTCACATACCACCTGTGTGACTGTGGGAAAGTTGTTTCATTTCTCTGGGTCTCAGTTTCCTCTTCTGTAAAGTGAGAGATTGAGCTTGGTGGCTTCTAGGATCCTTTTCATTCCTGAATCTGTTGTCTTATAATCTCAATAAATGTTTGTTGAATTTAATTTAATCCTATGATCCATAACTCTGTGGAAACTGTAGACACAGAGAAGGGAGCATGTTGAGTATTAAGAAGAAATATGGTGAAACAAAAAGTGAATTTTCAATTGAAAAAGAAGAAAAACTTGATAAATCATCTGCTGGGCAAAAAGTTGAGTTCAGCACTTGCAGCATATTAAACTATCCTAGACAGAGCTCAAATAACAGATTTTCATCAACAGTTCTGCAGATCCCTAAGAAGAGGATGATCTATCTACCCAAAGTGTGCTTAGCCTTTCCAAATCTAACTGCAGTTCTACAGTGTGAAGGAAATGCATTGGACTCTATCAGAAAGGTCTATAATAAAAAGAAGACAGGCAAAGGAAAGACATCCTTAAACTAAATTCAATTCTGCTTTGTGTTGAGTGCATACTGTTTGGGGGACTGAGGAAATATGGAAATGGATAAAGCATAGGCTATACCCTTACAAAGCTCACAGTCTAGTTGTTTTTATTGCGATTTTTTTTAACAATAATCAAAACTGAGGAACTCGTATCTCCTTAATTTGGAAGTACTCACTGTTATTCCCACCTAAGTGGCTTTTGTGATTGTCAGATTATAAAAGTAAATTGGAGTAGTACCCAGATAATAATAACTCCTAGTTCTAGAGAGCTTTAAGGCTTACTTTCCTCATAATAGACCGTTAAGGTAGGCAGTACATGCTCTTATCTCCATTTCACAGACAAAAACCTGGGGTTCAGAGAGATGATTTAATCATTTATTAAGCACCTGCTATGTTCCAGGAACAGTGCTAGATATTGAAGATACAAAGACAAAACCCAAGCAGTCTCTGCCCGCAAGAATCTTACCTTCTATATGGGGAGAGAAGGCATATACACATATGAGCACATACAAAATAAAGATGAAGTGGTAGACCTGGGAAGGAGGAGATACAGCAGCTGGCAGGATCAGGAAGAGCGCTTATATAGAAGGTGGTGTTAGAACTGAGCTGTGAAGGACACAAGAGGGAGTGAATGCCTTCCCTCTGGGAGGGGAGCTGCAATCTGCAACAGCTCTCACTTAGCCAAGGTCCCACATCTGGTAAGCTTATTAGCCAGAATTTTCCCCTGGGTTCCAATCCATTGGTCTTTTGACTATCCCATACTGCCATCCCCTGAGTCTAAAGGACAGAAGATCCCTAGACTGGTTTTATTTGGTAGCACTGGTGCCATGCAAAGTCTCGGGAACAAGGCTGAGTCCTTCAGACCATCATTGGATACCACTTGGCACCGCTGCCCATTTTTCTCATGTGTCAGAGACTGAGCTGCTTGGTTAAGTGGGGACTATCACCAGTAGCACCAAGTTCTTTTTGCTCAAAGTTATTCAAACGGTCTTACAGAGTTCATAGTTATCGGTTAGGATGAGCTTCTAGGAAACATTAACAGTTTTTGTGAAGCATGGGCTCTCTGGAGGATGGGCACTGGACAAAGCGGGTCAAAGGCTAAAGTCATTTTCAAAGCTAAGCACCTGCAAAGAGAGAGCATAGGCGCAAGGGTCTCTGAAGATGAGTGACTGATAACGGAGAGAAATGAGCAAGAGCTAGTCTCTTTGAATGACACAAAAAGAGGCTTGGAACAAAAGAAATCTGATCAAAAGTCTTTGTGGTCAAGAGTGAAGTAGCAAAGGAATTATTGGTTTTAACAAGGTAAAAATGAGAAGAATCCTTAAATTGGGGAGTCACATGCAAACCCCCTGGGATGTCAAGTATCTTCAGTAAACACCTCTCCTTAATACATAGTACACACAGGGAGGACATGGGATATCTAACCATTCCCTTTTTGTGGTCATCTGTGCCCAGAATCACTGACTAATCCCACCAAGGTGGTTTCTTATTGCTTTAGAAACCAAAAGAATGAGAAGCTTTTTGAGCAAAACTTAAGTCAATAGCTCCCTCTGGTGGATAAACCTTATGAAGACCAATTCCCAAGCTCAAAATAGATTTTAGTTTACCTTTCCTTGATTTTTATCTAGGTGAAAAGTCCAGCTAAACAAAATCTTTATTAGTGCAAATAATCAAATGAACTGCAATTCTGGTTTTAATTAAGCCTCTATTTGGCATAAGACTGTTTCTGGAAACTGACTATTACCTTCCTTCTGTAAACCATTTATTAGAAGAAACTTCTGATCAGCATGACCTTGGAAGAGCGGAAATGAAAGGAAAAACAGAAGGTGCTCAGGGGTCTCAAGGAGCAAATGCATTATTGATGAAAGTACTGAGTTGGGAACACTAACAGAGCCCACAGAGTAACTGTGCCTGGCACACACTAAGCCCTTAGTAAGCACTTTATCCATCTCTTTAACCTAACTCAGGCAGAGCACAAGTCTCTGGATTTAGCCCTTATATTATCTGTCCAGTTGGCTACTCATCTTCCTTGATCAGAATGTGAAGGCTTCTGTTCACTCGTCACAAAATTCCTTAGCTGTAATAACATTCATATTGACCATGAGCCTGATTTCATTTCAAGACTTGACCCCAAATTTTCTTTTCCTTCCATATCCCGATTTGCCTACCTATGAAATGAGCAGGGGACCATAGATCTCCAGAAGTAATACTTTGCAAGCACCGTAAGTTTTTCTGGTCAAGAAGACGCTATAGGAATTCTGTGAGCATTCTAATGTTTCCAGGATTTCTCTGTTCTCAGGAAACAAGTTCTAAATGAAAATAATGGAATAAAGATGAAATAGCATCAATTTTATCCAAATTTTTGAAAATCAGTCTTTAAATATCACCCTATAAGAAAAGGCCAATAGGAAAAAAAAGAGCAAAAACAGGTACTGAAGTTCAGACACACTGGGAATTAATTATACAAATAATATTCTCATTAATATCATCTCTTGTTCTACTTTCTTTTTTAAAAGCTACTGTTCAAAAGATTGAACTTTCATGAACAAAAAAAAATGAACATGAGAAATTTCTCAAGGATGATTAGAAAAAATTGACTAGGAAAGATCTATCATAAGCTAAATCCAGTTAACAAACTGTATTATCAACCAAAGGAGAGCTGGACAGTGAGTTTCAGAGACAGAGTGCCCCCTCAGAAAATGCTTTGCCCACAGCAACCCCGGATTCCAGCTAGCAGCTAGATAAAGAACACAAACTATTCTGTTTTGGCCTTAGGGTGCCAAGGGAAAGAAGCAACTCCTCATCTATCTTCATAGGGTAGGGCTGGCTGAGTAAAATCAGGTTTACTCACAGAGAACAGCCAAGCTCAGGTGGAATGGCTTCATTCAGCCAATTCTTATCTCCAGGGAAGCTGGTCCATTCAGTCCCAAGCGACACTTACGGGTGGTTTCTAAGGAGAACCCCAGGTAGCAGGCACCACAATAATTGCTGTGTGTGCCTCCAGTACTATAGTATATGCAGGGCATTTGAGAGGCCATTCATAGCAGGCTGATCTCAGGAAATCTAATCAGTTGTTTGTAACAGGATTTTTTTTTTTACTCTCTCCCTGGGGAGAATGATTCTCAGGTAGTGCACCTGTGTTTGCTCAAGAAACATGAATCAGTGAGAGCTGTGCCTTACAGAGCCCAGCATTTCCAGTCCTCCCTCACTGTTGTCACTTATGTTGAAGGCCAGTGGCTCCAGGGAATCAGTGCCGTGGCTGAGGAGCTTAACAAGAAGAGCAGAAAAAGTGTTTCCTTCAGAGTTCATGGTCACGAGCCAAGTACACTGTAAAGCACATTTTCAAAGCCCAGAGCTCTCAGATTGGTATCATGATTTCATTGACTTGGAGGCGCTGATGCAATAAATCAAATTTATAAACGTGCCAGACCCTGCACTAGATACTGCTAATGGGCATTACGCTAGAACAGACCTCTCGACATCTTTGCCTGGGGATCCCAGAACACCCAAGTTGTTGAAGCAGGTAGCAACTAGGCACGCTTGGCTGGGGTCAGAACACAGAAGGGTTGGGGTATTAATGGAAGACAGGTTCAAGGTTCTCTGAACTAGGTAAGTATGTGGGAAACATTGTTTTTAAAGGTTAAAAGAACATGTGAGTATGTGGTCTAAGTGTCTTTCCATCTCTTTATGTGATTTTCTTGTCCTATATTGTCTCTGTGAACCCACTCTAACTGTGTCCTTCTCCTGAGCCCCCTGACACGACCCATAAGCAGTAGCAGAACCCCAAGTCTTGGCCAGCAGAGACCTTGATCCTGTGCTTCGTGTTTCTCCTTCTGGTGATGGAGAACTGTTTGGACTTGATCCAAAAGGCCAGTGTTGGGACCCTCATCCCCAGACCTCCATTGTGTGTCTGCCCCAGCTGTGGACAGCTGGGCTCACCACACTAGGGCTCTGTTTTCCACCCATACCCACCTGGTACCTGGACTCACTTTCATTCCTCCTGCTGTTTTCCTAAGAAGAGCATCCTCCCCTGAGGCCCACGAGACTTGTCAAGGCCCCTGGAATGCTTGGCTTCCTGGCACCGTCCCGTGTTGGTTTGTCATCTGTGCGTGATTGTTCTCGCTTGGTTACAGGCTCTCCCTCTCTGCCAGATAAGTACCGACACTCTCGGGAGCTGATGATGCTGCTGCCCGCTCACCGGGACCGCCCAAGCAGTGCCATGTATCCAGCAGCAGTCATGGACCATGGACAGGTAGTGGAGTTACTCGCCTTTCCTCCTGCACTTTGGGGGCATGTGCATGGCTATATGTATGGGGCAGGCAGAGGGGTCCCAGGGGTGCCATCATCTTGCATCATCTTCACTCTTACCTGAATAGCAGCCCATCTATGCCAGTCTCTCTTTCCTGTCTTGGTAGAACTATTTGATGTTCTTCTCTAGTCCCCCTGCATGACGCATTTGAGGAAAAGTCCTCAGAAGTTAAGTATTAAAGCAGCGAGGTAGCACAGTGTATAGAGCACTGGACATGAAGTCAGAAAGACCTGAGTTCAAATCCTGCCTTGACACTTACTCTGTGAGTCTGGCGAGTCTCATAGCCTCCATTTGCATCAGTTTCCTCATCTGTAAAATGAGGATAATAATAGCCCCTGTCTCCCAGGGTTGTTGTAAGGATCAAATGAGATAATATTTGTAAAGCATTTTGCAACCCTTAAAACACTATATAAATGCTAGCTTTTACTTAACCATGAGAGCACCAAAGTTCTAGGCAGTTTCTGCTCCTACATAGGTATTTGCGTACGGGGGGGGGGGCATCTTTGCCTTTGCATTTGTCCACCTGTCTAGCTGGCCTGTTGGACTCTCCTTGTTCCTGAACAGTCAAGCTGATTACTCTGGGTGTGTTCCCTGTGGCATGAGAAGGCCCTGGCAGAAGTGTGGCCATTGGGCCTGGAGACGTGTTTCTCCCTGCAGATGTGTGTGGGGGTCACTCTCCCTGGAGCAGCATGCTTCATCTTGCCTCTTTCTCTGGGTCCCTAACACTCTTCCCTCCCTGGCTGTCACTTCAGCCACCTTCCAGTCTCCAAACTGTCCTGCCAGGGGAACCTGAACAAAGAGATATTATCAGTCAGTCCTTGCTCCGACCCCTTGCCACTCTTCTTCACTCTCCAGGACACCTTGGGCACAGAGCATGGGCTGCCTGGTAAAAGAGAACCTGTTTGCAAGTACAATTTCCTTCTCCCCTTCCCATGGCTGGCCCATTACTGCTGAGGTAGTCTGATAATAGAACTGTCATTTTGCCAGTCAAAGCAAGATGCCCCATGACCACATAAGCAAGTTTCCTTCCCTGTCCCCATCCAGCCCTACTCCTAACAAGCTGACAGATGGAACCAAGGTAGGTTTAACTTTTATTCTGATTGAGAACAGAGGAAATTCAGTTATTCGTTCCATGGCAGGAATTGGAGATGCAGGTAAATCAAAGCTTACGGGGCTTAAAGTTCTGTAGTCAGATGCCCTAGGATCAATATCCTCAGCCTCTGTGGCCACAGCCTCACCCGTTTCCCAGGTAGCTTGGGAACAGCTGGGCAGTGGAGGAGTGGTGGCCAAAGGTCATTCATTTTTTGATAATTTCGAGTTGACATAGATAAGAGTGTTTCTGGGGTGTTTTGAGATCATCACCAGAACTCAGACTGGAATTGTGTGAATACTTTGACTTCAGCCCGTCTGATATACAGAATAGCCAGGTTCCTGGAGCCCAAGGCACTACCCAGAATCTTGGCTATTGGTTTTCACCTCTCTGTGGTTTTTCCTCTTCTCTTAGCCTCCAAATTTCCAGCGTGCTTTGTTCCAGCAAATGATCGGACCCTGTAAGCCCTGCAGTGACCCTAATCTATCTGTTGCTGAAAAAGGTATTCTTTCTCCTCTGTGTTCTCTTTCTTCTAAGTGTGCCCCCGTCCTAGAATGGTTGGATTCTCCATCATCTAAAATACTGACAGACCAGGTGCTGCTCATTGGATGGTTAGAGCCAAGCTCAGTGTGGGTGTGGGTATGTCTGAGTGTGTGCAGGCCTCACCATCACCTGGAACCATTATTTACCTGTGCAGCCTTTGAGTTTGTCTGAGTCCTTCCCATTTCTCCAGCCTAGCCTTCAGGGAGACTCCAGCTGCTTCCCTGCCCCATTGTGAGTGTCCAGCTCTCAGAGTGACCCCAACCACTTCTTGCTCCCCATTTCTAGTGTCTAGCCTTCATAAATTAAAAAAAAATCCAGCTGCTGTATGAAAATTAATGATATACTGCTTCCCAGGTACTCATCCCAGCTCATGACTTTGGACACTGGCAAATCAAGAAAACTTTGTAGAGTTAATGATAGTCCCCAGTTAGCCAAACAGCTCACCGTCCTTGATGTATGGGATTAAAAAAAAAAAAGGAGCTATGAGCCACCCCTCTATCCCACAAAAGGCAGGAGCAGGGAATATGTTAATTTTCTAAAGAAATGTCTCCTACTTGTAGCCACTGGGTATATGAAAGATCCTGCGTTTTAGGCCTTACTGACCCATAGTCAACTTCCCTAGGCACCAGCTTCCTCTAATAGGACCTAGTCTAACAGACCGTCTCATAGGCCTTCGGACCGTGGTCTTTTACTGCTTTCTAAAAATCCTGTATTCCTGAACTCCAGTTTGAGACATTTGAGCCTTCCTGGCCCCTGGGCCTGCTTGGCTCCTTGAATTCAGAAATCTCTCAACTGCCACCGTATCTTAGTACCTGTTTCTAGCACCTGCCTCCCTCCTTCCCTTCTACCCACCTCCATACACCCCAGTGAGTTTTCTCAGAATACTCTGTGAAAGGAATCCCAAATACATGGAATCAGAAGCTATATGCCAGGGTAAGGGCACTAGCAGAGAGCTACCTAGTCCTGTGCTAGGTTACCCTAAAATTTTCTAAACTCCTCTATCAAGTTCTAGTTCCCCAGGCCTAGCCTAACTTATAATGATTCTCTCTGTAGCCCAATCTATTCAGCTTTGCCATGGTGCCAAATGAAGATGTGGTTTTTGCTTTTCTACCTCTCCAGTTAAGGCCTCTTCCCCCATTCTACAGCCCATTTCAGTCTTCAAAATTCAATCAAGATGCCTCCTAATTGAATGGCAGGCTTTTGGTGCACCATCATATTTCTATGTAGTTGCTGAGTTCGGTAGATTATCTCCATTCTAATCAAGGGGTATCCCTATCACCCCCAAAATCAGAATAATTTAACCCAGCATACAATCTTTCCCTCCTTCCTGAAGTGTACAGTAGACACCCTCCTTTGCAAGGCTCATAGCTCTCCCTGAAATCTACCTTGCAGGTAGTCCTGAGGGGCAAGGGTACATACAGCAGAGAAAAAGGGCAGGATCTGTGTACCATGCAACAGACTCAATGTGGAACACAGCAGCTGAGTGACTGATCCCACAGAATCATTTTCACATCCTACAAGTTCTTTTAGAGGATAATATGATTCAGGCTTAGCCCATCTGAGTTTGACCCAGAAGAGGTCCTATCAAGGGAGGAAGCATTCTTGTGCTTTTCAACGTTTTCTTGCTAGTAAGGGTCCTGTACAGACTTGAGTGGCAGAGTCAAGATCCAGCTCTATCCAAGGAACTTCTGAAAGCTGAAGAGCAGAGGTAGTTTCCCTCCAGGCAGTCCTAGATTGATCTGGGAGCCCCAAGGTTGGCCCTCACAGGATCTACCACCACCAAGACTGTCCCCTAAATATCCCAAGAGCAAACAAAGTCAGAATGACCTCCAGGACTGGATGCCAGTGTCTGGGGCATTCATCATGGTTGTGGACATATGCCATGTCAGGTCACGATGTCAAAGTGCCTTCTCAATGAGTTTGCCCGCAGTATTCTTGTTTTGCTGGGGAGCAATTGCAGGAATTCATATTAGCTGTCCAGTTTGTTTCTGCTACGTTTCTATTAGAAAATCAATGACCAGGCTAGTTTTCAGTTGCCCATTATGTGTGGTAAATTATGTTTGGAAGTAACTGTCTCTGATATACTCCAGTGCCTTCTTCCATGGGTGGCCCCGTACTAAGGGTGTCCTATCTTTGGGGGAAGACATGTAAGTGGCTCATTTTCTCAGCATAGCACTTCAGTGGGCCTTGAGTACAAGTTATTTTCCTCAGCATATGAAGCCCTGACATACTCTCCTCCATTTCCTCCTTCCTGTCAGTGTCGGGACTCCCCTGAAATCCCTCTTCCCTGTGCCATCAGTCCTTGTCCCTCCGAAGCTGTCCTCACATTTTCATCTCCACACCTCCACAAGTGTCGTGTGTTCACCATCATTGTTGTTGTTCCCTTCAGTAAATTAAAGAAGAGATGTCCTGATGGCTGTAAAATAATTCATGAATGCCTCCATCCATGACCATCAGTGCATCTGTAGTTACTGAACTCTGGAGCTCAGCAATAAAGGGCATAGAAAGGACATTTCTCTGAAAAACCTTCATAACTCTGGGTTGGTCACCCTAAAAAGTCACCTTCCTTCCTGACTGTCATAAATCCAACATGAAGGTACCTAAGAAGACTCTATCTTTGAACCAAGACTAAGCCTGCCTCACATCTTTCTCCAACTTGGAACAACTGGATAAAGGGAAATCAAAATATTTCTCCATTGTCTTCATATTTAACCTAAATGGGTCAAACTGCTACCTCAGAGAGGGGAAAAGCTGAAAAGCTCCAAACTTTCCATGACCTGGAGTTGCCTGCTTTTAAAGGAGGATAAATCTACATACAAGGCATGCTGCTTCAACAATCAAGATGGACCAGGATTTCAGGCAGTGTGCAAGAAAGATGTCTCACCTGCCAAGCCTAACTGGCAACCCTGGAAGAAAAGGATGGCCCAATTACTGAGACTCAGCTAATGGCACATGATTCCATGGAAAGAGGGTTATAATCGAGGTGGGAAAAGCTGATGTTTGCTCAGAAAGAAAACTTCAAATGTAGCTTTTATTCACTCTTACCACCCTGAAATCATGGGTGTTATGGCCATAAACAACAGTACCTCCCTAATGTAATCCATGGCCCAAAGCAGCCCTGTATTCACAGTTTATATTCTGAACCCAAGTTCATACCTTGGAAGATTTTCAATAATCATGTTCATTGACTCGTGCCCCCACCCAGAGCTTTCCCTGGGGATATCTGGATTTGGATCATTTTTAGCTCTCACCAGGGACGTTCCTCCTCTAAGCAGCTGGGGCTACCAAGGCACTGGAGTTTAAAGAAACTTTTTTACAGAGTCAATAAGAAATCAAAGAAGGAATAGTTATAGGTCATCTTCACACACATCTTCCAAGATTGCCAGCTCCCTGTCCTACAGACTCATGGTGAGAATAAGGCATGTCCCAGTAGACCATGTACAGGTGTTGCAGGCCAATTCAGGCCCACAGTGCCTGCCCCAGGACCTTGCTTTGCTTGTTTAACCACTTCAGGCTCACCTCTTTTCAGTTGCTCCTGCAGCTTTTAACACTGGTACATGTTCTTCTCTTCGCTATCAGCACCACTCCCTTTTTCAGAAGATTTCTACAATATCTGCTTCTCCCAAGCACGCCTCATGGGGAGCCCAGCTGCCATTGCCTATGACCTACTCCTGCAGGCTTATGGTTTTTCCTTATCACTGCCCTCTCGCCAGAAGTTATTACTTCTCTTTCTCATGGTTCTTCATCCTAGCAATGCCTATTTGGTGCTTGTCTCTAGGCATGCAACCTGAGTCCAGAGTATTATAGGAAGATGTGCTTTCCTGTCTCCCTTCCCTGCTCCTCTGGTAAGGCCATGGGAAAGGGGAAAAGAGGAAGAAAGCCTCAGTCACCTCCAACTGGCTCTCACATATGCATGCTACACTATTAATCCTCCACAGCAAACCTGGAAGGCAGAGAAACCTCAGCAAATGGGTCCCCATTGTAGCACAACTCCCACATAAATGGAAATGCCAGAGTTGTTCCATCCCTACTTCTCTCAGCAAAACTTGTTCCATCATAGAATCTCTTTATGATCCTGGTTCTAGAGCATATGTACCAAGTGTCAAAGACCCATCAGGCTGCTTTTAAAAGGCTTCAACCAGAAAAGCAATGCAGAAAGGTACCTGGTTCCATATGAAGTGACTCCAAAGATTGCCTTCTACCATCTTATGCTCAAAATTAGCCAAGTTCTGATTAGAAGCTTCTTTGTTCCAAGTTCATGTTATTATTCTTGTGCTGTTCTTTGCTGAACATGTAAAGTAAGACAAGTGCTTCTGGAATCTTGAGTCATAAAATCAACATTAAAACATGACTTTTACCTGTAGTTGATCAAAGACCTTAGAATATCTTTCCACACTCACAAGCAATTGACTTAAAAAAAAAAAAGTCAAACCTGCTTTCTTTCCTTCCCAGACACCTCTTGTAAGACTGGGAGCTTCCCACCTTGGTCTTTCCTCCTCTGCCTTGATACCTCTTTGATGACATGCTACACACTGAGGAAATGATGAGGATGGACTAAGTGTGGATGAGGAAGGAGAGGAATCAGATTCCTCATTGTTCTCTCTAAATAAAACTCATACCTAAGCCATGGTAGCTTCCTAAGCCAGCTTTTAATTAGTTCTCATCCAAAAACTTATGTGTTATGGTATTCCCTGTAGGAAGCCACTTCCCATTTCACCTGAGGCTCTATTCCATCATACTAGAGAATTCACTGCTCTGAAAGGAATCAAAATGGCAAACCCCTTAGGCTCATTTGAGATTATTTGTCTATATATTAATAGTTTCCAGGATCCTTCTTGCTGCTGATTATTTCCATGATCCACAGAAATATGTTGGACCTCTTTGTGGGTTTGTCTTTTACTGGCATCCTTGGAGAAGTCTAGCCCCCAACAATGAGACTCAGTTTCTCTACCACCACTGGTGGAAAGACAGATTATTTCTCAGTAATATCCATTCCCCAGTATCATATTAGTTGAGTATGATAGTACTTGCCACCCTGTTCCCCACAAAGCAGACTTCTCAAGCTCCTGGGTTTGAGGTTTCACTTACTTCCATACTTGTTAGGTATAGATGAGAATAACAGAGGGAACCATTATCTTTACTATAAAAGCAATAGTGCCCCCAATGGCACCTTGAGTTGGTACCCAGACTCCATGGAGTGGCATTATTAGCCAAAATGCAGTCCCTAGAGCCTCTGACGCAGGTAAGTCTTCATACAGCTACATTACCTGAGGCACAAAGTAGACATCTATCCAGAATTCAAAGCACCAACGTATACTCCATATGGGAAACTCCACAAGGACTCTTCTCCAGACCCTCGCACTAGCATCTTTGGTGTTCAGTTAACCATTTTCTTAACTGGAATTGTATATTTGGCATTATTATCAACAGTTTGCCTGCCCCAGGCTGGACAGAGTAGTGGTTTTTGACAACATTAGACCAAGCTGTGGGCAAAAAGGCATGTAAAACAGTATCCTCCTGTGTTAGAATTAGGCTGCCCCTACCAAGTTACAAACTCTTTCTGTCAAAGTATCTGTTCAACTCAAAGCCTTTTCTGGGGAAACCACTAAGTGTGAGGAATGAGGAGTTAGTACAGTTCTGCAAATCACTGTGGGATTTTAAAGGACATACGCAGCTGGATGCCAAACTGGGGTCAGTGCTTCTTCTTGGCCAGCCCTTGCCCAGCAGAAATAAAGATTTCCTATCCCTGTTCCTATCCCAACCTACAGGTTCGAGGAGATGTGTTGGAAGACAGTGGCTCCTTCTGTGACAGGGCTTCTAAGTTTTGTTTTCACATATGCCTCGGTATAGCAGAGGAAGTCCATCTGTTGCCATTGTTCTTGGGAGGACAGGAAGGTGGGAAGCACCTATCTTCTCACAAAACTCACATTCTTCCTCTGAACAGAATGGAAGGAAATATTCAGTTGGGTTAGATTGTTACCAGTTGCTCATTGCCATACTTTCTCTCAATTCCCCTTCATTTAAAAGTCCATCAAATTTGGTACAGTTGAGGGTGTTGCCAGTCCTCGTTACCCCAAAACAACCCCTGGATGCCATCCCATCCTTTGAGCCAAATTCCTTTTCTCAGGCCACTGCCTTCAACCTGAGTAGGCAGCCCAGTACCACCTCAGAAATCGTGGGGCCAACTCACAGCTGGAGAAGAGCCAGTCCCTACAATGAGCCATCCATCCATGAGTGCAGCTCATAATGTAACCTCACCCCAATTCCATCTGTTTCCACCCTTCAGCTGTGCCAACAGCCCCCAGCAGCTGGAGCCTGGACAGTGGAACCCAAGAGGCCCTGCCATTGCTGTCTGCCCATGTGGGGAGCATCTTGGCTCCACCAGTGCCTCCTCGAAGCCTTCCCCATGGTAAGAAAACTGACAGAAGGTCCCTCAGATAGTCCCTGCTCTCAGGCCCCAGTAAGACATAAGGATGAGAGCCACCCAGGCAAGCAGCTTCCTTCCAGGAAAAGAGATGAAGGGAAACAAAGAAGATGGGCTTTTTCACCTGGCAGACTGTTAGACAAAGCCAGAGCTCCGGCTGCTACGGTAAGAATTCCCGTGTGCCGTGGTAAGAACGACTGTGGAGGTAGATTTGCCAGGGCAACAAGTGAGGCAGATACCTCAACATCGAGCAACTTTGGAGCTGAAGGCAACAGAATTTCTGGTTTCCTGAGGCATGGTGTCTATCATCAGCCTGTGTGATCTGGCCCAGAAACTTCAGCGGGGCAAGGGTGGAAAGCCCCCGCTGCTGCCAAAGTCTTCATGTCAGCTCTGAGACAACAGGACAACCTCGAGACACAGCCCTCATGAGGCAGGTCACTTCTGTCTCAGTCGACTGAGAAATGAAGAGGGACCTTTCACAGCCATACAACTCTTTTGAAAAAAAAAAAAAAAGCAAAAGGAGGAAAAGCCTCCCAGGCCTCATCTAGTCTCTCCTGCTGGCCGGGATAAGTCTAGATTATATCCTGCGGTATACAGAGGGGCCCCTCCTTGTTGAGAATGAATTTCTCTTTCATTTCAGGACACTATTCTCTCCACTTTGATGCTTTCCATCACCCCCTCGGCGACGCCCCTCCGGCCCTTCCTGCTCGGACGCTGCGCAAGGTAACCCCAGCACATCTTATCACAGCCTGGGTCTCAGAGGAGGTGATGGGGGAGGAAGCTTGGGAGAGTGCAGATAATTCAGTGCTCACCATCAGAAAAGCTGCAGCCAAATCCCAGCTCAGCTTCTCACTCCCCATGTAACCTTTGGCCAGTCACTGATGTTCCGTGGTCATCTGAAAAATGAGGGCACGCAGTTCAGTGAGCACCCACTACGTATGTACCAAGCACTATGCAGGACACTGTTGATATAAAACCAAAAATAAAGCAGCCCCTGCCTTCAAGGAGTGCACATTCTACACGTACCCAACTTAAGGGGAGAGGAGGAGGGAGAGAAAAAAGCACACCAGGCACGGCCCTAAACACTTTACAAATATTATCTCATTTAATTCTCACATAAATCCTGCCTGCAAGGTAGGTGCTGTTATTATCCCCATTTTACAGATTACAGGAAATTGAGGCATACAGAGGTTGAGTGACTTGTCCAGGGTGACACAGCTAGTAAGTTTCTGAGACTAGATTTGAACTCAGATTTTCATACCTCTAGGTCCATTGCTGTGTACACCGTGCCACCTCACTGATAAAGTCAAAATAAAATATGCACTAAGTGAATACGAAGTAGTTCTGGGGATGTGAGGGGGTGGGAAGAGGCATTTACATAGCACCTCCTACTTGCCAGAAACTGTTAAGTATTTTACAAACATTATTTCATTTGACCCTCACAACTGCCCTTCAAGCTAAGTGCTATTATGATCACCATTTTGCAGCTGAGGAAACTGAGGCAAACAGAGGTTAAATGGCATGCCTAGGGTCACAAAGCTAGTGAGCATGCAAGGCCAGATTTGAACTCAAAGTCTTCCTGACTCCAGGTCCAGCACTCCATCCATTGCACCACCTAGCCCGCTTCCTGCTGGAAGAATCTGAAAAAGCCTCTGGTAGCACTCGAGCTCAGCCTTAAAGAGAACCACAAATCCCAAGAAGCAGAGAAGGGAAAATGTTCCAGGCATGGAGGCCCTCCTTTGCAAGGGCATGGAGACAGACGGATATGTAAAAATGGTGGAGCAGAGGAGGCCCTGTTCTCTGTTTATCTATTTTCCAACTACCTAAACAAGACGAGAGCCAGCTACCCAGCTACCCCAGTCCTACCTGGAATAGAGGTCTTAGCCTAGAAGTGCCAGGGAGAAAAGGGTTAGGTCTAGAACACTTCTTAGGTGTTAGAGCTTTCATTCAGTTAGAGAGCAGACTGGGAATCACGTGGCACTCTGAAGTATCTTAGCATCTAGACTGTCTTGGGAATCACCAGGTAGCCCCAAAAGGCCTCTGCCCCCCAAGAGTCAGCCTCGAGCCATTCAGGATGGCCATGGACTTCCCTGGATGATCTCCAAGTCCTTGCAGCCACCTCAGCACTACTGGAGAGTGATTGGGGAACAGAGCCTTCCTCTGCCCAAGTCTCATAAAGACTGTAAAGAGGAGTGTGCTCAAACAAGCTAAGCTTCCTGGACCTAACCTATACTGGCCCATCTGTGATGATCTTCTCCCCAGAATGCCCTGACAGCTCCGAGGGACAGATTATTGAAGGCCACACCAACTGTGCAGGTAGAGTCCGTGCAGTCCCTGAGAGGCCAACCAGAAAGAAGGTGGATTTTATTGGTAGATTTCACATTCTATAACTGGGGAGAGGCAGACTGCTGGTGATTTCTGAGTCTAATAATTTTCAATGCCAGGTTTCCCTGGACAGCATGGTCTCAGTGTTCCAGCATTTAGCCCAGCATCTGCACATAGCAGGTTCTCAGTAAATGTTAGCTATTATTGATGATGATGTCTTTAAACTTCATTAATAGAAGCCAGCTTCTTGCCTTGTCACCATACACATAATGGGTGAGTTGAGCCACAGAATGGCCTGGTAAGAGGTTTTAATTGACCCCTTTTTTTGTTTCTAACAGTCTCCTCTCCATCCCATCCCCGCATCACCCACAAGTCCCCAGTCTGGCCTGGATGGAAGCAATTCAACCCTGTCCGGCAGTGCCAGCAGCGGAGTGTCCTCCTTGAGTGAGAGTAACTTTGGGCATTCTTCAGAGGTCCCGCCCCGCACAGACACCATGGACTCTGTCCCTAGCCAGGCATGGAACACTGATGAAGACTTAGAGACCCCCTACCTTCCTGTCCGGTACAGTCTTTCAGAGCCTGATGTCTTGGAGTCAGTCAAATCCCAGCCGTGCCGAAGCCACTCTGCTCCAAGTGGAGTGATCCCTCAGGACCCTATGGACCCTCCTCCGGCTTTACCCCCCAAACCATACCATTCACGACACCCACCCCTGGAGCATGAGGAGGGGATGATGATGATGGAAGAGGAAGACAAACACCGGCCCCTGCATCGAAAAGTCTCTCTGCCACCAGGAAGTATCAAGGAAGAGCAAGCCAGGGTCGCCTGGGAGCATGGCATCAGCGAGCAGTAGACAAGAGGGAGACTGTGAGCAAAGGAACTTGTATAATTACTCCAGGTCGAACAAGCAAGTCGCCCACAGGGGAACTAGAAAGGTGTGGGACTCAGAGGAGAGAGAAACCAATTCTTTACATTCTACTGCAGTGAACTCCCGTTTCGACCGTGTACAGAGATGGTGCCAGCATGCAATGTTGCTGCTTTTATTTTTAGTTTATTTTCTACTCTTCAATTTTTTATTGGAGCTTTCTTTTCCTTTTTCTCTCTGTGCAGTGGATGCTTTCTTCCTTCTGCAGTTACCAGCCCACACAAACATGTGTGGATGTAACCTTTAGCCGTAGAGACTTAAACAAACAGAAGCCACATTGGAGTATCTCAGTACCAGAAGGGGAGCAGAAACATCCTCTTCCATGAACTGGCCCCTCCAGGTTTGGAAACGCACAGTAGGAGTTGCACTAGGGATCTTTTTCTTTGCTGTATAGATGCAAAAGCTCGTGGTTACTTTCAGGGATTGTGTAGAGTGCACACGGCAGACTTAGAGGTGGTCTGTGGACAGGAGAAAAGGGGCTACTACAAAAGAAAAAAAATCAGCTCTTCCAGGAACGTTTGCATCTGTGGCTTCCCGGGCCTAATATACACTGGCCCGGCTATGCTGATCTGACTTCTACATCTTAGCCATACTGCTGGCCTTCCACAGGGGTTGCTGAAGGCCCCATGGTTCCAACTCACTTCCCTGCTGCCTCCTCTAGATTTCTCTCCATTAGTTTAAGCTCTGAACATTTGCTCCTTTTTAATGCCCCTACCCCACCTCCCTCATCCTAGGAGGCAGGGCCTCTCCCCAATTTGGCTGCAGGGCCAGCAAGGATTGGGTAGTTCCCAAGGTCCCAACCCCATCCCCTGGAGCCTTCTTCCAGCTCAGTTTTGGGCAGTTGTCAACACCATTGCTTAGAGTCTAGTTATCAGAGAGTAGGGCTGTGTAATACACCAAGTAAGAAAGATTTCTCATACCACCTTCCTCAGAGGAGAAAGCCCAGCTTCTGCCCATAGCCCTTGGGTAGGTTCTTTCCTGGGCACAGAAAGCTGTTCATTCTGATTGGCTGACATCAACCAGGTCCTTCCACCACTGGTAAGTCCTACTGGTGTAAGAGAGGGGCCATTAGGTCTCAGCAGCTCGGAAATCCTTTGATCTTTCAGAAGCGATTGGAATGTAGTCCATTCTCCAAGAGTCAGGGATTTTCAACACTACCTCTGTTGTGAAAGAGACTGGTAGCCCAGCAGGGCTGCTGGAGCAGGCTTAAGGAAACTCAGGCTCAGTTGGCTACTGGGTGGGATGGATTAGGAAGTACATTTTTTTTGTCTTCTTTAGAAACTTATCCCCATGCAAATGAAATTACCTTCTTCGTTAATGGTGTCCCCAGGACTAGAGGGGGCAGGGGGAGTAGGGTGAGGTGGTATCCTATTACTAAGGAGCCCAAGCCACATAACACTGTTGCCTTCTGCCACTGGTGTATGGTGATGTTTCAACACAGTGTTCAACAAAGGGTTGCCAGGAGTAAGCCCCAAGAACAGTTTTTCCATGGCTTCACCAGCCTAAGAAAGGTTGTCAGAGCTCTCTACAGCCCTAGTGGACAACAGTGTCTTTATATGAAACTCTAATCAGGTCAGGATACTGGTTTTCCTTTTGGTTTAATATTTGGGGAAATGGGGTGGACGGTATAACAGTATTTTATCAGGGTGCTTCTAAGTTACTTTTAAAAAATAACGATGTCAATGAACAAAACTTTTTTTTAAATGTTTCTTTCATTTGCTGGAGTTAACATTAGTGTGAGTCAAAGTGTTTGCTCATTGCAAAGCCTCCTGTGTCACTGGAGTTCAAATCTATTTCCCACCCTGTTTTTCTTCTCCTGACTTTTCTGGACTCTGACCGGGTGGTCTGCCAGCATTTTTGGTGCCTGGTTTTTAAACCCTAATCCCTTCCCCTTTCAAAGCAGAAAAGACAGTTGATGTAACTTGTCTTTTTGCAAGTGAGCACCCATATTCATAGCAAGAATGCCATTCCCCTCTGACCACCTCCCTCCCATGAACAGGAAAAGGGATTTATAAAATCTGCTTTCATTGGTGGCTGCTGTGCAGGTATTTTGCACTAGTTAGGGAATTTCTAAAAGAATACCCTTATAGTGTCATTAATCAACAGGGCTGAGTAAGGAGCAGAAAAAAAGGTTTCTTCTCATTGTATTAGTGACTGAAAATGGAGGTCAGCCCTACTTCTCAGGGAATTAGAGGTGGAGACAAAGGTTGCTGTGACCGAGCCTTTGTTTCATTGGCAGACTGGGGTTCCTGAGACAGTGTTTACCAGGGCTTGGTGGATTCCGGGGCTGAATGTTCATTTTGATCCTCGGGTGGAGGAAAAATGACTGGTCTCAGAGGACTCTGAATCTGAAGCCAGTCACCAAAGGCACGAGTGTCTCCTGGTTCTTCTATCTGTTCCATGTATTTAAGGAGGGTATAATGGGTCTGGTTAGTCTTGCTCTGTGTAGTATGATCAGATGATTGATTAATTGTTTTCCTTTCCCTATATTTCCTGGATATAACTGGGTAAAAAGGACCCATCCCCAAACCACTTCCTGTCAGCAAACCAACCAAGGTTGAGGGGGGAGGGAAAGCTGTGGAAAACAGAGGTGAGATTCCTTTGAAAAGATTATATGATCTCTTGATTTTCATTTTGTCAGGCATCTTTGTATATATTTCATTTGAATGCTATGTATTTGTACAGGAATTTGAGCAAAAAATGTATAGATTGTGATGTCTCACAGGTACTCTGCCCTGTAAATGTGTTTTTAATCTCTGGCATTCTGTGCTTATTTAAAATGAGAAAACCTCTAACCACTTCTTTTGTGTAGTCATGTTTTAAAAAAAAAACTACAAAAAAAAATACCCCTATCTTAACTCTACAGGAAAGCGAAGTTAAAAGGAAAAAAAAAAGGAATTTGTACCCATGTCCTCAAAGGTATTTACTGTATATATTGTGATAGCATGTTCTGGACCCAACAAATAAGTGATGTGAATTTTAGATGTAAATATCCCCTGTTTGGTTTGTTTGGGTTTTTTTCCTTCCCCTCCCCTCTTCACTCTACTGCTGTGATGTGGAATTAAAGATGATTACCTGATATTGATCCTGTGAGTAGAGAGACATTCATTGGGATTTGACTAAAGCATCCTCCAAGGCCTTTTTGGTGCTATACATGAGTTATTCCAGACATTCTCATTGTACTTAGATAACCCTTCCTGCCACAAAATATAGGAAAGCCCTTCACATAGTTCTGGCTTCAAGCAAAGAACGAGCAATTTTAGCTCCCCAAAATAGAAATCCACTGAATATGCTAAGACCCTGAAGACCCATTAACTAGGAGTTTTTATCCATGGGGTCCCATGAATAGATCTCAGGGTCACATGAACTTGAATGAGAAAAAATTTACATCTTTATTTTCACTAACCTCTCAAATTTAATGTTTCCTTCAATTATTTAAAAACATTATTCTAACAAAATGATCAGTCCATATGCTTCAGCAGATTGCCAAAAGGACTCATATCACCAAAAAAAAAAGTTCAAGAACTCCTGCAAAAATCAGAGGACTGGGATGCTCTATGTTCTTTCCATCCATCTTGGCCTGGCAAATGGGAATAAGCTTTGAAGAAGGCCTTCTCTGAACAAGTAGACTGTCTCTCCTTCCTGGATGCTATTCTAAAAACTTCTCATAGTCTCTAGAGCTGCAGGTCTAACCAGCTTGAACCTGAGGCATTTAGGAAATAAAGGGAAGAGAATGACCCGTGTTCTTGTTCCCCTCCCTAGTCATTGCCAAAGATAGGGCTGAAACTACATAAAGATACTCTGTCTCCCTCTCTATCCTCCCCAGTGTAGTAGACTTGTTCTTTAACACCTAGGTTTAGGCATCTTGCTTGTGGGCTGATGCCGTTCAGTTATTGCAAGACACACCCAGCCAGTAATCATTTGTAGCTTCCATTCGTCAAAGATTGAAAAGCAGAGGGAAGTCAAACACTCTGCTCTTTGTCCCATCTAGGGCTCAATTTCTAGTCGACATAGTAATGTTTGAGGCAGTTTGGTATAATAGAAAGAACACTGGCCTTGGTTAGAAAACCTGAGTTTGATCCAACAGTCAGTCAACAAGCACGTATCACGCGCCTACTAATTGCCAGGCACTGTTCTAAGCACAAAGAAAGGCAAAAATTGTCCCTAACTTTCAAGGATCTCATATTCCAGTATGGGAGACAACATGCAAACAACTATGTATAAACAAGATATATGAGTGCATGTACATATGTATGGTAAATGTTGAGTAATCTCAGAAGGAAGGAGCTAGCATTAAGAAGGACCAATAAAGGTTTCTTGCTCAAGGTAGGATTTCAGCTTAGACTTGAAGGAAGCCAGGGAAGTGAAGAGCATTTCAGGTATGGGGAATAGCCAGCGAAAATGTACAGTCAGGAGATTAAATGTCTTATGTGAGAAATAGCAAGGATGCTGGTGTCACTAGATCAGTAGTAAGTGCATAAGGAGGAGTGAAATGTAAGAAAAATGGAAGGGATCAGGTTATAAAGAGCTTTAAAAGCCAAACAGGATTTCATATTTGATCCTGAAGGCAATAGGGAGCCCCTGGAGTTTATTGAATGGGGGCAGGTCAGGGAAAGAGGTAGTGACATAGCCAGCCTGCTTTTTAGAAATATCAGTTTGGCAGCAGAGTAGTGGATGAACTGGATTGGAAAGAGACTGGAGGCCAACCAGAAGGCTATCGCAGTTGTCCAGGTATGACATGATGAGGGCCTGAACCAGAGTAGGGGCAATGTTAGAGGAGAGAAGGGGACACATACAAGAGATATTACAAAGGTAGAATTGACAGGAGCTGGGAAAAGATTGGCTAGGGGTGGTGAGAGAAGGAAAGGAATCAAGAGTGGCACCTAGGCTATGAGCCCGGGTAACTGGCACAATGGTGGTGCCCTCGAGAGCAATAGGACAGTTAGGAAAAGGGGAAGGCTTTGGGAAAAGATGAGTTCGCTTCTGAACCTGTTGAGTATGATGCCTACAGGACACCCAATTTGAGATGTCAAGGGAGCAATTGGCAATGCATGACAAGATTCTTGGTCAGAAGAAAAGCATCATCGGCATAAAGGTGATCATTGAATGTATGAGATTAATAGAGATAAGGGAGATGATATAGAAGAAGAAGAGAAGAGGACCCAGAACAGAGCCTTGAGAGAGAGCCACCATTAGCAGGCTCAACCTGGATGGAGTAAAGGAGACTGAGAAGGAGTGCTCAAATAGGTAGGAGAAGAGAAAGTGGTGTCCCAAAAGACTCTCAGTCTCTTTGTGTAAGTGAGGACAAGCCCCTTCCACAAGGACTTGCTTCTCATTCTCCCCACTTGGCAAAAGAGGAGGAGTGGACTAGATGATCTCAAAGAGTTCTTATATTCTCATATTCTATGATTCATTCAATCACTTCTCCCCTTTGTTGTCATAGGATGGCCTTTCCTCCCAGTCTCCTCACTAATAAGAATCAGGATTTCAAACAGAAAGGGACTTTGGTCAATTGAACAACAAACATTTATTAAAAGTTTACTGTGTGCCAGGCCCTGTGCTTAGACACTGTGAATTCAAACATGAAAAATCACTCAGTCCCTTCCCTAGGGAATTTACAGTCTAGTTAACATTGGGCCATAATCTGTGATCTAGTGCAATCGCATATTCCCCCTCAGCTCCTACCTTTCCTTAGTTGACTCTGGGATTCTTCCCTTGATCTCCAGTGTTTCTTCTTGCCATCAGAGTAATAATTACTATCCCCTATGGTCTGGTAATTGTTCTCCATCTTACCTTCAGGGCTGAGTGGTTGCTGGGAAACTTTTACTCCACTTGGAATTTTCCTCATTTCCACATGACGACATTCAGGAGCCACAGTTATTTGGGGCTACTTTTTCAATCCTTTTTGTCACTACAACAGATGAGCAGAGACCAAGAGTCTGTTAGATTTGTGTGGTTAAGCCATATGCCACCTGGTCATTATTAAGATAATCCTCCTTTGGACAGCATTTGTAATAACATTGAGGAGGCTTCAATATTATCAGTTCCTGGAAATCTGGAAATGATTAAAGGCAATTGGGGGAGAGGGATTAAAAAAAAACTGAAGACACACAAAACGCTTTGTTTAATCTACATCCGAAATGTTGCATTCCACCTGGGAAAGGCTTGGTCCTATGGAGGAGTTCAAGAGAACCTAGAAGGTCATATAACAAGCTCTGGCCTGGGAGTCAGGACACTTGGGCTCTATTTTGGCTCCACCATTAACTCCCTGAGACCCAGGACAAGTCCCTCCTCCCACCCTCTGTTTCTGCCTCTGTAAAATGAGGGAGTTGGAAGAGATGAGGTCTAAGATTCCATGTTCTGTGATCCAAGGTTACTTCCAGACCTAGCATCCTGCGTTCTAGAATGCTCAATGACAAAGTTTAGAGAAGACCTCAAAATCCCAGCACTCTGGTTAAGAGTTCATTGAAGTACCAGTATCTAGAATGACCCACTCAGCTCAGGTGACAACTATTCTATGATTGTTAAATAGCAAAAAGGAAGAAGAATTTGCTCATTGAAGGTAAGAGCTGGTGAAAGGAAATGCTATTGATTGGTGAATTTGGAGACTATATTTATCTGTCCAACTGGTTTTCAGAGATTTAACCAGAAAGCCTGGAGACATGCCAACTTTTTCTATGTTGTTATTCAGTCATTTTCAGTCACGTCTGACTCTTCATGACCCCATTTGGGGTTTTTCTTGCAAAGATACTAGGGTGGTTTGTCATTTCCTTCTCCAGTTCATTTTACAGGTGAGGAAACTGAGGCAAACAGGGTGAAGTGATTTGCCTAGGACCACACAGCTAGTAAGTGTCTAAGGCCAGATTTGAACTCAGAAGATGAGTCTTTCTAACTCGAGGCCTGGAATTCTATCCACTGAGCCCCATAGCTACCCTATACTTCTTCTGTAGTAACCTTTATAAGATTATTATAACCTTTGTATCAGAGGCTCCTTAAGGATATAAAGGGCCCAGGATATACTTTGGGAACTTCTCACTTCTCTGGCTTATTATCCCCCCACCCAAGATCAACTTAGGAATTTCAACAGTTCTCTAAGGATGGTCAGCAACCTCCCTTAAAAACATTCAGTCTCACAAGGCTTCAAAACATAAAATGATTTTATTGACAAAGAAAAGGACACAAAAAAGACTAGCAGTTGAGCCCATAAGTCGACACACCTCCCTACCACAATTGGCCATCCTACCCCTAGAGACTTCCACAGCCTTTGTGACTTAAAGCGACAAGGGAAGCCAGGATTTGCTCTACATCACTGTTCCTCCCTGAATATGCTCTCTATTGGTCTTTCTCTGGCGGTTGTCCTCTCCCCAAAGCTCTTCCATTGTCACTGTCCTCCACTCCTGGCTTACACTGTGGGCTCAGCAACACTGCCATTGTCATAGCCCAGAATTTCAGAACTGGAAGGGAAGTCAGAAGCCGTATGGGCCAGAAGAATGTAAGCTCCTTGAGAGCAGGAACTATTTTATTTTAGCCTTTGTATCTCAAGTGTCTGTGCCTTGCACATGACAAGCACTTAGTGTTACTTGAATTGAATAGAACTAAATCCAGTATGAACTATACCTGAATGAGGATCCCCTCACCTGACAACATACCCAACCGTTGGTCTTTCAACCTTTGCCTGAAGACTTCTACTGAGAAAGAGCCCATACCCTCCCAAAGTAGGCCATTCCACTTTTGGATGGCTTCAGTTATTAGGAGGTTTTCCTTACAAGGAATCAAAATCATTCTCTGTAACGTCCACTCCTGGCAGTTCCACCTACTGCTCCAGGCTCTGCCTCATGGGACAAATCAAAGCCAATCTAATTCCTGTCCCACACAAAAGCCCTCCAAATACTTGGATACAGTTATTTTGCTTCCCGCTAAATCTTTTTTCAAACCTAAGGATTCCTAATTCCTTCATCCAATCTTCATATGGCATAACCTTGAGACCTTTAATCATGCTGGTTGCCCTATTCTTGATGCTATCCAGCTTATCACTATCCCTCCTAAACTATGATGCCCCAATCAGAACACAGTATTCTAAAAGTCTGATTAAGGCAGAAAGCAACAGAATCATCCTCTCTCCATCTTGGATAATATCCCTCACAATGAACCCACTATTGCACTATTTGGGCTGTTATGTGTCAACACTTTTAACTTATATGGAGCTTGTAGGTAAAAACCTCCAGATGTTTTCAAACGAACTTCTTTCTAGCCGTGCTTCTTCTATCTTATGTTTGTGAAGTTGGTTTTTTGAACTCACGTATAAGCCTTAAAGGCCGCAAGGTGGCGCCACAGTGCACAAAGTGCTGTGCCTGGAGACGGGAAGATTCATCTTTGTGAGTTCAAATCTGGCCGCAGACACATACTAGCTGTGTGACCCTGGACATGTGTTAACCCTGTTTCCCTTATAGTACCTCATCTGTAAGATGAGCCTGAGAAGGAAATGATAAACCATTCCAGGGTCTCTTCCAAAAAAACCCCAACCAGGGTCACAAAGAGTTGGATATGACTGAAAAACAATTTAACAACAACAAAAATAAGACTTTACAATGAGGCCTATTAAATTTGGTCTTCCTAGATTCAACCTAATGTTCTAGCTTGTCAAGCTATTTTAAAAAATCTGCCTGTCATGTTATTTCTTCCTCCCAGACTTATGGTCATCTGCAAATTTGATAATCATATCACCTATATGTTCATCTGTGTTATTAGTTTAAAAAAGAAGTTAAACTACAAGAACCAGGCACAACTCTCTAGTGCACTCTACCAATGACTTCCTTCCAAGCAGACATTGAACTATAAATGACTACTCTTTGGGTGCAGCCATTCCACCAGTTCTGAATACACCAGTTGGTATGCCATTATCCAACCCACATCTCTCCCTCTTTTCCATGAGAAACACATGAGCGATTTTGTCAGATGATTTGACCAAATCTGGGCATACTTCATCTACAGCATTGCCTCCTCCACCTGCTAGGCTAGTAATCCTTTCAAAAAAGGAAATGAGGTCAGTCTCACATGACTTGTTCTTGATGAAGCTCTGCTGGGGCTTGTGATCATCAATTCCTTTTCTACATGTATATTCACCATCCCATTAATTTTTTTGTCACTCCCGGCCAGTATGGTGAGCCCTCTCCCTTCTGCAGTTACTCAGCTGTGCTATTCCCCACAGTTCAGCTCTTTTCCAACAGAAACTATCTCTCCAGATGTTGGTATTAGAATTCTTTCATGATTCCATACCAGATTACCTCCTGCCTTTTTAAACCTGTTTAAACATATACATAAACACACACACACACACACACACACACACACACACACACACACACACACCCTGGTCACACAACCCACCTTGTGGGTCTTTTTAAATATCTATAGGAACACCTCTGCTCTGTCTCTGTTTTCCATCCCTTGCAGTACACTTGGCATCAGTATGATCTTCCTAACTATTCTTGGACGTTAGAGGAATACTCTCCATCTCCTGTCTTCCACCAGGGCAACTGGTCTGGGTTATACAAATTACTTCAGGCTGATACACCTCCAAAGATCGCGAAAAGAGAGGGGAAAGGAGCAGAGCTAGCAGCTCTCACAAGCTGTCTGGATGGAAGAAGGTCAACTTTAACCAGAGGATTAAAGATTTGTGTCTTTGCTCCACAGGGTTCCTTTAACTTGGTGCTACCTAGAACCAGGTAGAGAAGAAGGAGATGTTGTCCCTTCATATAGCTCATTGGGATAGATGCAACAACAGAGATCACTTTGTTAAATAATCCCCTGATTACCAATATCAAAATATAAAGCATAGAGATTTGGGTTTACCAAAGATGTTTGCCTCTGTCATAGAGGCTGTCAATGGAGTCAAAATGGAAGAGAAATTTCATCGAGGGAGTAAGGGACTACAGATGCTCCTACTTGTAGATGACATTGTGCTAACCATATCATGTTGGTCAGTCAGTCAACTGGCATTTATTAAGTGTTTACTATGTGTCAGGCACTGTGCTAAGCACTGGGGATACACAGAAAGGTTAAAAAAAAAACCCAGTCCCTGCTCTCAAGGAGCTCACAATCTAATGAGGGAAACAGACAAGACATACACAGGATAAATTGGGGGCAGTCTCATGTACTAAGCTTACAGAGTCCTGGGAAAGGCTTCTTACAGAAGGTTGGACTTCAGCTGAGATCTGAAGGAAGCCAGGAGGCAGACGTGAGGAGTACTGGAATACTATAAAACGTCCCCCAAAGAAATCAACCACCAATCTGGCCTAACACAGGAAAGAAAAAAATAAGAATACACATGATTAGTACCCATATCTTGGATGCTGCGGATGGAGTTAAAAAGAAGAGAACTGGCTGGATTGCATTTGAGAAATTATTCACTTTTCCTTGAAACAGAAACCTATATTTTTAACATTAGTATTCTTCTCAAAGATGCCACACAGCTACAAATCATAGAACATCACAATCTCTGAAGGATCAAAATTGCAGGTGACTCAGAGCAGTGAAGAGATGTATAGGGGGTTCAGATAGGTCGGAGTTATTACCAATGAAGACTGACATGCAAGAAGCAAAAAAGATGACATCCAAAAACACGTATGATCAGAAAAGGAAGGACGCTGGTCAAGTGCTAAAGCTGAGGAAGAACAGATGGAAAATCTAAATGCTGCACCAAAACCCATGCAATGCAATGTTTGTTATGGATACATTTTGTTTTATATCACATGCATTTCTCAATGTATCCCTCCTTTTCACTACCTCCCAGGGAGCCATCCCTTTTAATAAAGAAAAATAATAATAATAACAAAGAGAAAAAAGAAGAAAAAAGTTCCAACCAATATCAACCAAATCTAACAATTTTGCAGTGCTCCACAGCCATAGTCCCTCACCTCTACAAAGAGGGAACTGAGGTGCATTCCCAAATCTCATCTTTGAGGCCAAGCTTAGTCTTTATAATTTCACAGTACTCATGGGGCAGCTAGGTGGCACCAGCCTTGAAGATAGAAGGACCTAAGCTCAAATCCGGCCTCAGACCAAATACTTGACACTTGCTAGCTGTGTGACCCTGGGCAAGTCACTTAACCCCAATTGCCTAAAAAAGAAAGTTTACAGTACTCTGATTCACTTGTTTTGTTGTTTTTATTTACATTGTTATAGTCATTGTGTTTATTGTTTTTCTGGTTCTGCTTAATTCACTTTTCACCATTTCATATGTCTTCCCATGTTTCTCTGTGTTCATCGTATTCATCTTTTCTTATAGTGAAATAACATTCCATTACATTCACAGTACTCATGTAATGTTAACAGACCTAGCAGAAGACCTCCTGAACACTGGGTGGACCCCCAGAGGAAGGTTTATGAAAAAGCGGGGATCATAGTCATACAGGATAAAGAGACTTAGGTGGATTATGGATGCTGGAGGGAGTAGCCACTTCAGTAGGATGGCAGGTTGAGTTAAAAATTGGAAACTTTTTAAATTAAAAAATTGTAAAATAAGTGGCTCGTTTCCTCTGATTCCTGATAGCTCTTTCAAGTGCATTTTTCTACCTAGAACCTCAGTTAAGCCTCAGCCCCAGGCAGGACACCCAAATGAGAACAACAGAACAAAATAAGGAAAATGAACCCCAAATCTCTTTCATTCATGACTCTTTGGTCCAAAGCCAAAGGAATAAGGAGCAGGCCCTGGAGTTTCATCACCCTAGGAAGCAAAATGGCACAGGTCTATAGGAAGAGGAAACTAGCTCAGATTAACCCCATTGGCTTCATTCGAAAGATGGCATAAGTATTGAGCTGCTCTTATTATCTTTCAAGAAATCATGCAATAGCAGAAGTCCACAGTTTTGGGGCAGCTAGGCCCTGAAGTCAGGAGGATCTGAGTTCAAATCTGGCCTCAGACCAAACACTTGAAACTTACTAGCTGTGTGACCCTGGGCAAATCACTTAACCCCATTGCCTAGCAAAGAAAACAAAAACAAAAATAATGATAATAACATACGTACAGCACTTTAAGGTTTACAAAGTGCTGTGCATATGTTGTCTCATTTGATCAAATGAATCATGAAGCACCTCAATATCTGAAAAATCAAAATTGCTAGTCACCCCAAGGATAATAATTGCATGATGGACTTAAGCAGCTACTGCATATTATCAAGGGTGACTTGCCCATGAGAAGTGACATGAGAAAGGATGTGTATGCCTAGAAAAAGGAGAGAAATAAAAGATAGACAGCCCAAGTGCTACATTCATATCTATGAAATATTATGAAAAAGTGAGGAGTTTGCTGGATGGATCTTCCGTGAAGGATTTATAGGAAGATATAGATGTAGATGTGATGTGATGTATATGGGGTAAGCAAATTGTGATCTACAACATCCCCAGCCCTTGCACCACCTCCACCCCTCTACACACACACACACACACACACACACACATATACACACTGTGTAAAGAGATCAGAAATTCATGGAGGTATAGAGATAATGACAGGGTCTATCTTTCTGCTCTATTTAAGAAGCCTCTTCTTTGCAGGATACTCCACATATGAACCTGGAGTGTGATTCTTTTGTCATAGTTAATAATAATCCTGATACTAAGCACTCAAACTTCTATATATAGGTAAAGCACTTTACTAACAACAGACCTGTGAGGCAGATGGAACAAGTAGTATCGTCCATATTTTTCAGACAAGGAAAATTGGGGCTCTGAAAAGGAAATGACTTGTCTACATGCCTCAGGTACCCAATGAGAACAGTAATGTTCTCCTTGGCACAATACATTCTTCCATTAAATATTTGCTTTTCAAGTCAAAGACAAGGTCAAAAGGATTGAAATGACCTTGGGGGGAAGGAACCATATGATGGAAAGTTCCCTGGACAGAACTCTTGGTAGGGGGTGGGCAGGAACTAAGCCCTGCAAAGATCTTTATCAAGTCAAGGGAAGAAGGGTGCATATAGCCAGATTTTGAAAAGTTTTGCATTGTAGTCCCTAATGGTAAAGGGGATAACTAAGAAAAAGAAAATGGCAACATCTGTTTAAAGAGTTTGCCCTTTTTAAAGGTATTTTTAATATCTAAAATGGTATTTTTAAAACTTCAACCATTTCCAGATACACTGCTTTCCCCACACTCCATAAAATCTTCCCAATATAACAGCTTATGAAACATTCAGTATCTGTAGTCCCTACCACTACCACCTACAGGAAGAGAGGTGTCTTATTATCATCTATCTTCTAAAACCAATCAAATCAATCATCTTTATCAAATACCCTTTTCTATTTCACTGAGGCCAAATCTTCATTGCCCTACTTTCTACTAGCTCCTTCTGGAAAAGTGCTGGAATTAAATTTAAAAATTCTTGCATTAGGTAGGATTCTACTTGCAAATTATAATTTGAGGTATAACTAAGGATTTTTAACACCTGGAGCAAATACAAAAGATGCCTTCAGTTGTAGGGCAGAAGGGGGAGAGACCAGCCCTTACAGTCAGAGATCTCTGGACACCAGGAAATTGCTACGGTGGAGCTCCCGTGCCCCAAGGGGAAAGGAAACATATCTCACCTTACCATTTTAACTAATTATTCTTGATAACTAGGAAGTAAGATCAGTTGTTTCTTCACATCTGGCACCTAAGAAGCCTAATTCCTGGGCAATGTTAACCCTTACAGCAAATGTGTTTTTGAAGAGGGAGATGAAAGACGCCTTGAAACCAATTCCTACAAAGCCTTCAAAATATAATGATAATATTAAAACTAGAAGGAACCTCTCAGGGATCATCTAGCCCAACTCTCACTTTCCAGAGGACAGAACTGACAGCTGAGAGGGCAAGTCACCGGCCTGAGGCCATGGGAGGACTCATCCAACTTTTACTGAAACTAGGGCTAAGCTGAGGTGAAGCTAACTGGAGCCCATATCTCCCAAGGTCACCGACTGACAGAGCTGGAAGAGACCTTAGAGACCATTGCCTCTGGCCCGCTTTCACCACCAGGTGGCGCTTCTAGCCTCTAGGCCATTCTCTTCAATAGGAGGTACCATGATATGAGAAATCCCATGCTCACCTTAACTCCAACCCCGCTGAGGGGAAACACCGAAGAAGTGCCATCCTCACTATAGTTCTCAGAGAATATATGTCCTTCTATATCTCAGCTCCATCTCCCTCTGAATGGTTTTGTCAACTAAGTCGAAGGGGTGTGGTTAGGGTAGACTCAGAATCAGATCCAAGCCCCCATTAAAAACTGTGCCTTGAACTTGCTATATCTCACAGAACTCCAGTCACATGATCTTGCCATAATGGAATTAACCCCCTATAAGAACAAATGGACTGACCTGAACACTATATGCAATGATTTGCTACTGGTATAGAATCACTAATGGCAACAACGTATAACAACACATCTGCCGTCCAGCTATGTTCCTATGAACCCCTGCCCAGGTCCTGCTAGTACCCAGACAGTTCTGAACCCAGTAGTTTTAGGAAAAGCATAATTCAGTTTGTTTCTCCCCCTCCATTACACACACACACACACACACACACACACACACACACACACACACACATGCACACACACCCCAGTGCTATACTTTATTACCCCCACTATTAAGCAGAAGCATTGACTAGGTCTAAAAACTCAGGAACCCTGGACCTGGCCTCCTTGCAGCATGTAGTGGTCATGATATCCAACGCTTTTCTATTCAGGGACCTATCGCTGGCAAGGATCTCAGGCTGCTAAAGAAACAAAGAGGAACTTTGACCTCAGAGAGTTTACATTCTAAAGGAGAAGCCAGCCTCTATATAATGAGGTGCTTTTTATGTGAGATATGGCCCAGACTCAGTCAGGTGCCCAGCCCTTCCAGGGCACTGCTCGTAGGTCTCCATCCTCAGGATAAGTAGCTGAGTTGGGAGTGAGGCAAATACTTCACCCACGCTGGCCCCAAGTTCACCTACTCAAGGAGGGCCAGCTTAGAAGCCTCCAAGAGCAGCAAGAGCCTGGATCAATGGCAACCTTCTAGAGAGTAGAGTATAGGCTATGGTCTGTATATTAATCACCCCTTTCTCAACTCTCTCACTGAGCAGGTGTCTTTGTTCCCAGCACTAAGGGTAACATGTTGTTTGGGTCAGGGCCAGGCCTCCCTCTCCATCTCTAAATGAAACCAGAGCCTGGGTCCCACCACCTCCTCTGAAGAATCCCTGCAAGTCAGAGATAGAACAATGAAACCACTGCTCTCCCTGGGCTCAACTCCTACCCTCTTCCTTAGATGAAGGACACAAGTGCTCTCAGTCCCCTCAAGATTCTCCTACCCTAGGTCAAAGCCCTAGTCACTCCATCCTAGTTATAACTCTGAGAATAATCCACAGCACAGCACATGCATTGGCACATTGCTAAGCCTAGGTCTATGGAACTCAAACATTTGTGAAATCCAAACTATTGTTTATCTTTTTTATGGTAGAGTACCACTAGTACCCCAGGAGAAAAGAAATAAAGAATTTATAGAAAAGCCTCTAGCAAACTTGTGGATACTCTATGGTGAATTTATGGAAAAACATGGATGAAAACTACAGAACGAGAAGCTGCATGGTTTACACTGTACCCATGAAGGGACATCCCCACTTCCATAGGAAGCCTTTCCCAAGCTCTCTTAGTTCTAATGCCTTCCCTCTGAGATTATCTCCAATTTATCCTGAATATATCTTCTTTCACATGGTCTGCATTTCTCTCCCCTGTTACAATATGAGTTCCTTGAAGGTAGAGGCTTTGCCTTTCTTTATATCCCCAGCACTTAGCACGATGCCTGGTATATAGCATAGTAAGGCTGCACATGTGGCAAGGGCCATTCCCTACATGTGGCATGGTGGGGACGGGCTCTTTGTATGGCTGAGAAAATAGACATATCTGGTCTCTTCTCCCCACACCTTTCTCCAAAAACAACTTTATTCTCTGCCAAGAGAGGAAGCAGGAGGGTAGGGGTCGGAAGCTGCCACTCTGCTCTCCTCAGAGAGAGGGGTTACCAGGCTAGAACTATATCTACTGTCTCCATTTTAGTATAGACGTTGTGCGTTCCAGGTTCAAGCTAACTTCTGATCAATGTTTCAATATTGGGGGGAAGGAGGACCCCAAACTCTATACCTGAGGTTTGACTCCTTTCCCTCCAAATACTGGTTCCACAATGCACATACATAGCAATTATCAAAGAAAACCCACTTATCCAAATAGATAAAGAGAAATCAAAGAAAGTATACATAGGAGAATATATAACAGACAATATGGTAGGAGCTCTCCCATTGGGAGACATATAATTCAACTGAGAGAGTCCTATATCTCATTCCAAGGGAAAGTTTCCCAAAGTTTCTAATGTAGCCAACTGAAGATAGGGACATGATGGAGACGGCCAACTCCTCTCATGTTAGCTTCTTTCTAGAGTCTTTTCCTTAAGCAACCTGAAGTGGAGATGACCTCAGATCCTCTCAAATCTGGGAGTCAAAAGCACCCAAAGTCTGAAAAGATTCAGAGAATGAAAAGTTTGGAACAGATCAAAGAGCTCTCTCACCCTTACCAACTCTGCCTTGCCCCTCACACAGAGCAGGGCATTCATCTCCATCGATGAGGAGAAAGTCCTATACCAATGGGCTTTGGGACTGTGGTCACAATGGTAATTGCTAAAGAAATACTTATTGACTCAATTGATTATTGACCGAACAGTAATTCCCTCTACAATGACCCTGACAATCGGTCATACAGTCTCTGTTTTAAACATCTAGTGTTGCAGCCACTACTATCACCAAAGCAGCTCATTCCACTTTGGGAGAGGTATGATTGTTAGGAAGGCTTTCTTTACTTCAAGCCTACATCACTGCAATTTTCACACATCACTCTTCACTCCTCCCTCCAGGGCAAAGTAGAACCAGTGTAATGCCATCTATCTTCTACAATAGACCTCCAAATGTTTGAAGACAGCTATCGTATCTACCCTCAATCTCTTCTTTAGAAGTTCATTTCCATCCAGCCTCAGACACATAATACTAACTAGCTGCATGACCCTGGGTAAGTCACTTAAGCCCAATTGCCTCACCAAAAAAAAAAATTCATTTCCTTCTATAAATCCATAAATGGTATGGTCTCCAATCTCCTCACCATCTTGGTCACCTTTCTTTATATCTCTTATAATTTATCGATGTCCTTCCTAAAATGTGGCTACCAGAACTGAACACAGTACTCCAAATGAGGTCTAACCACAGCAAAATATAGTCGGACTATCACTTCCCTTGTTCTGAATGACTCAATTAATGCAGCCTAAGACTGAATTAATTCCCTACTTTTTGTCTGTTATATCATACTGCTAACTCACATTGAGTTTACAGTCCCCCAAAACCCACATTTCTCTTTTACACAAACTATTGTGTAGCCACACCTCTCCCATCCTTTACTTATTTGTGCAATTTCTTTTTGAACCCAGTTGTAAGAATTATATTTATCCCCATCAATTTTCATCTGGAAGACTGAAATAGGAAGGATTTGGATGGGACAACATGAATATTTTAATTTGAGTCAATCTGATTTGGTACTGAGTTTCTTTAAACTGGTTTTCTTGCTGTCCTCACAAATAATATTATCTGTCCACCTTGTTTGCACGGTCTTTCCTTCATACCTGAAAGCACACTCTCCTCACTTCCACCTCTAAGAATCCCTTCTTTCCTCCAAAGTTCAAGTTAAGCACCACCACATGAGAATTTTCCTGATGCCCCCCAACTCCTATTGTCTTACACACACACACACACACTTTTGTATGTTATTTGCCTTATTATCTTTGTCTCTTGCATGTGTCTCTCTGTCTCTGTGTGTGTGTGTGTGTGTGTGTGTGTGTATTTTCCCCAATGGAATATAAGCTTCTTAAGGGCAGTTTTGTCTGTGTCCCCAGTACCCAGCATGGTGCCTGGCACATAGCGGACACCTAATAATTGCCTGTTTATAAATTGATCTTACTAAGTTTGGCCCGCTTTTCTAGCCTACATAGATCTTTCTGGTTCCTGACTCTACCATCCATATTATTTATCCCTCCCAGGTCTGCAGTACCTATAAATTGAATAAGCATACCATCTATGCCACCATCCAAGTTACTATTAAAAGCCTTAAGCAATACAAGGCCAAGCACAAATCCCTAGAGACCTCCCTCTAAAACACAGGTTCTTAACTTTTGGGGAGCCATGGACCCACTTTGGCAGTCTCATATAACTATGGATTCCTTCTTAGAATAATATTTTAAATGCATAAAATAAAATACATAGGATTACATCATAATGAAATACAGTTATAAAAATATTTTTTAAAAAGTTCTCAGACCCCAAGTTAAGAACCCCTGCTCTAAACTGACATCCATCCATTTGTGCTGATTCTTTGTGATCCCAGTAATTTAACCAATTCCAAATCTACCTGAATGTACTATCACCTTGTCCAAATATTTCTTACTTACTAGGATAATGTGTAATATTTTAGCAAATGCTTTTCTGAAATCTAGGTAGAAGAGAATGTCTAGACTAGAATATTCGCCTGATCAGTGTAGTAAACATAAACTTTTTCTAGATAAAGCAATACTGGATCTTACCAATTAATACTTCCCTTTCCAAAAGCCCACAAATCATTTCTTTAATAATATGTTCTAGAATGTTGTCAATAAGGCTCACTGTTCTATTGTTTAAAGATTATACTAACACTTTCCTGTTCTTAATTTTTCAGAGACTGGTGACAAGGGATTAGCAGTCAATTCTTTCAGTATCTTGGGACACAGGTTATTTGGGTCTGAAAACTTGAACTCTCTGATTAAAACTATGCACTCTTCCTCTCCCACCCCACAAATGACTATGTGAGTTTGGAGATTCTGAGGTCCCATCAGGGGTCTTACTGGTGACCCAAGTTGGTAGAGGAGTCCACCAGAGTACTAATATTAGCTACAGGGGTCAGTAACCAAAAAGCACCCTTTAGATGGATATACCAAGGCACCAGTCCTCAGATGCCAGAAGAGAGGTGCACCTAAGAGGGACTTCATGAAGATTCCAGAAAAGGAAAAGGACCCTGAGAAACCAGGAGTTGTAAGTTTATCCTTTGGCCTCACTTTGGCCATGTGCCTCTCTACCCTCATACTCTAAGTAGAAATCCATTCTCTCCATGGACCTTATTACGTGCAGGTGGAGAGTGTACTCCTCTTTTGGAGGGGAATGTTTTTGTAACTACTACTGCTTTTGATAAACCTCATAAGTACCCTTTCCGAAAAGCGAATTGAGGCTACAGGCTGAATGGAAAGTGCATCAGTGGAGTGCCCAGTGCAGCAAAGCTAGAAACTCAGAAGAAGAACTTTGAGCAATAAGTCAGAAGCCTCCAGGGATGCAGCCAGCCCGTAAGAGCAGGAGCTGAGGAGTGGCCCTGATAGGGACGCTACAATAGAAATAATAGCTAGCAATTATGTAGCGCCCTAAGGTTTGCAAAGCCTTTACAATTATTACCTTAAAGAAACAAGGACCCTTTTTAAAAAGTTGGAAATTTGAGTAAATCTGCCAGAAACGCCAAAGCAACGGCCAAAGACAGGCAAAGAGCAAAGCCAGGGAAGGTTGGAGGGAGAACTCATTAAACTAAAAGATCCACAAACATTTCTTACCAGCCGGGTACTGTGCCGCTGGAGGGGAGGGATAGGAAAACCGAAGAGCTTACATCCTGATGCTATGTGCACAAATAAGTATACACGAAATAAATAAATGATCTTGAGGGAGAGAATGGACCTTTGGGGACTTTTCCAGGAATTAGTCCTTTTTAAAGTGCATTTGTGGTGGCACAAGGCCGGAATAAAAGCTGCTCTAAGGGAGAGAAAGCAGAGGTGAATGAGCCACTTAATGGATGAAATGATCCTTAAGGGGAAAAGTGAATTGGGAGCCCCACTCCCGACCCCCACCCGCCCCAACACACACACATTCTATGGGACAGACTGGAGACCACGAGAGGTAAAGTTGAAAGAACACAATGAGGGGGGCCGGTCTTTGCAGCAACTGATATGACTGGATGGAGAGGATGTCCTGCCCGGGGACAGTGCAGCATGAGGGAAGGGGCTAGGGACTCCAAGTTAACAAAGCCTAGAAACCTGGGTCTTGTTCCAGACTTTCCTAATAAAGAAGCAGATCGGCTTGGTGGCTAGGGTGCTAGACTCGGAGTTTGGTTCAAATGCTGTAATACATGAGACACTGGGTACGGCACTGACTTATCTCTCCAAACCTCAATTTCCCCATCTGCAAAATTGAGGCTAGTGATAGCAGCTGTCTCAACAACCCCGTGAGGGTTAGGGGCTATTATCCCAATTTTGCAGATAAGGAAATTGAGGCAGGAGGTGGTTAAATGACGTGCCCAGGGTCACACAGCCACTAAGTGACTGAAGGTAAATTCGAACTCAGGTCTTCCCTCTTTCAAGTCTCAAGCTCTATCCATTGTGAGCGGCCATTAGTATGTGGCGCTTAATTGAAGTTACTGTGACTGATTTTGTCTATGGTTGAGCATGCCCAGGTGGGAGATGAAGTAGGGAGGCACGGGGACAAATCGGAAAACAAGACTGGGGTCAAAGAAACAAGTAAATCAATAGATTCAGAGGCCGAGGCGTTTTCTTCCCCACTGACAGCAGCAGCATTTCCTCTCTCTCCGCCCCCCGCCTCCCCCCACCTACCGCAGCCTCCGTCTCTCGCTTTTGTCCGCCCTCCGCTAGGCGGCGCAACTACCAAGCTGTCCCTCTCCAAGATGGCAGCCCCCACACCAGTTCCGTTTCCGGTAAGCCGGTGGGAGGGGCCAAGCCGCCACTTTCTCCATGTCCCGCCCTCCTTCAATCAGCAGCCGCCAACTGTCCCGGGCTGAGAGCCGATGATAGCGTCAACCAATAAGAAACGGCGTCGTGGAGCCGCCCGTCTGGGTTCTGTGAGGCCACAACCAATGGGAGAGTCAGACGTAGGAAGGAGCGGAGAGAGATAGCCAATGGGATGTCGCGGCGGTGCTGGAGCCGGCGCTTGGAGAAGACCCGGCTGCCGGGAGTGGATCAGTCCGAGCGGCGGCGGCGGCGGGACCAGGAGAATGTGGGCCACTCGCGGGCTGGCGATGGCGCTGGCCCTGACGGTGCTGCCGGGAGGGAGCCGGGCCCTGCGGCCGGGGGACTGCGAAGGTGAGGGCGGCAGACGCTGACCTAGCCGGGGAAGGAGGGAGACGAGGCTAGTTGGTGCCTGAGCTGGGCCGGGGCTGCCGCTGACGGGGGCACCCGAGGAGCCGGGCCTGGCCGTGGGGTGGGGCTGGACCGGGAAAGGGGAGAGGAAGAGGCCGGGCCTCGGGGCCGGCTTAGCCAGCTGGGGAGCGGCGTTATCCTGGGAAGGAAGTGGGCTGAAAAGAGGCGCCTATCTCCATTGTACAGGAGGGAAAACTGAGGCCCCGACCGGGGGTCTCCGCACTGCCCTCCTCCTGGGGTGGCCTGTTGAGGTTGTGGGCCAGGTGGGGTCACTTGTCTCTGAGAGTGAGCTTCGCCCCCGCCCGGAAGGGTCTCGGGTTTTTTTAATTCTGCCCCTGGACTTGGAGCCTAGGCTGCTTCTCCCGGAAAATGCGTCCGTGAGAACTTGTAGTACCCATTAACCGGGGTGTTGGGAAGAGAGCCCTTTGTGAGCTGGAGCCTCCGTAGAAATGTGAATCACTATGTAAAAGGAGGTAGGGGCTGTTCTCGTGGAGAAGAAACCACCGGCACTTTTCTGTTAGGGGGAAAGACCCGGGGGGGGGGGGAGCAGTTCTGGAGGATGCCAAAAGATGCAGATTAAAAACAGGCTCTGTTCTAACCCGACGTACTTGACCACCCCGGTATCCCAGAGTTACTCTTAAGTCTTAGCCGAGGCTGGGACGGGATTGAGCATCTCGTTCACCTGCTTCCGGGATGGGGCTCCTTGCGGCATCGAGACCGGTGAAAAATCTCAGCTGTGCCCTTTCTTCAGTAGCATCGGCCAAGGGGGCAGGGAACTGATGGGCTCGACCTTCCTCTGCTTGGTGTGGTTGGTTGGTTTTTAATCTGTAAAATGGGGCTAATGATACGGGCAGCACCAGTTTCTCAGGATTGAAGATTAAAATCATAGCTCCTACAGTTAGAGATGGAAGGAAACTTTAAGGTCATCGACTCCTACCCCCTTGTTTGTTTGTTTTGACAATTAGGAACTGACCTCGAGAGGTTAAGTCACGCAGGTTAAGAATAATGACAGAGGCAAGATTTAAATACTGTTAACTCTGTAATAAAACTGAGTATTTCAGAGCTACAAAGTTTCGAAAGTATATTCTTCACATCAAATTACTTTTAAATAGTAAAACATGAGTATCAGAAAAACTTAACCATGAAATGTCAAACTTTTTGATCTGGCACTCTACACTGTACCCCACTACATTCTCTAAATCATAAAGTGCTCATGTCCATTATTGAGATAGGACCCTTGATGAGAAGTTATTCTGTTCCATTATATAGACTGTACACTCCTAGATGTTGTGAAAAAATGTGGGGGGATCAGCACAAATCAGCTACCGTCAGGAAAGTCATACTGATACCTTAGTAGCTAAAAGACTGTTATTATTGGGTCCCTAAAAAGCTTTTCTGCTTTTTTCTCTTTTGGCAGAGCTGTTGTGTTTTTAGTCAGTTCATGTTAGCCCATCACCCAAAGCAGTCCTCTGAACCATTTCCTTGTTGGGGAGGCCTTTTGAGTTACCTCAGATCTTGCAATACTAAAGCTGTTCTTTCCACTCACGTGGCCTGAAAGCTAGTTTGTGTACTCATCACTTCTTCCCTACATAACTGCAATAACCTCATAATTTGTCTCCCGGCTTCCAGTTCCTCTCATTTCCAATCCATCCTCACCCAGCCACTGAAGTGACATTTTTTGTAAAGCACAAGCTTTCCCATATAAGAAATCAGCAGGCATTTATTAAATGCCTACATTATGCCAAGCAACTAAAGGCAGAAAAAAAATGAGACAATTCCCACTCTCAAGGGGCTTACATTCTATTAGGGGAGACAACATATGCATGCATATGTCTATATACGTATATGTAAACATACCCATACGCATAAATATATATATATGTGTGTATACAAAGCAGTTAGGGAAGGAATGATTTCATGTAGAAGAGGGTATTATGAGGCGTGGTGAGTTGAGATGTGCCTGTCAGTGGTTTAATATTGCCTCTTAAGATCAAATACAGCTTTTTCTGTTTGTTATTTTAAAAGCCCTTCACAGTCTGGCCCCAAACTGTCTTTCTAGACTTAATTCATATGACTCCCCCTCCTGCACCCAACTGACTGACTTCCTGCTGCACCACACCTACATGCTGCACTCCTCTTTTTGACATCTCCGCTTTTGTACAAGCTGCCCCCCACCCCAGGGCCCAGAATTACCTTTTGCATTAACTTACACAATTAAGGTATGTGTCCTTTCTTCTTTATCAAGCTCCTTGAGGGTAGGCGCTTAATAAATGTTGGTTAACCATGTGAATTTGTACAAACCTCTTCTGCAGTCTGAGCTTCAGTTTCCTAATCTGTAAAATAAAGGGAATGGGGGGTTGGATTGGACTCTTTCTCTCTTAAAGACCTTCTGGCTTTAAAATCCGATAATGCCTTTGATTCTTATGCCTGTGAGAGTACTGGCCTATATGACCCCACTCCCATTTGTTGAGTTTGGCTTCTTCTAAGTCAGAGAATTCCAGAGTGGCTGATGCTTTATTCTGAAATAAGAAATTTGTGATAAAAAAATTTCTCGGACATCCAGCTAATGGAGAACTTCACTATCAAACCTGCAAGGCTAGTCAGGGAACTAAAACCAGAACCAGAAAGGACTATCAGGTCACCAGGTCATTAAGTACATGATGCATGAGTGAACAGATGCAGCAGGAAGCTATTAGGATATTTATGGGTCTCTGATGCATTGTTTAGTTTAGACAGCCCTTTTTTGCATAGAAATTCTCACTGACAACCAGGATCTTTATTCTCTGGTGTCTAAGCGGGCCATCCTAAGCATAGGCAGAATAGGCAGCCAAATGGACCCATGCCCCCAAATAAATCTTTTCATATCAAAGTTCCTGGAATGCCACTGTTAGAGGCACATTCTTTTGGGTAAAGACATCCTGCCAGGAGACTCATGTTTAAAATGTAAATATATTACTTTTTAGGAATAATTTTAACACTCATTAATACTTAGCATGTATTACCAGGTTAACTGTCATATATTGTATAGTAGAAAGAACACAAGTGCGGTATCTAAGTCTTCCACTGATCAAAACCTGGTACTACATACCTGCTGATACAATTAGGAAGCCTAATAAATGTTAAAAGAACCAATTGTAGTTAATCCTTAGAAGGCAAGTCTCTTGATGGTATTTTTCTGGATATTTGGAATAAGCACACGTTTGACTGCTATAACTCTTTTCCCTTTTTTTTTTTTAATATAGTATGCATTTCTTTTCTGGGAAAATTTTACCAAGACCTTAAAGACAGAGATGTCACATTTTCCCCAAGCAACATTGAAAATGAACTTATGAAGTTTTGCAATGATGCAAAAGGAAAAGAAAACCGTTTGGTGAGTATGTCATGGCTTGGCCTTCTCTAGATGGGTTTATCAAAATCCATTGATAAAAGACAGGTTTCCTTCCATGCTGAAGTCCTGTTCTAAGACCTTAATCTGTGCTCATTGGGTTCAGCCTTTAAGCTCAACAGTTGGTTTACCAGCCAGCTTTTCTCCCTGTAGTTCTTACCACAAGTAAGGTAAGGTAATTCAAGATAAAGTCATTCAAGACTGGAATAATCTTCAAACATAAAAATAAAATTTCAGACAACTTCTCAGAAGTATTATATATACTAGTGTCTTGTGGTCAGAGATAAAAAACATTATTTTGAAGTTAGAAGTGCTGGAAAGGAAGTATTTGACTTCAGTTCCTTTTGGAGATCTGATTGTTAAAAGTCTGAATGACACTAGAATAACTTAGGATATAAAATATAAAACTATATTTTTAAGAAAAAATTTTGACTCTGTAATATTGACTGTTGTTCAACATGGGCTGTCCCCCCCTGCCTCTTCCCTCCTTAACTCTACCTATTGACTGGCTTCTTCTTCTTCTTCTTTTTTTTTTTGGGGGGGCAAGGCAGTTGGGATTAAGTGACTTGCCCAGGGTCACACAGCTAGTAAGTGTTATGTGTCTGAGGCCGGATTTGAACTGAGGTCCTCCTGACCCCAGGGCCAGTGTTCTATCCACTGTGCCACCTAGCTGCCCCTCTGGCTTCTTTTAAGTCCTAAGTTAAATCTCATCTTTTGCTGGAAGCCTTTCCCAGCCCCTCTGTTAAATTATTTCCTATTTATCCTATACATAGCTTGTTTTGTCTATGCTTGTTTGGATGTTGTCACCTCTGTTGGATTGGAAGCTCCTTGAAGGTAGGCACTGTCTTTTACCTTTCCTTTTATCTCCGGCACTCAGCACAGCACCCTGGCACATAGACTCTTAATAAATGTTGCTTGATTGTTATTTGTAAAAGTAATTGTCCTATCACAACCAAAACTAAGCAGTGTGCAAATATAAATGACCAAGCTTGGTCCTGAAGGAGATAGGAGACGGCATCTCCATATCTCCTTCCCTTTTATTCAAAAAGAGGTCAGAGACTCTGGGTATGGATTATTGCATATACTGTCCGACTTCAGTGGTGTGTTGGTTATTTTTGCTGAAATTGATGTAAAAGTTTCTTAAGCAACTGTGCTTTCTTCCTCCAGTGCTATTACATTGGAGCCACCAGTGATGCAGCCACCAAGATCATCAGTGAAGTGTCCAAGCCTCTTAGCCACCACATTCCTGTTGAGAAGATCTGTGAGAAGCTAAAGAAGAAAGACAGTCAAGTCTGTGAGCTCAAATATGGTGAGTTCTGACCTAGCCTCTACCTCCTAAGCGTCAGGAAGGAAGGAAATGAGAGAAAGGAATAAGCATTGATTAAGTGCCTCCTCTGCGTCAGGCACTAGGCCATGGGTTTTACAAATAATATTTTGTTTGATCCTCGAAACAACCCTGGAAGGCAGGTGCTGTTATCCTCAGATGTTCAGTGATTGCCTGTGGGCACACAGCTAGTAAGTGCCTGAAGGTGGGTTTGGATTGGGGTCTTCCTGGCTCTGGGCCCGGTGCTCTTCTGTCCACTCAGATACTAGCCTCCTCTGTGGCATAGGTGATCTGCTCAGATGGGCGCTTCATCTCATCGGCTGCTCTGGCAGGACTTGGCGGTCACCCTAGTCTGAACAGCTTTGGGAGTGGTGGTATTCCCCTTTTCATACTGTTAGTGTGTTCGCAGAAACATAGACCGACACGTAGAGCCAAAGTCAGAAAGTACTGTTACTGAGGTAGAGGTTTTTGCTACTTATTTTAAGAGCATCAAAACAATCTGTGAGTCGTTTCTTTCATGTCCCGCTGTAGAAGTTGCTGACCTCCCAAAAAAGTCTGCAGAAAGAACCCAGTTAGTTGGATGTTCCCACAGTTTGTCATTGGCTATGAAGAGCACATTCAAATTAGAGTCTGTCTAATATGTTGTTTTTAAACAGTCTAGCTGACTTAATTGTTGAAGCAGGCATTGAACTTTTATTATATGTATGGAGAGTAATATTCAGTGGTGGGGGCCTGGCTACCAAGGCTAGTCATTTTAGGCTTCACTGGTGGCTAGCTCATTGCCTCTATTGAACGAGTGACCAGGAATTGACATTGTCCTCTCACCTGTGAGCCAGCTTTGTTACAACAGCTTTGATAAATAGTGTGACTGCCCCTGCATGGCAGTGAAGAAGCAGCTCATTAAGAGAGGCTTGTGGAGTGAGTAAAACAGGGTAAAAGCAGGTACTGCCACCTTGGTGCTGTGTTCCTCCTCAGTTACTAACATCTCCCTCATCCTTCCTCCAGATAAACAGATTGACCTGAGCACAGCAGATCTGAAGAAACTCAGAGTTAAGGAGCTGAAGAAGATCCTGGATGACTGGGGTGAAGTGTGTAAAGGCTGTGCCGAAAAGTCAGACTATATTCGCAGAATTAATGAACTGATGCCCAAATACGCCCCCAAAGCAGCTAGTTCACGGACTGATCTTTAGTGTGCACAACGCTGTGTAGGCGTCTCAGAAGAAATCACAGTTAATCTGTTTCCAAACAGCCTTTTTGTAATTTATTTTTAAGAGGGCTCCTGATGGTATCAGATCTGAAACCTGGGGCTTCATTCAAGATGCTGGTTCTACAGCTCCATTGCGTCTCTCTCTCCATACTGTTTCTTCTTCATTTTTGTTGTTTCTTCATTTAGGATTTCACAATATGTATGGGATTTTTTTATTAAAGTTTTAAAAAAAATTAGCTTTCTAGCTGTCAGAGTAAGGTTATCTTTGCTGCAAGAGTGTTCCTCAGGAAGCAGATTACAAGGTGACCAGTCTCACTTCCTAGAACATAGGAATAGATAGATCTGGTGGTTGTACTTAAAGAAGAGCAGATAACACTGTATAACTTGTAGAAGGGCAGATATCTCTATATTTGCACAGCAGAGAATGTTCACATCCTACTGACTTGTGATATGGGGCAAGTCACCTCTCAGTGCCCTGCACTAGTAAAGGAAGTTTGTTTATCCAGGACTTCTCTCTGCCAGTGAAATCACAGGTCCACTTCCTGTCCTCTTCTGACAGACCTGATGTCCAGGGAAGTGTAGAGAATTGTGTCTAGTCTTGGTCCTTGATGCCCAGGAAATTAAATTCCTAGAATGAGCTTTTTTGGTTTGATTATCAGTTCTACCTTCTAAGGCCCACAATTAGTAGAAATGGTGCTTTTTAAAAGAAAAGTTGGATTCTTGTAGGTTTTGCCCATCTTGAAGCTTCTATATATGCTTCTTATACATGTCTTCCCTGCTTGAAGCCCTAACCATCTCCCTGTGATACTACTTACTTTAACCCTTAGTAGCAGGTTCACAGTCTAAGCCTCGGGTGTTGAAAAGACAGAACTGTTTCCTATTACCGAATTACTGGGACAGGGAGGAGAGCAGGGAGATGAATAAAAACCTTTGGGATTATGAAGTCTAAACCCTACATAGAGGAGAAAACATCCAAAGAGATTTGTCTGAGGTCGGACACTAAGTAGTATTGAGGGACGAAGCCAGGTCTCTGACCTGACTTTTGTTCTGTTAGATAATGCTGCTCCTCAGAGTTCCAGAGGTCCGCACAGCCCTTTAGACTAAAGCAGCATTGTTCACCAATGGTAAACAATATCAGGTTTTCTGAGAAAGGTCAGTACAAGCCCAGACCCTGGAAAAATACACTGAAAGGCTTGTGGTTTTAATGGTGTCCATGGTTTGTACAGCACCAGCTTTTTACCAACAAAATAACAGATAGCGGTGAGCCTGTGCCTCAATCTCAATGACCCTCGATCATCTTTGCCCTCACTGGGCCAGTGTTGGGCACAGGGCAGCTGAAAAAGTGGTTCAAATGTCGGATCTCGCCATACAAAGTGAAAACAGATTGTGTCCCTCTGAGCATCTACTGTGCCTTCAAATGAGTCATCTGATTCTCTCCTGCCTTCTCAGGAAAATATACTGTATTGCACTATGTATAGAAAGTTTAAAATATCAAAGAACCAAACTGACGTGCATAAAGGAGTTCAGAAATGTGAGGGGTTTTTTAGGTAGACAAAACTAAGTTACTTTTCAAAATAACACATTCCACTTCACCTATAAACTTGCAGTATTTACCAATTTGAAGAGATTTTTCACTGGCATATAAAGGACTTTCTCCAGGCTGTGTGTAATATTTGAAGTTGATAGGTGACTTAGGACTGTCCCCTGAGAGTCCTATGAAATCTAGTGATCTGTACTTTATCCTTATTTTCCAATACTTTTGTGTGATTTTCTTGGATGATTTCCTTAAGTGAGGAATACAGCCTTTTCATTTCGTCATGTTTTTTTGAAAATTACTGTAATTCTTAATATGATTTCCATGTCTTTTCATTCTTGTTGGACTCCAAGTTGTAAAGATCTCATGTTCTTCCAAATCTTGAGTTTCAAATCCCCTGTCCTTCCTCAGTTGGCTGTTTTGGAGAGACACCCTCATCTGCCCCCATCTTTGTCTTTGATTTTTTTTTTGAGAGAGAGTTCTAAGTGATGGTCTATCACCCTGGAGAGCCTAAGATTTCCATCATGATTTCTTTTGATGTTGTTTTTTAATTATTCTGGTGTACCTCTTTTGAGCCATTCTGTTGATTTTTATCCTTTCATCAGGGAATTTTTAGTTGCTTTCTATTCTGAGGAAGCTAGACAAATACTACAGTATTGAGGAAAGGCAGTGTCCTAGTTTTCAGAAAAGGAAAAGTGAATATAGTTTGCAGGCTACAGGCTAGTAAGTTTGACTTTAGTCCCTGGAAAAATTCTAGAACAAATTGCTAAAGATTACCATTAAATTGATTTAAAATGCTTGGTGAACACCTAGAAATGGAAGCAGAGATCACAAAGAAACAACATGGCTTCCTCAGTAACAGGTCCATGCCAAACTAGCCTCATTTCTTTTTTTGATGGGAGTTACCAGACTGGTAGTTTGGGGTGAGGTTGCAAATAACAAAGATTTACGCAAAACTTTGGACAAAAATCTTTCAAGTGATTCTTATGGACAAGATGTTTCAGAAATATGTACTAGATGATACTGCAGTTAGAGTTACTGATATTTTTACGTAAACTTGGGAGGAAATCTTTAGTGGAATAACCCCAGACATCTGTGCTTAGCCATCAGATTTGCCGAGAGCCACGACGTCTGCAGACAAAGGGCATACTTCGATCTGCAGTATGAATTCTTTCCCTGCCTGCAAATTTCTTAATGTCCAGGATCACTCTGTATGCAGACCCATATACTCCATGGGTGCATGAGAGATTAAAAATCAGACCTGTGCATTTTCTTTAAGATTACAAAATTAGTTGAGTCACATGTAAGACACAACAGGACTAAAGTCTACATCTTGTGAGTCCACTGTGAGGCAGTACTGGAAATGATCCCCAGCACAAAAAAAGCAAAAGTCAGTTCCATAGCAGTTTTAGAACTTGCATAAGGCAGGTTCTAAAAAATGTATCACTGGCTCCTGACATAGTTACATTGCTCACATCAGAGGATGGCTGGCCTGAGCAGAATACCACAGTTAGGGTCTTCAGCCATGTGCATATAACCTCCATTCCCCCAATTCTCAATCCAGCTGTTCTGGAAAATCCAAGATTTGTTGGACTCGACCTCATCTTCAAAGTTATACTCCACCACCAAGACTGGTGACCCATAGCAGTATGAGTCATTTAGTAAGGCCCTGAGGTGTAGAAGTCAGAAGCGATCAGGTGCAGCATTGATGGCCACAGAGATGGGTCCCACAGACACAGCATCTTGGAGGGTTTTCTCAGCACTTGAAGGGAATGTTAGTAGCAAAGCCAGTGTCATTGGCAACATAATTCTGCCTTGTACTTAGATTCTTTTCTTGGCCATGTAAGAGTAGGAGTCATCAGAATCAATCCCCTCCTTCTCCTTGATGTACTGAAAACCCCCATCCTAAACCCATGTTTCCCTGCTTCCAACTTCAGTTCACCAGGCTATGCTCATTCACAGGTAAGACTATGGCAGGATGTAGCCATCTTCTCTCAAGTCTGCTGCTCTGAAAACCTCCACCAGCATGGATGTCATGGGGTTTTCTTTCTAGATGATTTGTGGCCCAGAATCTTTTCCGTGGATTCTTCTGTGGTCATGTCACCAAATTGGTTCACGGCCAGTCTGTAAGGAGGGTAGTCCACGCTGTATTCCATGTTGTACAACTTCATTTTCTCTCCTGAAAGAGACCCCCTCTAGCTCTCTTGTATGCACTTGAAGGTCTTCTGATGCCAAGATTTCCATACCTTCCAGGGCTCAGCCCCAGGCAGCACAACCGCTGAGAGAGAAAACTCCATTACTGATACTGTTAACAAAAAGACTGAAAGAGAAATGTTGAAGGTTTTCTTTTTTATAAGTTACTGATATTTGTTCCTTTTTTCTACTCCTTCAAAGAGTTACTTGTTTCCTAGGGGAAGTGGTGGGCAGATTTGGGGTTTGTGACCATTGTGATAAGGTGAATCTCCATTCCATGTTCTCCCAGTGCTTGGGAATTTAGGTTGAGAGAGGATTTGGGGACAAATTGGTTGTTCAACCTTGAGTATATGGCCAGCTGGCTGGAAAGCACTAGACAACCAGGGACTCCCGGAAGCAGAAATAGGTTATGTTAAGCCATATGCACTTTTCTCACATAATCTCCCATTGTAACAAATTTATGAAGCTGAAGCTAAGGATCAGCCAGAAAAGTTTCTAACTGGCTTGAATTGAGCCCTTAAAAGAAATCTCTGGGACCATCCCTGCAATTTGGGATACCTCTCTCCTCCAATATACCTTCCCCACTATCCTATCTCCCACTAAAGCACATGGACAACTGTTTTTAATAAAGTGCACAAAAAGCACCACTTTCAAGGGAATCTTGGTATAATCTCTGTACAAATGAGGCCAATGATAGGTTTGCAGTCTTGTGGTACAGTGGGTAGAGTAGCCAGACCAGGAATCAGGAAGACCTGAATTTAAAGGTGGCCTCAGACACTAGCTGTGTAACCCTGGGTACATCAATTGGCCCTCTTTGCCTCGGTTTCCTCATCTATAAAACTGGAGAAGGAAATGGCCAGTATCTTTGCCAGGAAAACCCCAAAATTAGTCATGAAGAGTCGGGCATGACTGAACCACAAGACTACACAACAAGCATTGTGACCTAACGAGCCTGGCACAAGATTAAAGTGTGAATGTTTAACAGCCATGCCTCATGGCCTCCAAATCCACTGGTTCCTCTCCTTTGACTCTCACAGCAGCCCTGTGAGATCCTTAGCCAGGGTCTGAACCTGAAGCTCGCCCTCTGACCCTGAGCATGCAGAGGAGGAAGTGGCGTGGTGGCATTCTGGAGCTGTAAGATGTTTTAGAGATCTCAAACAAGCCCCTCATCTTATTGTGGGAGGAAAGGCTATTCTTTTTCTTGCTCTTAATAACTTTTCTAATAATGCAGAAACCTCACCACTACAGTCTCCATCAGTTCACCCATCTTAGATGACTCTGGTTTTCTATTTTCTCAGGAAACTGTCTCTTCAGGTACACCAGCTGATGGGGAGGGAGGAGTTCATTGCCTTCAGGCTACCCATAGCTGTTAGAAATCCTCAGTCAACTCATATCCTGTCCCTGAGCTGTCCTCAGTGCAACATTAGTATTCTCAAAATCCAATACTTAACGATTGCCTTTGCCCCTCCCCCTCAAAAAAAATTAGGAATTATTCCTATATGCCTTGGCA